GTAGTCAATGCTAAACATAATTAAAATATTATTTACTTAATATTTACTTATGTGTTTGCGCAAGAAAGTGATTATGTTACTATAACCAAAGCTGATATTTAAATATGGTTCTTGCTCTTAACAATGTTTACATGAAACTTTCATTAGAAAAATTTGAAGCCGTTTAAAAAAAACAATTTATGCAATTACCGTAACTACAAGAACAACAACCTTGTTTTAAAAAAACCACACATCTTCCCTCCACCCTTTTTTCAAGGCTGTGAATCCCGACATTTCAAAAAAAAAACTATTTTACAGTTTCACTCTAATTTTTAGTATAATATAATCGGGTGTCCGTTTCCTTGCACTGGTATCTTCTGTACCCATTTCCTTACGCTTCCAAACCCAAAAAAAGCCCAACGAATTTTTTTCGAAATTCAATTGCTTAACGTTTCGGAAAATGCTTCTGTTAAGGAAAATAAAATTTTTATAAATCATAAATAGAGGAAGACTCCCCCCTCCCGCCGATTTAAAAATTACAAATAAAATATTGAGTATTTATTTAAAATAACTCTTACTACAAATAGTCTTTGTCAACAGGTACAGACAAAAAGTTGTTCATCTTAATTTAATACGGTGTGCAAACATATAGTGCACTTACAGTGTTTTGCCGGTCCGGTCCGGTCCGGACCGGACCGGGCGGACCGAAACAGAAATTTTTGCGGACCGGACCGGACCCAAAAACCTGCGGACCCGGACCGAAGAAAAAGCTCCGGACCGGTCCGGAAGAAAATTTTTTTTTTATTTCAAGAAAACTGTTTTAAAAATTGCAAATAAATAAAACATATTTTTAGGAGTTTTTAAGCAAAAAGAAAGCAGTTTTAAAAAATTAAAAAAAATTTTTTTTGCGGACCGGACCCAAAGTTTTGAAGTTTGGACCGGACCGGACCCAAAAAATCGCCGGACCGGTGAAAAACGCTCCGGACCGGTCCGGGCAAAACACTGTGCACTTAGATCAGTCACCACTAAAGTTATAGTTATGATTGATAGAAGAAGGTCTATACATAATACATTTCGAAAAGTTTTTAAGAAGGTAGAAATAGCCTACTCTGTTAGTTTTAAAAAATAAAATAACTCAAACAAGACTTGTATCCTAAAAAAACTATTAGAATTGTCATCTAAAGCCAAAATCAATGTCCGGCCCTAATAGTTTTACAACTTTTTAGGGTCAAACCCCAGTATTTATTTACACTACCCATACCCCTTTTTTCTATCAAAAATGCCATTCCCAACCCTTCCTCCTCTAGTTTGAACTCTTTTAAACCCTAAATCTATTTTCATTCTTTGTTTGCCAGGCATGCTAGTCTTCTCTATATGGAAATGCAGCCAAAATAAGATGACTCAGCGTATGAAATAAATCTCTACTTAACCATGCAATCTAAAAGGCTAACTATAAATATCGAAAAAATAAGTTTAAATTAAAAGACTGACTTTACTAGGTTCACGTTTGCCTTTGACTTTGCTTAATCCGTTTTTATATAAAAAGTATGACGCAATTAAATCAATCTTAATTAATTACCGGGACTTCTGTTTTCTAATCTTTTTATAAAAAAAACAATGCAGTATAACATATACAGATAAATTCCAAAATTAAATAAAACTTTTTAAATTTTAGTTTTTAAAGCTTCGAATTTAAAAAATATAGTATTATAAACGTCGTCACAACTGACTATCCTTCTAATCTGATAGTTTTGAGTAAATAAAGTCGAAATATTGAAGTGACGACCCACTAAAACGTCGATTTTGTCTCTTTTCAAGACCAACTTGTTCCTTTCTATAAAATTTAGACTTATCCTACATAAATAACCTTTTTTCATTGTTTAAAAAATATAAATATTATTATTTTTCTTAACCGGTTTTCAAATAAAAAATTAAAAACATTTTTAAAAAATATTAGACACTAGGTTAAAAAGACGTACGACAAAAGTTAAAAATTAACGCAATGCTTACTGATCAGATAACATAACAACAAATTTTACAGACAAAACCAATATTAAGTTAACTCTTCAATTTTTGTGAGCTGACGGTGCTTGGTAGTCGCCGTGACGGTAACGTAATTTTAACAGCTGTCGATGAGATTGTAGACATTTTAGTACATGTCAAGATACTCACAACCTTTATCCGAAGAAACCTAAGTAATTAATTTTATATATAAAAAAGGAAAAATTGTAAAAAAAACTTAATAGACTTACTTATTGACGAACACCAAGGAAAACAGAAACACATTGCTAAATATTAGCACTAGCATACGGTAGGATATCCTTGCCATATTTTCTCCATTTACATATTCATTCAAAACTAGTTTACCGGTAATTAATAAGAAAGACGAAAAAAATGAGCACATTGTAGACAACAAAATTCTACTTTCAGCTTTCAAGCTGCGCACTTGATTGACTGCTGTTTTTTGACGACGCTGAAAACGCAGCATATGCTTAAAAACTAATGCATTAGCATCGCTTATTACAAACGTTATAAGCAACATAAAATTCTCAGTATATTGCACACTAAGAAAAAAGTATAATTCACCTACCTTAAGCATAATAACTATTAAAATAACAATATAAGACAATAGATTAAAAGTCAACAAGCCATATATCGATTGAGTGATAATTAAAAGCAGGCCCGCATTTCCACACTCGTCCGATATCTCCCAATTGTAAACGTAGTAATAGGTTTCACAGTTTGCAGATACGATTGTTATTTTCGTAAATAAAACAAATATTGCAGGCCAAATAATGATGTTTACAGTCTGTAATATTTCGCCTTAAAACTTTAACTTTTAAAATTTATTTATTTTATTAACTTTACCTTCAAGAGCAACTCCGGGATGATTTTCTTCATTGATATGACATTAATTCTCGAAAGCGTTAATAAAATTCCATAAGGCTCTATGGTGTAGAAGCTAGCAAGGTAAAACAAAACAATATACTAAAATTAAGATTTTTACGTTATCATACATTTTTAAGTATTTTAAATTTTTAATAAATAATAAACAGGAAAAGTACCCAACCAGCCCTGCTCAAAATTAGCTCAAAATTTTTATATGATTTCGCTGTACTACCAATAGTACTCATAAAAAAATTTTAACTCGCCCTTTTGAATATTAAATTTGAAATATTTGAGTTTTTCGCCAATATGGCAAATTTGGCATTGTGTTTCAGGCACTTTTTTAGACTGTACAGACAAGCTACGCATACAAATTTAAAAATATAGGTTCATTTAAAGGTATTCTACCAGTATGTCAAAGAAAAAGGATTAGAAGTTCAACAAAAACAAAGTTATAAGCTTGAAACACAATGCCAGTTTGGCAGGAAACTCAAAACGTAATTTTTTATCTCGATTCAAGGTTTCCTGAAAAGCGCAATTTAGTATTTTGCTTAAGATCTTATATTTACATGGTCTTCCTATATAGGAACTTTGAAGTCAATCAAAACAGGGCAGGTCGAGTACTTTCCTTTTGAATTCATCGATTAAATTTTTTAACATACGCTATCAATGTGCGGCAGTGAAAAACAAAATAAGCCGTAAATTGGAAGAGGTAACTGCGTTAACAAAAGTATAAGGTTAATCATACAAAGCCGTAATATTGCGCTATAACTAAACGAATCTTGATACAACCGACTTTTGTAGATAATCTGCAAAAAAATGTATATGCATAAGCAAGAACTTTTTTATGACAAGCACCAACTTATGACTGTAGTTTCATTAGAGCAATCATAAAACGATTCTGTAAAAACAAATTAACTTACGTATATTACAATAAACTGTATCACTAAACAAGGCAAAAGTAACATAAAGTAGGCTAAAGTTATAATGAACCTATCTTCCGTACATTCTTCAAACATGTTGACAAAAACCGACAGACAAGTAATGACATGTAACTACATGAGCACCTGCTTTAACTAAACTAAAAGGAAATTTAATTATATACATGAATGTACCATACTGTTATAAACAAAGCTCACCTGTTTTCAAATTGGGTTTTAGGGTTTAGAATCTGTGTAACAATGACAACTGTAATAAATAAAAAATTAATTTTACATTGTATACTACATTTGTATACTTTTTAAATACAACTGCACTTAAATTTTGTAAATGTAGTTTAGATATGGGTTCAAATATTTTTAAAAAGTATTATGCAAACGTAACATAAAAATCTATTATACTCAATAAAACGTGTTATAGATTAAACCTATTAATCAGTAGACACTATAAAAAAATGTTTGTTTCAAGAAGATAAAGTTTAAAACAAGGCACGTCATTTAAAGTTTTCGTAATAAAATTATACGCCTATTTTTTAGCCACTCACAATAAATTAAAGTTTATTTATATTATTAAATTTGATCCACGGTAATATTAACAAGTTTAAAACAACAAACAAACACTATTTTTGTACATGACTATAAGAGAACTGCTACAAAACAAAACACCGGAGGAATGGAAAAGAGAAAGATACTGTAAAATGAGATTTTTGAAACATTTTTGTGATAAGTACAATCGCGTTTAGCGCAACCAGTCGACCTGTAAAGTTGGTATAAGCTCAAATAAACATGTATTACATTTTTCATAATTTTGAATACTAACTTTAAACGTCTAAATATCCTTTAAAAGCAACGTGTAAACCGATTTTAATATAGTTAGATGACATGAGACGCTTCCAACTTTTAAAAAAATGTTTACCATAAACACCTTTTTTGGCAACACTAATTGAGGTTAAATACTGAAAAAATTTTAATGTTACACGTAACATAAAACATGTTACACAAATTTATAACAAATCTTCAAATATTTTTAATATTTAGACATACAATAGTAAAAAAGTTTAAAACAAATTTGCTGCATTAATTTTGATAAGTTTTTAGCTGTAACAGCAACTTTTAAATCCTTATTAAGTTGCTCATAAAAAGAAATTGTATTTTTTTCTGCGTGAACTGCCATAGATACTTCTACGATAAATTAATTTAGAAACCAGTATCACGATCATATGTATCGTAAAAGTTGCGTGCCACTGCTGTTCCACCACCGAAGCCAGTAACATTGAAGACTTCGTTAAAGCGAACGTTGTCAGCTGAAAGACGAACTAATTCCTGAAAAAATATGTAATTTAGATCATTTAAGATATAAAAATCTGATCTTAACCCCTTCAAAAAAATGCTTTACTAAAAACCTACCGTAATTGAAGCTAACAGTGTGAAAAAGTGTCCTACGCGGGCACTAGCCCATTCGCTTCGGGATTCAACGTTGGCAATGCGTACCAGTAACTTGTACAACAACATTGTGTAGTGTTTGCGAATGTACTTTACACTTTCCTGACCATCTGGCGTTAGGTTTGAAAGACTTGCTGGTGCAAAAACCGTTAGAACAGTTAACAAAACTTGTTCTTCACGACTTATTGGATATTTTCGTAAGGGTTGTACCATCAGGTTTAACATACGTTCGGTTACGCGGCTAAAATAAAGTTTAGTAAAAAAGAAAATTTGAAAATTTTTTCTACATTTAATTAAGCACACTTACCGTTGGTCCAAAACCCGTTGCAATTGTTGGTTTCTTGGAAAATATGAGCCATTGCAGTAGCATACACCGTCACAACCCGTTCGTACTGTCCAATTAGCAGCCGCCCACCAATGAAACGCCGGATAACGGCTTTCAGCTAACGATATTTGGTCATCCGGACTGATAGATTGAAACTCCGGAACAAACTTTACAAAATCAATGAAATACACCAAACAGCGTTGCCAATCTTGTACAGTGTCCTCAATTTCAGCAATGCGTTCAGCGGTGGGCGTAATTCGAATCCGCGTACAAACCAACGACGGATTTCGGAAGAGATCAATAAATGGATAACCGTTCGGATCTTTTTTAGAATTTTGAATAAGTTGTGGGGTGTTGTCCACTCCGTTAACTAGCTGATCGTCTATTTGAATTAATGATAATACCTGAAAAAATAAAATTGTAATAAATAAACAAAGATTTATATTTTTAAATGCAGTTTAAAAAAAAATTTTTCTTTTAATCAAAACATTTTTAAAAATGAATATCCCCTCCTGAACAAATTAACAAACCTGTCGTTGAGCCTCTTGATCAAATACGACAGCATTTAACCTGAGTTCCTCTTGCGGCGACGGTATAAATAATGGTGTTCTCTTAAATTCGTTTTCATCGTACTCTCGACACAAAATTTGACCTTCAGCACTAACTTTGGGCAACGAACATGAAGTGGTTTGAACTTCCGCATTGCATTGTTGAACGTACGGGGATAAAGGACCATTTCCCGTCGATGTGCCTTGTCCCATAAAAGCAGAAACACTAACAACTTGTTCGGTTTCGTTCGGATGTGCTTCATCGGAACGCCATGTTGTATGAACTTGTTCTGAATCGCTGCGTTCGTATTGAACCGCTATAACAATAGTTTAGTATGTATATAATAAATGAAAAGTTATGTTTTCAATTTTTTACCAGTATTCAAAATTAACCTTAAGCTCCATTAAGAAGTTTTTATATTGCATATAAAAATAATACCTCGAGGATTCATTCCTACTGCCAAACAACGTTTTAATCGACAAGCGCGACACGCGTTCCTTTGTTCTTTGGCTACAACACATCGTCCTTCAAATCGGCATTTGTATCGTTTGTTATTCCATACGCTGCGTCGAAAAAAACCTTTACAGCCGTTGCAAGCTATCACTGCGTAATGGCGACCCAATGCCTATAATTTTAAAAAATTATCCCCCATTTCTTTTCCTGCTGTCTCTCTCAACACCAAAATCCCAGCAAATAAGTAGTATTAAAAAAATCATTCAAAAACCATCCCACATAAAATCAGTAACAATGCCTAAAGATCAAAAAAAATAATAAATTAATATTACCGTATCACCGCAAACATCGCAAAACAGCGTCTTTTTGGACCTGCGTCGGCCGGGCACAACGTAGTCCATTTCGGGTGGAGTTGAGTTTAAGTCATGGAGCAAGGGAGCAGCAAAATTCTGCTGAATACTCGAGTTTGGCTGCACGTAATGCTGATGATGCCGGATAAAGTCGTTCGTCCGATCTACCACGTCAATCTCCATTTTTGCTTCCTTCAACAACGGATATGAAAAGCTAGCACTGGGAAACTGGGCCAGGTCTTTAGGCGTCCCAAATTTGTACGCAGACTAAAATGATATTTCGTTAGGTTTTTTAGATTTAAGCTTTTAAAAACTACTAAAAAGTTATATAATCTCATTAATCACTAAACCCACAGAAAAATTGCAAATAAACGCTATTAAAATTTTACAACAAATTCCAACAAATACTCATCGCAGGCTTTTAAAAAATATTATAACTCATAGTATTTCTCGTTCTCACTGTTATACAGAAGAAAACCCCGCAATTGTTTCATTAATCATCTTTATTTTGACTTTTGAAAAAATAACAACTTTTTGTATCCAACACGCGTCAGTTCTATTACATATTATTTAACAATCCAAATAAGAAATATAATGCGATTATGTACCTTAAAAAATGAAGAACTGATTCATCAGAAAATTTGCAAATTTTCTATTGTTTGCAAAAATCTCGATATAAAATTATAAAAAATAAATACAACTCAAATAAAAAACACTTAAACCCTTATAAAAAATTATACAAATAGATATGTACGTGTTGATTTTACCAAAAATTTCTTGTTTCTGTAATTTTATTACTATAGAAGCCGCAAATTAAATGAATCCAATATAATGCAACACCCGATAACAGTATTGTAAAATGGAAGTAATCTCCATTCAAAAAGCGAAAAACAATGTCTGTCAAGAAGAAGATTAAGCATGAACAAAAAGTGTAATTTACAATCCAAAATTCTTAAAATTCAAAAAAGTTGTTAAACTGTTTTATAATCTTTCATATTCAAAAAATCGTGAACTTTTGTTTTATAGATCCTTAATAATTTCTCTTTAGTTCTTTTCAGATAAATAAACAAAAAACGCACTTTCTGGGCATAGATCTATCAAACTGATTAAAGTAAGTTAATCAAACCAAGCCTTTTTACAAAAGGACACGACGCATAACAAATAGACAAGAGCAACGAGTCGTGCCCAATTTCTAGCACCGGACCGTTTTTCATTAAAGCGTTATAAGGATCATATAATATAATGTCAATAACAGAAAAAAATTAAAAAAACCGCTAAGAATTAAAAGAGATCGCGAAAACCGTTAAATTTGATAAAAAGAGCATTCAAATAAAATGGGAAACAGAGCTGTAAAAACGCTTGTTTTACAGAATAGAAACCCGTAAATTTCGATAGTGAGGATGACTATTACCAACAAAAAGAGTACGTTCAAAACTTAAAAAAAATGTTTGAAAAAACCCTTTACTGTAAAAACACGACAAACTGTTGTAAGCAACCTTCCAATAATTTCTCCAGTTACTAGTATTTTAGCCGTTAATAAATTACAAGTTACATCCCTAACCCTACTATGCCATCAACCTAAACCCTACAATTACACGCGATGACAAAGTGAAAAGAAGTATCCAAAAGAAAAACGGCATCAATAAGATTCATTCGTTTTACAAAATACATGGGCACAACATAAACTTTACGTCATACGAAGTGAACATGTGAGGCTGGAAAATAAGAGCATGTCGAGAAAACGAAAAAACGTCGCAGGGAAAGAGAGGGGGGCCGGCAGGCAAAAGCCTCGAGAAACGAGAGCGAGTGCATTTTAAGGGCTCAACGATCAAAGCTGGAAAAATTCCGAGTTTACATAGATTAAAATTCTACAAAAGATTCTAATTAAACTAGCTAAGCTTAAAATTAAAAGTTAGCCTAATTAGATACTCTACTTTTTCAATTTAATCAGCTGGTATTATCTTGAGGAGCGTAAATTTTGCGTAAAATAATTTGAGAGGTACAAACTGTATTCGAAATGGCTAAACTACAAAAAAAGTTTAAATTTACGACTAGCTGTGATATACATACAAAACAAAGTAAAAAACTAGATTGATTTAAAAAATATTTAACTTTATAAAAAATAAAGTAAAAAAATTCTTTATTCTGTTTCCAGCCAGAGTTCATAAGAACAGCCTTAAAAACTAACTATATAAAAAACAAAACGCAACAAACTAAAATTACAAACGCAGTTAAGCGTTTTGAAATTTCCTCCCAAAAGAATGTAAAAGCAAAACGTCCGAAGGCGTTTGGGTGTGAAAAGTAAAATGCGTGTTTCAGCTAATTGGCTTTACTGAATAGACTTAGCGTTAAAATGAATTTTGTAAAAACTTTGCATTACCGAAAATTAAAAATATGTCTCCATTACAAAAAAATGGTAAATGGCAAAGATACATTTAGTCAGAAAGAAAAAGAAGTTGTAGCTAAAAAATGTTTACATGCATGCATGTATAAATTTCAAATTTAAAAAAAAAGTTTTTTCGAAAAATTGGTATGAAAAAGCAACCCCCTCATTTACTTTTTCTACCTACAACATATTTATAACTTCAAAAACAACGATAGTCAATATGACATTTAACATAGTTTCCATAAAATTTGCGACGCAACGTTATCGCTCAACGTTTATGATAAAGGAAAAACAGACTTTTTGTAGTTACTATGCAACCTAGAAAGCACAGGGTTCAACTCTCCTCCGTTCCAACCAATTTTTTCGACTTCCCTCCCAACCCGCCGGCTCTGTGTTTTTTGAAATGAAACATTGCGTGTGTCGAGAGTGAAGAATAACAGCGAGAGATAGACATTCCTAACAAAAAAAAAGAAACGATACATTATTGATAATGAATAGAAACAAAAAATAATACAGTTTTTTGCTTGTTCAGAGAAAAATGTGCACACATATAAAATAGCGAAAAAAGACCACTGACATGAATGAGTAACAATAAAGAAAATATTGATGGTAAACTTTTCTAGAGAAAAAAAGCAGCTGATAATAAAAAAAGCAAAAATAACCAAAAAGAGTCCAAAAAGGGCTTCATGGCAGCAGAGATTATATCCACTAAAATTACGAAGCCTGGTAGCACAAGAAAAATAAGGTATTTTTCCAAAAGCAATTACATGTGTGAATGAGACGTTGCCTTCGAATAAAAAACTTGATAATTAATACTTGCAATTCGACACACATAATGCCTTAACAAATGAAATTATTTTAAACATTTTGTAATTTTATATCACAACAAGGTAAAAAAGAAAACATCAGTTGTTTCTTTCTATGTACAAATTAGATTCAAAACACTGGTTAAACTTGATTAACACGGTTTTCCAACTACAATTGCAATTGTTTACGTTTATTGAAATTAGAGTTACGCGGAACAAAAAATAAAATCAAATTTAAAACGTTTTAGTTACAAAAGTTTACTTTTTTCTTCGTTTTTTTACTGCAATAAATTTTAAAAAATATTTTTTTTTCCATCAAAGCGATCACCGCTTTGCAACAGCATTTAAACAAATATACGATTGTCAGTACCATAAATTCAATCCTCAAAACAAACGATATAGAATTGTTGCAATTTTTATGAAAACCTTGTAACCTTTTAAAAAATTAACCGTAAAAACTAAAATCGCATCTTAAACTTTAATGCGAAGATCTTATCAATCCGTCGAACAAATAATTGACCAAATTGCAAAACGCTTTCCGAAAAATAACTTTTCCGCTTCAAACCTAAATTTTGCATTTTAACAAATCAGCAAGTTAAATTAGTAGCAAAAAATTTAACAATTAATTTAAAATAGTATACTTAATATTGAATGTATGTTCCCTAATTCCTGAACTACCAAAAAAGAATTTGTACAATATTTTGACTAATTATGATAAAAAATACAGTAATTCCCGCCTTGAGATCGAAACCTTTAAACCTAAACACTTCCTTCTTCCAGCCGACTGTTCAAAGCCCTCAATGACCAATTTTTTTTGTTTATCTAATTTGTTAGACGCTTGTTCCAAACGATTCGTTCCATTTGGTCGTTAGAAACATTAAACTGCTAAAGCTCTTCAAAGATGTTTTTAGCACGAATTTATCGTTCTCGACTATTTCAAAGGGTTATACGTATCCACAATTTTTTAAGAAAGTATGCCTTCTTACAATAAATAATATCTTTTCAGCATGCAATTAAAGTTAAAGGAGTGTCATGGTAACCAAGGCGTATCGCTAAGTAAAACTTATGTAATGATGTTTTTTAACCTATATACATAAAAAAAAACTAATTTTTAATTTCCCTAAAACAGTTAATTTTTAAAACTAATTAATCTCATAAAATAAAAACTTTGAAAAAGCCAAAAGACTTACTTGGTACATCAGTTAAGTTATTATCTTTTAATTACCTAGACTTGAGACTACAAACAGTCACTTGAATAAGCACTAACATACCCAATGTTAATTAAATATTAAATTCATGTACCAGAGCACGCAATTGTTACTTCTTTGCTCGCTAAAATTTGTGTAACGTTGACACGAGCCGGTCCCGATCAAAAAATTCTTAAGCCTAGTCCAGACGTGTTTTATTTGGCTCAGGCCCAACCCATTGGTCATTTCTAGTGTAACTCTGTGACCTTATATATTTGAGGCATTATGTTATAGTCAATGCTAGTAGCACCCGCTCTATAACCAAATGTGTCTAAAGACCAAAAGAAAACACTTTCAGCATACTTAAAAAAATTAAATGTTTTTTAGTTTTGTTTATAACAACAGTGCGTTGTAGATTGTAAAATCCTGTCATGTCTTATAAAAACGTTTACCCTAACTCTATGAAAATCATTAACTCAAGTAAAACACTGTTTTACATTATAATAAATTTAAAATTCTGTTATTTTACATTACTTTCAAAGACTTTTTTTCCCGACTTTTCGTCACCACTTTAGTCCGTTATTTCTTTACCCAGTTCTTATTCAAGCTGTCTTTTCAGAAAAAAAGCGGTCGGAATGAACTCTGCAACAAACAGAAACACAAAACGCAAATTGTGTGTATACAGCTACTGAAAGAACGTTTTTCCATTAAAAGTAGAGTGAAAAAAAGACTAACAATAAATTATCAAGACACCCCTATCCTGTAATATCCTACTTTATCCTAATTAGTTGCGTAAACCTACAAGCTTTGCTCCAAGCGGACTGCCAAGATTGTTCAGGCCCTGTGTTATCATGGCCAAGTATTCTGTTGTCATTGGAGCTTGCATTCTTAAAATGGTTCAAATTATAGTTTTTGTAATTAAAAGATAAAGAGAAGCGAAAAAAGGAAGAAAAGTCAAAAATACGCTGAAATATTATCAAATAATTTTTTGTAAAAATATTGTGCCGTACATGACGGCGTAAACATATAGTACAACACGAGTTGTTATAAAACCAATCAAAATGTTAGTACAAAAATTAATATTTGTTAAATTTATAGGTAAGTTCTCAGCCAGGCAACATCATTATTGTATTTACGTTACAAAGAATAAATAGTCAGATTAAACTTTTAAAAAATCCAGCGTTTAAACAAGACAATCTGTACTGTTAATGAGCTAATCATAAAGTCTTAAAAAAAGAATAAAAAGATTTCGCTCATCGTTTACAGTAACGTCCAAATAAGTTGAACGTAGCTATTCCGAATTGTACTTAAAAAACTTTAAACACCAAAAGAAATTAAAACACCCCCCCCTCTACCAAATAAAAATCACCCGTTCGGCCTTGTTAACGGTCCACTGTATAGTTACTGTAAAACGTCCTCTTAGTTCAAAAAAGATTAGAAAAACCTGGTTCAACTTCAACATAAACCGCTCAAACCAACGATTATAATACCAACTTTTTTAGCATTATAAAATCTGTGTATTTGATCTTTGTGATCAAAACAATAACAAAGAATAATACATAAGATATGTAAATCATGTTTTTTGGTGTATTTTTATGACGCTTAAAATTTTATCCGCCTACGCAAAGCATTCAATTGACGTATTTTTTAAAGTTTTTGTTGTATGAAGGTGACGTTATGAATACATTTAAGTTTTTAAGCCTACTATTATCTCTTGTTCGTGCAAATAAAAACTGCAAATAATTTAAAGTAATAATTTTAAGCCTAATTGCTTTATTACAAAAAGTCAGCTCTTTGACATACTCTAAAAAGTGTCAAAATTTAATAAATAAAAAATTCAATGCAGCAATACTAGTCTAATTACATATTCCCTCCAAACTGATTAATAATCCATGAAAAATAAAACATATATCATATTAAAAAAACAAGCGGTAATTTTTCAAATTTATGGTAGTAATTACTATAATAAGACACACCACTATTTAACGTCACCATAACACCTCTCCCTCTCTATAAACACACTTTTTTGTCTTGTTAATTTGGTTGTCAAGAAGTTATTTCATTTTTAAATACAAAAGTTCAAATATTTTTAAATTTTTAATATTCGTATGACAAGTTTCGACCCGAATCGTTGACACAATTATACCAGACATTACAAAAAGTAAAAGTTGAACCCAAAAATTTGCATTATATTAATTATTATTCTATCCATGAACGCGTTTTACCTTTTGTTATGTATTCAACTAACGAAACTTATAAAACACTTTTATCAAGTTTACTAAAAAATAATTAATTTCATATAAATTTTATGATTCTACTCAATGTCGAACAGGATATTACAAAAAAACATTTCGTAACAAACACTTTGTAATTTTTGGCATGAAGAGAAGGAATTTAATAAAATTGAAGTTGTAAAAACACATAAAAAAGTTACTTTTTTGTCTAATAGAAGGCATTTAGCACAAGTCAGCACAAAACTCGATGTTGCGGAAAATTGTTTAAACGTAAAATAATGTCCATTTTTGTAAACATATCGTTTACGAAACTCTTGTTTTGTAATTAAAAAAAAAGGTTAATTTTTAATAATTTGTAAGTCTTCCCTCAGCCTGACGCTGACTGTGTCCCCCCCACATTCTTGTACTTTTAAAAATTCGCAAAAAAACTAACTATGTAAACGTTAAGCAATTTTTAAATTACATGTTACAAAATAAAAAACCAAAAATTTGCCTTAATTTTAACGTAAAACCATTTATTTTAAGTAATAATTAAGGTAATAATCTATAAAAACTTTAACACAATAATTGTTCATAAGAACGGGCAAAGCACAAGCGAACGGAGGTTGCCAAGCAACTCGGCACGCTCGTCTCAAAAACTTTGAATAAAATTTTGAAACAATACAAAAACCAACTTTAAAAACGGTTGTTACAACGATGTTACTTTACATTGTGATAAAATGTAGTGACAATTTTAAGAAAACGCCGTTTCCTAGGCTTGCTGCAAAAGTTAAAAGCAGAGAAACAAAACCACAGTGACCAAGACATTCACCAAAAAAAACGTTTGTAAGGCTCAAAAACAGAAATATTTTTTCCAGAAATTCCAAGTTATTACTCCCAAACTGCCGACAAAATCCGCAGGCCGCCAAATCGAGAAACCTGCGAAAAACACCCTTTGATTTTTCCTTTCATTGACCCTCAAAATCCTTTCGAAGATCCAGCCAAAAATCTCCAAATTCGATCAAACGCCCAAAAACAGAAATATTTTTTCAAGAAATTCCAAGTTATTAGTCCCAACCTGCCAACAACATCCGCAGGCCGCCAAATGAAAAAAACCCGCGAAAGACACCCTTTTGATTTGCCACTGCACCGTGCAAGACAAATCTTCAATCGCCGAAATTCCCTTTTTGAAGGCCGAGAGATTTGGACAAATTTGGGGATCTCAAAATCCCAAAAATCCGACGATTTTTGCTTCCTCTAGCCTTCTCTGACCGCCCTCTCTGTCACAAGAGCCTCTCGTTTGTTGCAAATCTGTCTCTCTTTTTTTTACTGTTGCGCAAGTTCTTTTCGCAACGTTCTCTTTTCTTTAGGCTCGTCCCCTCAAATCACACTATCTCTCGTGGCCTTCCAAATCAGGTTGCACCGTGCAGTGGTTTTTTGTTTCTCCGAAATCTGGCCTTTTTCCTCTTTTGATTTTTCCTCAAAAATCGCCAAAATCGAGCGGACTCCAAAAGGTTTTTTGCGGCCGAATTTGGGCTTGCACGGTGCGATCAAATTGGAAAGAGAGAGTGAGAGATTTGGAGAGATGGTCAGGGATGAAAACGGTCACAAAAAGAACAATGAAAATAAAGAGAGTCAGAGATGGGACGAGAGAGTGCTGCGATCAGAGAGACTAGGTAGAGAAAGTTAGAGACAAACAAAAATGGATCGGATTTGGCCAAATTTGGCTCGATTTCGGAAAGAAGAATTTTTGTCAAAAAGGAATTTTTATCGCACGGTGCAATGAGTATTCGAAGGGTTCTTTTTCGCGGCTTTCTTGATTCGGCGGCCTGCGCATGTTGATGGCAGGTCGGAGATAAAACTTTGGAATTTTCGGAAGTTTTTGGGTTTTGGGCTGTGGATTGAATTTTGAGGTTTTTTGCTCGATCTTTGAAAAGATTTTTGAAGATTTTTTGAGTCGAAGGAGGGAGAAATCAAAGGGCACTTTTTCGCGGTTTTCTTGAGTTGGCGGCCTGCGAATGCTGTTGGCAGGCTGGGACTAATAACTTGGAGTTTCTTGATAAATATTTTCGGTTTTTGGGCGTGAATGGAAGTTTGAAATTTTTGGCTCGATCTTAGAAAGGATTTTGGCGGCCTTGTTTTGTTCAGCGATGAGCAGTTTGAGAGTTTTTTTGATTTTAGGTAACATTTATATGTTTGGGTAACAAAAAATAAGTTTTTCAGACTTTAGGTAACAGAAAATTAATGGGACCTGGTATGAGATCTTTGGCATCACACGTGTTATAAAAATAATGTTTAGATATCAAAATAATTATTTGTGAGTTTTAAAGGTTCGGAACTAGAATTGAAATAAATCTGTCCTAACCTTATAATTCGACAATTTTTGGTCGAGGACAAAAGAAAGGAATATTTTATACTTTATAATGTTTTAGTGGTTTTCTATACCAATTTGCAATAAATTTCCATAATATAATGTATTGTTCACAGTTAATTTTGTTTATTAAACTCTGGGATGATACTTTTTTTGGTGTGCCGACTTTTCCCGCAACAAACACACACAAAGTGCAATTACTAGTATAGCCAGTAGTATTGCAGTACACAAAATGATGGTAAACAGTACCCAAACGGTTTGTACTTCTAATTCACGTTCAGCTATTGTCTTGTAATCAAAATACGATTGTAGTTTACCATGGTTCGGAGAAGTTTTTGTGGGAGAGTGATCGTTGATTTCAGGTGTGTTTTCGTAAACTTTCGATTCTTTTAGAGTTGTCTGAAGCGTTGCTTCAGAAGAACTTTTATTTGTGTCTGAATCTATTGGGTTGAAGAAATGATCAGGTTTTGCTCTATTTTCTATCAATGGCGCAATTAATGTTTCCTCTTCCTCAGAGTTTGAAACTTCTTCAATTGCCAAATCGTTAAGCCAAAACTTTACGGCTTCTTCATTAAAATAAGAACCGTTAATCATTACACCACCATGGAAGTCGGTAGATTCTTTATCTTGTGTCGGAAAGTCGAATAAATAGTATCCATCTCCATGCCAATGAGAGGGTGTCCAATATGAAAAGCATTCATAATTTTTTATATTAAAAGTTGGTTTTATAAGGAAATAGGCGTCATTATGTAATTTTTAAAATTCATTGCTTTAACTTACCTCCGTCTAGGCCCTTAATGAACCTTCTAATTTTTTCGTTATATTTAGATATTATTTTAGCTTCGTTGTCTGTTTCGATTTCTGTTGCGTTTTCTACAAAGAACCTAAAACGAAGTAGTATAATTTAAAAAAAAGTAATTGCAATTTTAACTGACTTTTAACTAATAAATCTTACTTTATTTTGTCCGGATTGTCCACTTTTTCTCCAATTATACCTATATAACTAGTGGAACCTTTTGCATTGTTCATCCTCGCCATTTTAACTGTATAGGCGTACAAAGCGTCCGAGTAGCTTTTCCTGTTGTCACTCGAATAAAACTCCACACATTTGTTCAACGTTGAATTTGAATAGTATCCAAAATAAGGCAGTAAAATTTCACAAGACTCCGCAGCGTCCAAGTTCGGTGCGTGATCTGTGTTTGAAGTTGGTGCATATAAGATCAGAAGCAATGGAATGGGTTGCCACAGATCGCGGAGTTGCTCGTGATCATTAGCAGGTATTAGGTCCTGGTCAAAGCGGGGTCCCCAATAGGTTTCTGAGGTTTGAGTTTGAAACACGGCTCTCTCAAGCTCGTCTGTCGATTTATCATATAAGCAGTCGAGTGATTCTGTACTGTTTAGCGGGACTTCGTCTTGATCGTACTCACACTAAAAATTTATTTCAAAATTAAACGTTTCAACAACCTTACCTTGAGCATTTTTAAAACGTTTTGTGTAGCGTTCTGTGAATGTCCCCCACCAACACTGGGCATTCCATTAAACAGTATTGCTTGGTATATCGGAATGTGGCGTATTTGGGGAGAATTTAAAAGTAAAAGTGCGAGATCCGCACCATACGATGAGCCAAATACAGTGATTTTGGTGGGGTCTCCGCCAAAAGCATTTATTTCTTTGTAGACAAAGTTTAAAGCTAGTTTTAAATCTAAAACAATAGTATGGACAGGTTTTTACCAAAAAATATTGTTTTATTTTTTTGTATTATCAAATTTTACTTAAAGTTACAAAAACTGTACCATGCAATCCGACGTTAAAAGGCGCTTCATCAATGGGTTTGCTAACTTCCAAAAACCCATATATAGATGACCTATACTTAGGCCTAACAAATACAATATCATCAAACGCAAACTTTTCAGCAACATTTAGCTCGTCAAAGTCACTCGTCGATAACGGCTCATTAATTGCATCATGAACGAAGAAAACAACTGGGCACGCCTTTTCCTAAAAAACTTGAGTTACAGTAACTTAAACTTACCAAGCAATTCTTGTTGGCAAAAACACTGAAGTAAAGGCAATCTTCACTGACGTTCTGTGGTGTTAACAGGTCAAAACCGTTCGGACAGGTTGAAGTGTAGACGGTTGTGTCGATTACACTGTCGCTATTTGCGATTTCCACTGGTTTTTTAAATCTTAAATTGTCTACAGGTGGCTCGGCATACGGAATCGACTGAAAATGTTTTATTAATTTTAGTTAAAGTTAATATAAAAAAATGCATACCCATAAGTATAATAAATACATACCTTAAAAACGTAAACCGTACCATCATTAACCTTAACTTCTTCACCCTGTAGCGTACCTTTGGATACCTGGACCTGTATTGCTACATTTTTAGTAATATATGCAACCAGAAAAACAAAAAGTAGTGACATAACAGTTAAAACTCTACTTTGCTTTATATGAAGGCTACCTACTGTTTAAAAACACGCGCAGTTTTATTACTAACCTCAAAAAAAGTAATCCAAAAACAGAATCTATTATAAAAGAGCGGATAATCAGGACGTTTTAAAGGTGAACAACATCGTGTTTTAGTTGTAAAAAACAGAAAATTTAACGCAAAGAAATTTAAAAAATTATCTTAATATCTTTCCTAGTAATTCAATATTAGTTTCAAAGTGAATACGTTATATAATATAATAAAAATTTATGGTTAACAATGAACAAATAACAACAATACAAATAATCTAGAACTTCTTGGAGTTGCGTTTTCGTCCAGTATACTTAGATGAGTTTTTTACTTCCCTTCCTCTGTTCCTTTGTCTCTGTTTTTTCCATTCAACCCATTCTCTTGTGCCAGGTATCAACTTTTTATCTACCTTCCGACCAGTGTTAAACGTCCTGAAATTAAAATATGTTTTTTAATAACAAAAAATTAAAACTATATAATTTCAAGGATACCTTCTTCCAGCATTGTCCACTTGTGTTTGAGGCTGCTCCTCTCCCGTTAATGCTTTAGGTAGCCGTTGTATTCCACTTGTCATTGCAACCAAGTAAACCTTTTTAGCTTTCGTGCTCTGCGGAAAATCCACTACCAGACCACCACTAAAACCGGCTTTGTTGGCCTGTTGACATATTAAATCAGCTTGTTCTGGATTTTCTGGGTAAAATTGAAAGACTGCACGAGCTCCGCTGGCCTGAAACCACAAAATAATAAATACACCCTTTTAAAAATTTTTCAAAATTTACAATGGTTGCACGTCAAACAAAAAAACAACTATGGTTGTTCCCAATTCTTTTATTATACATACTAAAATCCCAATTTTTCAAAGGAAGAAAAAGATAAATTTGTAAAATTATAAGGGTGTACTTCTTCTGATAATACAATAACATAGCCGTATATATAAAATTAAACTTATTCTCCTATAGTTTTAAGTACCCATATCACCAAAATCTTGCTTTTTCCTATTTTTTTTTAAATTAATAAAATATTGACGAGAAGGCAAGTTGGACGCCTAAAATACAGAGAAATAAATTAAGAAAACTCACTAAACTTCCAAATAAAGTCTGAAAAAAAGTCAGAAGTCTCTTGGCAGGGTTCTCGTCGCTTCTGTTTGCATGACATAGCCATTGAATAGCAGAAATCGAGATGGCACCATCAAACACTCCAGGCCGAAAAGGTAAGCCATTTCCAATATCTCCCAATATTAAATCCTCCTCGACTTCCATATATTCCTTTGCTTGCTGAAGCATCGGAGCACTTATATCAATCCCCATCCATGCCAATCCTTCGTCCGTCAAATATTGCCCGGATATTCCTGATCCACAACCAATATCTAAAATGAAGGCAGTTTCAGGATCTGCCAAAGCCATAAGTTCTACAGCTCGTGCTGCCATTTCAGTCTGAATCTCCATCATACGACTGTTTCCAGCGTATTTTTTGGCTTCTGTTTCATTGTAGAACAGTTCCGGTGGTCCGGAAAACTCTGGCCGCGACATACAGTCTAAAATACCAAACATGAAAAAAACATTAAAAATGTAAAAAAGTTACTCGTTGATCAATATATTCTCACAATCAGGCATTTAAGCAAAAAACTACGACAAGATCTGTCTTTTAAAATGCGACAAAAAATAAAATATTATTTGGGGTAAAACAGAACGCCAAGATATTTTTAGGTTCCATCTCGATTGTATTTGCGGAAAATAATTTTTTAAACATTTTTCTCTCTTTTACGGATTTGTGATGAATTTGTTTGATGTTTACGACTTTTTCACGTTTTTTCCTTTAATTTGCTGCGTGTTTTATCATATTGATGTTGTAGTTTTAGGTATTTGACGGTTTAAAAATTTTTTTTGCAGGTCCGTTTTGTTCTGCCAGAACTGCCACGCAAAGACTAACAACGCCAGCGGCATTATTTACTGAGGTTGATACAGATAATTGGTTGAAGGTTAGTTTTGGATTTTTACTATTTTTGAATTTTAGATTTTTACAAGAAATAAAAATTTTGTATTTAAAGCATATTTGGTATTGTGAGGCTAGAAATTGGAAAATCAAAAGCTAGTTTATGTTTAGGTAATGTCACAAAGCTCAATTTTCAACGACTTATCTAACGTTGACGAACGACGATCTCGTTCAGCCAAACGTTCGGAACAAGTTCGAGTATCAGTGAGACAGGCCAGAGAGACTTTTAAGCGGGAAATTACGCCATCAAGAAACTTGGATATCAAGACTGGTCATTCGATCTGTGACGGTGATCGGTACGTTGGGACTATGAATGAAGAACAACTAGAGATAGCTCAACATTTAATGCGTGGAGGAGATCAAGATGAGGTAAAATAATTTTTTAATTTTTAGAAAATTATTTAAAAACAAAATGTTAAAAATACAAAGCGGTTTTTTGTAATATTTTTTTTAACTTTGCTGTCTTTTTATTAGTTTGTGTGTCAGCTGAAAAGCTATGAATGCGTAAAAGATATAGCGTTATCTTTCACAATGATTATATACTATAAGGTACTAAATCTTGTTTTTAGTTGAGTTTACATAATTATTAGAACTCGAAAACATATTGTTAGTGCCAAAAATAAGAACAGCGTTCGCTTGTTTTTGAGTTTGGCGGCAATCACCTGCTGTTTTGTTTGTTAAAAATATAAAACAGTGAGAACTTTCGGAAATTGCTAGTGCAAAGAAAACATGCGATAATTAAGTTTTTCAAATAAAAGTGTGATAGCTTTCAGTAGTTAGATATAATTTTTCAATTGCTGGATGGAACAATGGCAAATGGTTTAGTAATTTTTTTTGTTTGGCTGTTAACACGAAATCAGTCTGTAGTATTTATGGGGAAACAGTGTTTTGTATTTTTTAAGTTGTGTATTTGAAATACAAGATTAACGTGAAACCAGTCAAAAAGAAGTACATAAAATTGTAGGCGACTAGCAATTTATATGTATTAATAAAATATAGATTAATTTTAAACTCAAAGCATTTTTTAATTTGGAAAAACGTACAGGAGTTAATCAAGTAAATGAATTCTTTAACCATTGAAAGCTGTTGTAAATCGACTATCTTATAGTTTCTAGAAGTGCGTAATCGTATTTTAAAAGTAGATAATGGAAAGGATTAATGTGCTTGGAAATGATGTAGTCGACATAATTAGGGATTGGCCGTATGGTATACGCTAGCCCTTTTATAACACGTTCGAAGAGTTTTAAATGATGATTTTTGTGAAATACTTGTTATTGTCACAGCAAAAAGGCCTAGGGCTTGTTTTTATGGGAGGCATTGGGGCGGCAGGGTGGGATGACGCTTCACACTAGCATTTTTTGTTATTTCGTTTGTTCAGTTTTACACTAGCACCTTTTAAAACCTTTGAAATTTCGTGTTATAATTTTATTTTTTTAAAATTTTTCTGGTTTTTTTGTGTTTTTACTAGCATTATGTTTAATAATTTTTTTTGTTTTTTTACCATTAAAGACATATTTTAGTTTTTTTCTTTCTGCTCGCTTGGTTGCCTTTACTAGCCATTTTTCCTTCTTCTTTTAAACCAACGCTCGCTATATTTGCGCCTCAGTCTTGTCATGAGCTTTGTGTAGAAAAACAACGACCGCCGCCTAACGAAAGGGTCTAGCATTGCATCCCTGCGGAATGGACGGGACCCAATGCTAGCGTTTATTCCACTGAACCCCCTCTTCCTTTGCGATGCTCTACGCTATCTTTTTATGCCTGCTATTGGGTCTCTGCGGCAGCGATAGCAAAAATCGAAGCCCCAGTGGGAGCCCTCCCTTCTTCCCCATAAACAACCCAACAGCCGAAGGATTGGGAGCGAAAATTGACTAGCTGTGCTGGCCTCGTGTGCGATTTTAACGAGCGTGGGGGTTTCTCTTGTTTCTCTCTCGCTCCGAATGTCTGATATTTTGAGCGAACAAAGAAGCCTGTTGTATGCGTCTTTGTCATCTGACGTTGAAATGTGTACTCTCTTATCGTTTGTCTGCTTCTGCAGGGTTTTAAAAAAGTTGCTAGCAGGGCGCTTGCCAATTTTTCTTTTTTGCTTTGCTTTTCGCTTCAACCCCCTTCAATACACTGAAAGGCAGTGGAGAGATGGGGGAACCCATTCAGCCCTCCACTACTGCTGTCTTCAGTCCTCCCTTTGCCTTTTCCACAGCGCAGTGCAAAAGACGTTGAAGGCCTTTGCCTGTGTGTTTTTCATTGCTCTGTTGTGTTGGTTGGGAATAGTGGGATGAGTTCACGTACATAGCGTGGTTTTTTACCGTTGCACCAGTCGATTTTTTTGTACCAAATTAATGTTGGGCATGTTCTGGGCTTATGCCTAATTGGTCGTATTTAAATATCTTTTAATCTGACCAAGTAACGGACCGGCAGAGTTGCAGTGAGAATCGCTATGTGGGTTACTGTAGGTCATCTAACTTAGCGTTTAGTCGCGATTACTTGTCGCAATTTTTTAAAAATAACTAAATAACAGATACTATATACATATAGAAACTGGTTTTTTAGTATGATGTGCTTTACGAGTACCAAAAAAATTAGCGAATAATAACAGCGAGCACTACTTGTACTGACGGTTTTCTTGAAAAGCGTACTTAAAAGGTTTTCATGTGTAAAGATTATTATGTGGAAATTCAAAAAATTGTTTTGCACTTTTTATTTGAAAATTTTGTGGGAATTGTCATTCAGCGCGCTGCTACTATTGATTTTTCGCATGTGTAAGAACCGTATCATACGATACAACCTTTCTTTTATATTTATTTTGTAGTTTTTACGTTTGTTGTAGTACAAAAATTACATTTATATTATTGATTTTTATATTTTTAGGATCCGTTGAACACATCTTCATCTGCACCATGCTCTCCACAGTCAAAGGACCGAAGGAAAATGATGAAGCAGCTTATGCGCGCACGTTCGACTGGCGATATTACTAGCGCTCCAAATGATCTACGAATTGTGTCTTACAAACGAGGGCTATGTCCCAAACCGCCGGTTGGCCATCGAAGTAAACCAGCTGTACTTTACACATGTGTTCAACCTTCATCGACGACAAAGCGACATCAGCGCTACCTACCGAAGTCTCCTGTACGAATTTTGGATGCACCAACGATCAGCGACGATTTTTATTTGAATATTATGGATTGGGGACACTCAAATGTGGTAGCTGTTGCATTGGATAACGTTGTGTACTTGTGGCACGCCGAGTCAGGAGATGTGGACACATTAGATGAATTTGAAGATACTACAGTGTCGTCTATTAAATGGTCAGATGAAGGAAAATATTTGAGTGTGGGACTAAGTAACGGTAAACTGAAGCTCTACGATGTTTCAACGAAAAGAAATTTGAGGACGATTACAGCTCAACTTCAAAGGATCGGTTGTGTTTCTTGGAGGAAAAGTGTAGTTACATACGGTTGTCGTTCTGGGCGTATATACCATCACGATACTAGGAAAGCACAGTCATTGATCGGCGACTTCGATACTCACACCGGAGAGGTTTGCGGAGTCAAATGGTCACCAGATGAGAAATACTTGGTATCTGGAGGAGCAGATCATTGTGTAAACGTGTGGGATGAGCGTCAAATAAGTGCAGAAGAACCAAATGTAACATATCAATTCGTTGAACATACAGCTACTGTAAAAGCTATTGAATTTGTACCATTTTTGGGTATGAACAACAACATGGTGGCAACTGGAGGAGGACTTAATGATGGTACTGTCAAACTATGGAATCTTACGTCTGGACAACTGCATACTTCTATCCAAACAGATAATCAGGTAGATTTTGCAGAAAATTAGTTTTGTGCTACTGTGTTACGTTTTTTTAATTTAAAAAGATAATATGTCATTATAAGTTTGCTAATTTTAGGTATCTGGTATACTCTTCAACAAAAATTACAAAGAGATGTGCACTTCACATGGAAATCCGAGATCTTTCCTCAGGTTTCATAATTACAAGAATCAGAAGTTTGAAACAATTGGTGATATTGACAGTCACACGGGCAGAATCCTTACTATAACTCAGTCTCCATGCGGTCAATTTGTACTATCAGCCGCATCTGATGAGGCTTTGAGGCTCTGGAATTGTTGGAAACAGGACAAATCGGTATCAGGACTAACTTCATCGATGCGGCACATGAAACTGCAGAACTTATCATCGCGAAACGCACCTTCAATTCGATGAGATGATTTTTCTGTCATAATTTTTAATGTTTGTATTCGTATATGTTCCTACGTCATTAACTGAAAATACTAACTATTTCGATTATTTATTTTTGAGTTTAACTTGATCTTAGTTTTTTTGACGTATGTTTTCGTTTTTCAAAAACGTGTGTTGTTAATTCAAATAAAGAACTAATTATTATTTCTTGTACCTATTTTAGCTGTTTGACTCAGCCTGAGCTATATTTTGACTCCTTCTATTTTTTTGCTATTTTCAAAGTTCACTGTATTTCCGCGATTATAACTTATTTCTTTCGGGTTGTGTTGAATTTTGTATGACTTTGAATTACATTACTTGTTTTAGCACAGTTAACCATGGCTAAAGGAGGTGTGACCAAGCGTGGAAAGGACCCCAATGCTCCAAAGCGTGCTATGTCCGCGTTTTTCTTGTGGATGCAGGAAAACCGCCAACGCCTGAAGAAGCCGGGAATGAGCGTTGCTGATGTTGCCAAAGCCGCCGGCGTGGAATGGGGCAAACTCCAAGACAAGAGCGAATGGGAAAAGAAGGCCGAAAACGACAAGAAACGATATGAAAAGGAGTTGGCTGCCTACAAGAAGGGCCAGTAAAACGTTAGCAAAATCATGGTGTTGGTACTATTCGTGTTGAAGACTTGTATATAGTATCATTGTCTTGTTTGCTTTCTATTTGTAAACATTTATTATGACAGTCTCTTTCATCAATTTGCCATAAGTTTTCATTTTATCTGCAAATTTTTCACGTTGAAAGCAAACAACGCTAAAACAGAAAATTGAATTTTTTGTGTCTACCTCTTAACCTCATTTTCCGTACTGTACAAGTACATGGTCTTGCCTTATTGCAGCTATAAAAACTCGTTGAAACGTTCAACTGTTAGGTAGATCAGCTGGTAACTATTATTGATTGATTTACTTGGTATTTTGCCTTTTAATTAACTTGTGTATATTATTTTGAATATTATGGTAACTTGAATAAATGTAACGTTTGAAAGAAAGTCAAAATTTTTATATTAACGGTTTCTTTATTACCGTGCATGGAAATGCTGCTTTTACATTATTATATATTTTTTAATTTTGGATTTTTGTGGAAATCTTTGCGGATTTAAATGTGTTGTTTCGATTTTTTGTAATTTAAAGATTATGTTCTTTCTATTTTAACGGGGGTATATTTTTTGAAACTATTCAACTGGGAAAGCTTTTTTTTTGTAATAGAAAATTAACGAGAAAATTTATACTAAAGATTTTAATGTTTTTGAGGTTATAAATTGTTTTGTACAACTAGTTTTATCACAAAACTCATTTTTGGTTTATCGTATAACTTTACATAAAGATTTTGTGCAGGCAGCACAAGTAGGGCGCAGCTTTACGAGAAAGAAATCTTTCTGCACCCGCCAAAACTCGTTTCTTTATTTTGGCGCCAAGAATAATCGCGATCGAAGCGTCCAAGAGGCGGTGCTAGCGAACTGGGGTAGCTTTAAAGGCCGAAAATAAAGCATTCAGTGCAAATGTAGTCCGCCTAGCTGGTTGATTTTTGTACAGTGTATAATGAAGTGGAGTTTTTCGGGTATATTTTCGATAAAATTATTAGTTTTAATTTTTAGAAAATTTGTTACCTAAACTTTTTCTTTAGGTATCAAATTGAGAATTTAGTTTCTGTTTTTTATTGTCCTTTATTTTTACTTGATTTTTTTTGTTTTTACTTCTACCAATTCTCGTTGCTTCAGCAAGTAAACTTATTTGTGGGTTATTTTTACCGGTTCTGATGTTTTTTGTCTTATTTTCTCGTTTTTGATTAATAATTTCTTCAGTTTTCAGATCAAAACACTAAAAATGGCCAAGGGAGGAGTTACGAAGCGCGGCAAGGACCCCAACGCCCCAAAGCGAGCTATGTCTGCATTCTTCTTGTGGATGCAGGAGAACCGTCAACGTCTGAAGAAGCCGGGTATGAGCGTCAGCGACGTCGCCAAAGCCGCCGGTGTGGAATGGGGCAAACTTCAGGACAAGAGCGAATGGGAAAAGAAAGCCGAAGATGACAAGAAGCGCTACGAACGCGAAATGGCCACCTACAAGAAAGGGCAATAAGTGAAAAGTACAGCCGGCTCTACTGATCTCCTCTCACCTTCTAAATTAACTTTTTTTGTAATTTACATTTAATGTTGCAAATTAATCGAATCAAATGACGCGAGCGTCGAGTAATGTTTTTATAGTATAATGGTAAATAAATGTAAATGTATCGAATTTTCAAAATTGTTGGTGCTGTAAGGTTAGAGTACTTTGAAATAGTTAGGCTTAAACGTAAGGTATATAAGTTGTGGGTTTTTCTTTATGCACTGTATTTTTGGAATAACGTACAAATTATAAATGCTGTAAAGTAAATAATAATATTTTAAAGTTTAAAAGTCAATCATATTAACTTAGGTTGATACAATCGGTTGATTGTCCTTTTTGCTCTCTTTCCAAATTTATTGTGCCAATAAAAAAGGCTTTATTAAAGTCTGGTTCATTGCTCTCAACTACGTGGCTTTTCGGTATCTTGATTGTAAATTTCTGGAAGCACGTAGGGATTTGTGAAGTGTAGTTGCATTTGTGGTAACTGGAACAATATATTGAAACTTGAGAAATATTTTGGGTTCCAACCAGATTTGGTGTTTAGTAAAGCTACCGAATCTCCGTTATAAAAAGATGGAGATTATTTAGATAATGTTGATTTTAATTAACTTACACGTTAACATGGGTGTTAAGAGTCATGATCTCCTTCGAATAACCGGCCAATAAAAAGTATCCGTTTTGACTAGTATACCCAGCGTCCATAAGATCATCCATCGTAAAGGTGTCGTGATCGTATAATTTGATCTTCTGTTACTAAAAATGTAAAAAATGTTCTATGAAACTTACAACACCTGAGCTCGGCTTTCCTTGACACAACAATCGACCTCTTACAGCGACACTTTGTTCTTTTCGACCGATACCTTTGATGGTTTCGGTTAAATTAAACGCGTTCGATTGACTCAATAACAGTATTGCGGTTAATACTATGGATAAAGATCGCATTCTTGGGGGTTTTTAATTACAGTATCAGTAAAAATACTTTTTATCAATATTAGTAAGTAGTGGTTTATAGTAAAGCAGTAAAAATTGCAAAAAAGTTAAGTTTACTAAAGAAACGTTAAGAAAGAGCCGTAATTTTTGGCTGTTTTATGAAATTTAGAAGGCTCCGCATGCTTTTTTATATAATGTTTATTGAATGATCGTTATACATTTTGTGATCGCTAAATGATTATTTGACTCTTTTCTTAATTACAATTGACTCATTTCCAAAACCAAAATATTATTTTTCAATTTTAATCAAAGTGAGGTGGCTCGTAGTTAAAAATATTGTTGTTTCATGGCCAGCCATTGTTAACAATTTTATTTACGGCAAATCGTTTTCAAATCAAAAAATAGCAATTGCAGAAAAAACTCAAATCTTTAGGACATGCTTGATGTTTTATTATGCTTGATGTTTTTTTTAATATTTATGTTTTACTTTTTGCAAAAGATACAGTTTTGCCATGAAAGTCAATCTTAACGCAGTATTTTTGTAGAAATGGATAGCCGAGTATCCAGAATCCTTTGTGTTCCGGCATTTTGCGAAGCTTAAGGATGCAATATCCACTAGCCTAAAAGTTCAGGTTTAATACAACATCAATCTTAACCGATTCTGCCCTACATGGATCTTTACCCCAATTTTTGCTTTAAATTAAAAGATTTAAAATTTGTACAGTTTTATCTAATACTGATCGTATGACTAGGTAGCCTTTAACCTATTGTTCCCTAACTTTGGATTACCGTTTGTTTAATGTAGTCCTTCCCTCTGAGTAGGAGTGGGGCACTAGAACTTCCAAATCGTATATTCGGAGCTTTTTTGATCATGTTGCACGAGACCAACATGTGTTGCTTAAATTTTGGCTTATGTTCTCCATCTTTGAAACGTCGGGTGTCCCACACAGCTCTTGTCGCTATCTCTATTTTTTTAAATAGGTCATCAGGAACGTACACAAATGAGGTCATTGTCGACAGTATCATCGTGCTTTGGGTTCTAAACTTTTTGAAATTGGTTAAAATTTAAACCAAATAAAACAAGCGTAGATGTCAAGTATTAGCGAAATAAGTTTAAACTTACAAAGACGAGTTAAAAGCAAAGTAATCTCCTCCCGAACCTTTATACATTGCCTCCGTTTCGACCAGAGAATACTTTAGAAAGTTTAAATCACATCTGACATCAGTGGCACGTGTACCAGTTGCTAAGCGTCCACCTGTTTTACCATACCTAAAATTAATTATAAAAAAAACTTTAAAATTTACGTTGGAGTGTATAATAGCAACAAATTCCCTTGTGTCGTACTCATTGATATGCTGTTTGCGTACGAATCCGGCGTAATTCCAAATAATCCACTACCACCAATAATATTACTCAACTCGCTGGATACATTACTCAAATCAACTCCTATTTGTGGGATTCCGACCAAATCGTTGTTTAGGTTGATGACAGTTCGTGCATACTTGATTGTGACATTAAAGTCGTTCTCGTACAGAGGTTTGGCATATTTGAGAAGTTTACTTGTTGAGTTTTTATCAAATATGACTTGGTTGTCGTTTCTGAAACATTTTTATATTAAAATTCTAATTTTTTTAAATGAATTTAGGTTTTACTACTCTTTTATGACATTTTAAAAATTACCTTATGGTAAAAACGCCGCTGGGCAATACTTTGGTTTCGTTTTTATTTTCTTGTTGAGCAGCAAATACCCAAAACGCATTAGAAGTGAAATCGATTGCCACAGTTAAACTTTGGTTGCTGGCCAAACTTAAATTGGCGGTCAATAAGTACTCGTCCTGTAGATAAAGGTTTAAATCTAGTTGCGGAAAGCAAGATGATAAAGAGCAAATTGCCGTTATAACCGACTGAAATGATACCATTTATAGAGTTGTTATAACATTTAGAAAGTCTTTTACATCACTCGGTAGATCGATATGTTTGAAAATGTTTAGTTTTGTTTCACTTTGGTTTAGGCGGTCAAAGCGGATAATCCTAAGCTACTTGCTACAATAAACTATAGATAATGTAATGAGTAATGTAAAAATTAATTTCAAAACTAATTTTATAGTTTGCCTATAGTCAAAAAAATTTTATATAGGAAACCAAGAGAGTGCATATTATCTTTTGCTGTGAATTTGTTGCTTGGAATAATATTATCACTTTGTTTACGCAAATCATAAAGCCTTTTGAACGTCGTGTGGGGATTCAAAAATACATCGGCGCTTCGCAAACTCATCAAGGTCGTTGATTTTAGACAAAATACGACAAAAAAGTGAGATTAGTGAGCGTAAATCCCCTGTGCGATCGTCATTTTTCAATCATTTCGTATAAAGAACCGAGGTGTACGTGAGCAATCGGTGATAGGTTGGTGGTTTAATTGAGGGTAAGTGATTAGTCAAATTATAAGCAATCGATTTTGAGATATGTGTCTTGAGAATTTTTTATTAGGGTAAATTATAGTAGAATATTTCTGTGATATTACCTAAAGCAATGATATCTCGCCTTAGAGAAATTGCAAAGAATTTTGTTGCGTAACTGTCTTATGTAATTTTATAATAAATTGCAATATTTGCCTCGCAGTAAAACGGCCCAGCGAATGACTGCGAGTCATTGGATTTTTTGAGCGCGCTTTACGGTAAGATATGAGTGGGTTAAAGTAAACAGAGGACGGACAGGATAGAATAAGGTAGAAGAAGGTACAGTAAGATTGTTTAAGGTAAGGTAGGGCATTTTTTAAATATATTACTAAGCGTTTTTAAGGTTTGTAAATATCTTTTCACCAAAAGTCATTTAAAATTCCATATAAAGAGAACACTTTTTTATTAACACGTTCCGCTTTTTAAATGACAAACATAGAAATTGTGAATCACTGAATGAGTCGCCTCAGAATTTATCGTTTTTATCGAAGCCAGAATAGGGTTTTAAATGCCTATCTAAGGGTTTTATGAAAATTTTGATTTTTGCTTGCTTTACATCTAACTTTATTATAGATGCTTTTTAACGTTTTAAAAATTTTTATGCATGACATGTTTTATCAAAATTTAGTTGCAAAATTCTAATTTTCTTACTGATAAGCGCTAAACAACTTTTTATACTGTTTTTTTACTATAACAGAAAGCCTTTTCTTTGTTATATTATTTAGAAACATATTGTTAGCAGTAGATATTAAAAAAATTATTTTAGGTTTTTATACCGCTTACTAGCAGAGACAGACGACATGGCTAATCATGGACCAGCATACGGACTGAGCAAGGAAATTCAAAGAAAAGTAAAAAAAAAACAGTAAAAACATTTTTATTCATTTAGAATCAAGCAAGGTTTAGTATTGAAGAAGCTCGGGAAGTATTGGCCTGGATTGCTGACGCAACCGGCTGTCATTACGAACAACAACCATCTGAATTCGAATCTGACGCGCAAGTTAGTGAAGCACTCAAAGATGGTACTATATTGTGCGAGTATGTTTTGGTTATTAAAAATTTTATTTTTCAAATACATAACTAACGGTGGCAAAGTTTAAAAGAAGTTTCTTAAAATAATTTTACAGGGTGTTCCAAGAAAAATTTTAAAAACTAACCAGCTATAACTTGGCTACAAAAATAGATAAAAATGCCAAACTTGGTATACATGAAGATTGGGCCCACAAGTTTTTTGTCGCAAAATTTCAAATTTTTATAGTTCAAATTAAGGGCGCTATGATTTTTTGAAAAATTGTCATTTTCCCCCGAAATACACATATTTTTGATTGGAAATGCTTTTTTCGGTGAAATTTTCTAAGTTTTTGGAAGACTTTTAAGGTAAAAATCTTATTTCGACCAAATCTTTCGATGTTTATCACATTTTTTTTGGTTTTAGCTTCGTTTTCGGACGTCGGCGGAGAGTCGGCGGAGGCGTACCGATGTCGGCGAAGACTATAACTCGCTTCAAACTTAACGTAAAAAATTGAAACAAAAACCGTTATTGTTCAAATATGGCAATCTATACTTCTCTTATAAAAAACATTTGTATATCAGATTGATTAATAAGTTGTTGGGCTCACCCAGTGCTGTAAAGTATCATAAGAATCCGCGAATGCCTTTTCACAAAATGGAGAACATTTCCAACTTTTTGGATGCCATCAAAGAATATGGAGTGAAGGAGATTTCTTGCTTTCAAACAGTCGATTTGTACGAAAACAAACAGTGCTACAAAGTTATCGAGTGTTTGCGAGGATTGGCTGCTGTGGTAAGACAACTTTTAACGTCTTAATAATAATTTAACTTAACATGTTTTTTAAAAATATTTTTTGGTAGGGTAACGTAGGATAGGTCAAGAATTTATTATTATTACATATTATTAATATTTTGTCAAAAAAAACGTATACTGAGATGATATGACTTCTTATCGATATCTGCGAAAGTGTTCTTGTAATTACATATATTTTTGTAAAACGACATAGATGTTAGCATATGCCGCAGCTTCTAGGGCACAGCCTTGCCATGATATTCCTGTATACCTAAAATTGTAATTGCTTTATATCGTTTGAACTCAATGTTATACTAGGTACTAAAAACTCTTGAATCATAACAAATTTAAAAGTAAAAAAGAATTTTTTTTAAATAACTTACAAACTCTCCGCATAAAAACGTTTTTCGAACACAATCCGTCCGTTTGTCAGAACAATGGTTTTTCTTGATTTTTTCTTCCTTACTAGCTCGTTCTTCTTTTATAATCGGTTTAAAATTATCTTCAATATCAGGTAGCTGAATCTCGTCGTACTCTTCTAACGTTTTTGGTTTAGGTTTTGGTGTTCTTGTACGTCTTCTGTATCTTCTTTTTCTTGTTGTAGTTGTAGTTGTGGTGGTGGTAGTTGTAGTAGTGGTAGTAGAAGATGTTGTGGGTTTTTTGGTTACAACTGGCAATGGCCTAAAGTTTAAGCCTTCTGGTGCTGCGTTTTCATACTCTTCTTCTGTTTCATCGTAATACTCGACTTCTTCGTATTCTGCTGCTTTTGTGGTTATGTGGGCTTTCTTTACTTTTTTCACGTTTTTGGTCTTCTTATTCTTTTTGGGATCTGAATATTTGAAAAATAATATTTTAGGAAATTATGAAAACGGTAGTTAAAAGCTATTTAAACCATATTAAATACTGTTTTTACAATTTAAAATCTTATAATTACCGCAAAATCCGCATGTAACAGCACAGTACTTGGTCATCAGTCTTTTGTACTCCTAAATGATAATTAATTTTACTATTAGTAATTAATATTTAAAACTTTTTTATTTAAAATTGCATTTTACGTACTTGAAGGACGCATACATAAGCTTTTCCTTGACATTCAACTACTTTGTCTTCACATTCGGTTATATTAACATCTTCTTTTTCCTCTTCTTCTGATTTGTAATCGTCTTTTTTGTTATTTTCGTAAGATGCACCTAAGCAGTTGTTTTGTTAAGTTTAAGTTTGTATCAGTATTTGATACGTTAAAATCTTAGAAATTGGATTTTTTTTACTGCAAAAAACTATAAGCACTTTTGAAAGTTAAAACTTACAACAATAAGATTTTCCTTGTATTTTTTCGCAAATCAACGTATGATCAGCTTGGCAAACTCCGTTAACACACTCTAAAATATAAGACATTTTTTAGTTTATTATCCTTGTTAAAAAATTATTTTTCAATTTACCTAAAAATGCATCTACTCCATCAGAACACTTTTGACTTTTAGCACGATGGTTAAAATGCAAGAGCACCAGTAGTAACATAAGAATTAATACGTAGTTTTCTTTCATTAATTAGTGTGTTACAGAAGAATCTGAACTTTATGAATTAGTATGAACAATTTTAAAAATATTTTTATGTAGCGAAGTATTTTTTTCAAAGCTTGAACTTCAAAAACGAAAGCACTAAAACAAGCTCTAGTGTCACTAGTTAAAATATGTTTGAAAATTAAACGTAGACTTTGTACAAGCTGTTAGTATTAAATAAGGGAAAACCGTCTGGACTTGATGAACTGATTCATTTCTTTTGTTAAATTATATGTTTTTGTTATGTTAATGCATGTTGTGTAAACATAAAAATGGACACTTGACTGGCCAGTTTTCTGATTTTATATGAAAGAGGCTTTATCTGCTGGTATGTAGGCTTTACTTTAGTAAAGGATGACAGTCTAGTATTGTTTCTAAGTTAGGTTTTGCTTTCTAGCGTGACTTAAAACAAAATTCCGTTTTAATTTCTTTTCTGCGTCTCATTATAAGTATAGTGTTGCAAAATTTTACAAAGTTATTAAAAAAATGTATTGGAGTAAGTATTGTCATTGTTAAAACATTTTTATTCAGGCTCAAAGCCGTAACGCGCCGGTCAATTTTCCACATTGGGTTGTGAAATTGGCGCAGAGTCAGCCACGTCGTTTTTCTGATGAGGTGATTCGACAAGGCGAAGCCGTCATTCCATTGCAATACGGAACCAACAAATGTGCGTCACAAAAGGGAATGACACCATATGGACTAGGTCGGCAAATAAATCCAAATCCCAGTCAATGAGTCTCTTTTTTGTTTTGTATGTTATTTTACTTTGAATGAATTATATGCTTTTTATCAAACTTTTCTTTATATAACAGTACTATTGAATAAATTATCATGAACAAATTAAAAAATTTTTTGAATTATTTTGAAGTAATAATTTAGCTTTGTAATTAATTTTAAATAAAAAATTTTTATTTTAATTTCTTAACGTCGCTACAAGATGGTTTCTGTATTTTACATGTACACGCACAATAATCAACATAATGCTGTAATTTACTCTAATCACAACATCGATTTGCGAGATCTACAGCTAAATAAATTGAACTTTAATGCATAGATGCCAATGAATACCATAGTATTAATTTGGTCGACACCACAATCTTTGGCATTTCTAACACTTTCCACATGTTGCTTTACATACGGCAGCCATCATAGCTTGGTATTTCTAAAAATGTCACTTTTAGTGAATTACTTGGCAACAAAAAATGCTTAACTTAGTATAAGACCTATGGTAATTTGAAAGTCAGTAACTAAATTGTAAAACTTTTAAATTAGATTACAGTAAATTAATTAGAAAAACAAGGTTAGATATTTAAAAACTTTAAAGTTTTAAAACAAATTCAACGTACCGGATGATCACAAATGCCTTTTTGAGCACCACATCGAGTATTCGAATCGCTACAACTGTTCGCATTTATACTCGGTTCCGGTTGATTACTTTGTGGTGGTGGTGCTGGATTATTGTTGCTAGCGGGCGCAGACGGTGTACAAAATTTACATGTCAAGCTGCAGTATTTTGTCATAAGCCGTTTGTATTCCTAAAAAATTTATATCTGTTTGTCAGCAGCCCCACCAATGTATAGAATACTAAGCAAAAAAATCTTTAAGCCTTGTAAAAAACTTACAAATCTTGTACACAACATAGTTTTACGTTTACACTCTTCGGGTACGACATCTTGACAGTTACCCCCACTGCCTCCGTTATTATTAGGTGATGGAGTTGTTGCCGGTGCAGCTGTAGTTGTTGCATAACCACCTAAATTGTCAACAATTTATTTGTAGGATATACATACTTTAAACTTTAAAAAAACTTTTTTTAATTAAAATATGATTGTTAAATGCATAAATAAAAAGGTTTGATTGCAAAAAAATTATAAAGTGATTTCAAAAAAACTTAATAATCAAAGATTGAAGCTTACAACAATATCCTTTTCCATTGATTTGTTCGCAATTTAACGTAGGATCAGACTGGCATACGCCAGTGCATTCTAAATATTAGTATATTCAGTTTGTGTTTTAAAAAAATTACAAAAAACTATTTCAAAACCATGAAGTATAACAAAAAAGTTTAAACTAACAGTTAACATATTTATAAAAGTACTTTTTTGAGCTTTAAAAAGAAGCTACATAATTATTTTAGACGTATATCTTACCAACAAAAGCATCAACACCATCAGCACAAGTTTGCGCGGCTACAAGTTTCTGTACATATAAAAAACATAAGTAGACAAACGCTAACTTAACGGTATCCGTCATTGGGAAAAATAATAATTTTTTTCCATTTCTACAATTACAAATTTTTAAAACAAGGCGTCATTTGAAAAAACATTCTCTAACGTACGTAAGTCGGGCAGCTGAGCCAACACTACCCCAACATCGTTGTTGATATGTTGTAGAACAATGTGGTTTATTTATTGAAAGAAAAACAAATATGTTAACAAAAAAGTTATCAAAATGATAATTTTTATATTCTAAATTTGTTTTTAAAATTTTAAAATTAAATATTTAAACTCTAAAACATATACAATTACAAGATTGATCTCTTTATTACTTTTTACTGCAGGGATAAAAGAATAATACATTAAGACTTCGTAACCCCGTGTATTGAAGTTATCGCATGAGTTGATGAAGGGTCTGTACCATGAATAAACACACGACGATAAACAGGTATCAGAGCCAAGACTGATATTGAATTCAACGCTGAGATTAGTTGAGTACTCATAACGGCTACATAACAAAGGTTGTCGTACTCGACACCGTATGAAAGCAATGTTGTCATGACTATCATTGGGATAAAGTAAAATATAAATGGATAAATGCCCTAAAAGTTTCTTAGCATAAACAATACTTAGCACTTATTTTTTCTCTTTAACTCTTTTATTCATTGTACCATCATTCCTTATTTCCAAAATATTTTAAAATAGAAGCTTAACGTACTTGTAAGATCATAACCATAACTACGTAGGTTTGCGCACGTTTTGTTGAACTAGCCAAGGTGGTTGAAGTTTTCTTCATTTTGCATACAATTTTTATACCACAGTAAATCATAACGCCATATCCAACAAAAAATATAAATTGACAGTTTATAACGCAAAATATAAACAACGGATTGTCCTAAAATATTGAAATTATGAAAACATAAAAAAAACTTACATTAAAACCCACAAAAATAAACCTAACAAACCTGTTGAATTGGCATATATTTTGGAGCATTATACCCAGCTGGTACATGTTCCATAATTTCATCATTTAAAATGTACGTTTCGTACTCTCCGCAAAAGTAATAACAAATACAGTTGAATAATATATAACTGAATAAAACAAAGTATGTCAAGCAATATCGTTTTTTCGTCAAAGTGTGGTCTTTGCACAACGTCTGGTATCTATAGTAGAAGTGTACTGTGTTGCATGAAGTAGCTGACAGTGACATAATTCCTTGAATATTTAGTAGAATATTCACCCAAAACGGTTGAATATTTTGCAGCAGCGGATTTTCCAATGTCATAAAAAAGTAATTTTTTGTTGAAATTGAACTCTAAAAAATTTTTTGCTTTACTAAAACTCTTTACGCCAATAATTAACAACAATAATGACAAAAAAACAAAATAATAAAAACTCACTGGCATAGTGATTCCCATAACTAAAGAATAAAGCAGATCAATAAAAGCATTGAAAGCTAAAATCCACACATACTCTCGTTTTTTGTAGCACTTTATAATACGACGAGACAGTACAATCACTTCCAAACACAAAAATACAGAAATCAGTAATGTAACGCCAGAAAAGAAGGGGTATATACTGCGAAGCTCCATACTCTTTCTTAGTTTAGTGTTTTTATCAAATTTAGAAGTTAGTTGTGTAAAAGATACCAAACATTTGTAATCTGATTAACTGCAAAAGTTAGTATGTTAAACTTATGAATAAATATTAAAAAAACGTTCAGATAGAATGTTTAACAAATCACATTTTAAAAACACAAATTTGAATAAAATTAAGCTTTAACATAGAAAAAAAAAGTTATTAAAACGTCTCATTTTATACTAGGAAATGTAAATTTAGCTTATCGCTTGCAATTTGAAAGTCATGTCTTGTTTCAACTAACTTTATTAAAACCGCATAATTAAATTTTTTTTGCATTTACAGTTTCAATGATCAAAAACTACCGTATAAGATATAATTTAAAAATAAACAACTCAAAAATAAATTACCATCAAAGTATACATAATAAATAAATATTCACTACAAAAAACATTATTAAAAGTTTCCGTTTTATATTACAATACTGTTTGACACTTAGTACAATTATAATAAGTTATTAGGTTAAAACTAGTGTATTAAATATGAACCAGCTGTATATTTGCATAAGTAACACACTGTGCCAACATTACCATTTCAACTACATTAAAGACTTCTTTATAAAATTAGTCAAAAACTGTTTTTTACATTTTAGGCAGTTTATGGCTTATAAATGAGACAATTTTATATTTATCCGCACGTAGCGTCAAAACAATCAAAATTGTCGTAATAAATCGTATTGTGTTTTAATAGATAAAACATTTTGTTTTTTAAAATATAAATACAAATTGCGTTTAAATATCTGACAATAAAAAATTAAAAATAACTTTTTAAAATTTATTATATTATTATAAATAATTTTTTTTAAAACCGATTTGAGATTATGTCATTTCAACTTTTTTTACCGACCGGTCGAGATTGGCGCCGAAATTGTTATGTTAAAACATTTATGTGAAGCAACAATTTTGGTAAGTTTATAACACGCACACTGGTCTGTCATTGAGTACAATAGTAATCATTTTGTTCCGTTTTGAAAACTGTAAATAAATATTAGGTATAAATATCGCTTTTTATTGTTGGTTTCGTTTTGAACTAAAACTCTCTGATATAAATGATTGTAGTTTTTTATAATAATCATTTTTTATTTTAGTTGCAATTAATCAACTCAACATTTTATTTTCTTCTCATTCAATGTTTACGTCGTAAACGTCTACCACCAGTTTCACAGCGTAAAACACCGCGCACATATCTTGCCAAGTCGTTAGAGTCATGTTCTGAACGCATTATACCAGAGAAAGAACAACCGGTATGTATAAGAATAAATTTTTAAGAATGGAAACTCTCTATAACAAATTTTAATTAAAGACATCTTCTACCTCTACTCATTTTAATTTTTTTAAAAAGTGAACATTAACCTAGATCCACTTTAGGTTCAAAAGAACGAATTAAACGAAACTGATGTCGAATTCAATTTGGACGCAGATCTAGACAACATAATGAAAGCAGGCTCGAAGAAGACATCATCGAAAGTCAAACGAGTTAAAGATCCGGATGAAGTATCAATATAACACTTGCCAATAAATATTGACTAAATTATTGTTATTATGGGAAGAGTTTTTAATGCCTATATATGTCTCATTTTAAAATTTCATAATAAAATTGTAAAATTTCGAAAAATTTACACACAAGTTTAATGTCTAACCTACCATGCACGCGATGAGATACTATGTTCAGTTGAAAATTTTCCAATTTTTGGTAAAAAAAGCTTTTAAAAAGTGTTTCTTTAATTCTCAAACTTAAGGCCATCAAAAAACCCTTTCGTCAACAACTTTTCCCAGCGGTCATTTCGCGCTTTTTCCGCCGAGGTCTTTTTGATGGTGCTCAATTTAGCAGGCCCACAAACATTTTTGGAGGAGGAAAAAACTGCAATTAACTTTTTGCCGGAAAACGAGCGTGTTTAACAAACGCACACTGTAAAGGAGCGGAAGTGGTGGCGTTTCGGGCGCGGCAAACGCATAATTTGCGTGTGCGCGGACTGCGCTTCAACAATTTGTTAAAACAATAACTTACCGTGATTAAGGTAAAAAGTTGTTTTGGTTAAAAATTTTTTTAACCGTTTGTTTTCTAAAGAATAACCTCACTGTAAAAACTAAAATTTTAAATATGTTTTCTCTCTCCGTCCACTAAGTTTTTGCTACAAAAACTCAATAAGTATCTAGAAAAGCTAGATAATAAATAAAAACTGTTTTTACTATTAAAAGAACCTAAAACTTCTTTTCTAAAAAATACATTCAAAATCAAGCCGCGCAATCTTTTAATACTTATAATGCTACGAAATTTATAACTGTTTCATATTACGGTCAAAAATTCGATGCGCAAGAAGGCGCTAGAAATGAATGTGTAAGGCTTAAAGGCGCGGACGCCAATTTGCATATGTAAACGAGGCATATGGAATTGAAGTTGGCTCAAAAAAGTTTTTGACTTGTTCAAGTTTCGAATGAGTCAGTATTTTTTTAAATTATGATTTAAGTGTTTTCTTGTACTCATGTGTATTATTTATGTCTATATATAATATTACAGTAATGTATCTTTCAGTAAAAACGTTTTTACAAAAAAAACTACGCAAAACTATTTTTTTACTAAAATAATATTGTTTAGGATTTTCAAAACAAATTTGATTACAAAAAGTAAACATACGGAAGTCCAGCAAAAAAGTTCCAAACAACTTTTTTTGCATTTACTGGACAAATTTGTCAAAAAGATTTTTATGTGCATTTAAAAATTGCTCGCACTATCTTAAACTTTTTATTTTTGCTGTGAAAAAAGGTTTATGCTTAACTTAGTTTTTTCTTGGGTTACAATAGCTCTGTGTATAGTTCTGTGTACTTGTTTAGGCTTGTTTTTTACAATTTAAGTTTTATTATATTTCAAAATGAAAGTCTACTAGAAATAAGTAAGAAAAACAGAATGATGCAAAGTTCTTTAAGTATCTGTAAAAAATTTTAAAAAAAAGTTGGCCAAACCAATTAAAATGCCAGTTACGTTGCTCTTTCTAATTTCGTTCAGCTGTACGTCCGATCCCATTGAATCTGTGGTATCTGGCTTCTCATCCGCGTTTTTTACTCATTTAAAAATCTTCTTCATGTCAAATCTCGTTAACCTCGTTAGCATAACACGACTGGAAAACAAATATATGCACTTTAGCTTGTAGATCATGTTCTAAATATTTTTTATGAGCACGTTTTAATGCTTCTTGCATTTTTTTGTTTTTTATAGTATTTTAGACATTCAAAAAATTTTAAGTTAGTAAGATGCCGGTCAGAGGAGTCATTTGAGGATCAAATTCTTTTGCAACTGGCGTCAAAAATTGAGCTTATTTAAAGCTGCAAAAATTTGAATATTTGATGGGCAGATTTACGAGGGGGTTTTAATGAGCACTTCTTTTAAAAATTTTTGAGGGTTGGTATAGTTTTTAAATTAAATTGTTTTATATTGTAAGTAGGTCATATGCAGCGTTGCTATTTTTTACTCCCTTATCATTATTCAAATAAAATAGTGTAAAGTTAGACCAATTGATACTATAAGTTGTCATAAAATTCACAAAGTACACATGTTTTTTGAGTTAAATTTAAGTATTCTTAAAGTCAGAGTCATTTGTGTTTTGAAGATACTATCTTGTGATATCCAGTACCACAAAGTTAAAGTTTTTCACTATTGCCACTTTATTTTATAGCCCAATGTGTGTCCGAAAACATCTTGAATCAAATTTCACATTACCTTTTCTCCTGCTTGCGTAACAAAAGTCCAATTTAAGGATGACCACATCTGGTGTTTTGTTTGATTTGGAGTTTAAATGGATTTATTTTTGAAGTGATGACTATTTGAGAAATATGGTTTTTTTAAGTTAGTTTAGAAAGTTACATCTATTACGGAGTGATTTTTTTAAACAGGAATGGGAGTACTGTCTTTACTAATATTTAAAATTACTAATAGCTATGTATCTTGAATCATAGTTTGATCTTTTTAGTAAGTTAGCAAAATTCTGAACGTAAAAACGTCTGTAATCTCAAATTTAGATTAAGTTTTACATTTGAAAACTGTTCCACAAACACAGGAATAATCTGGCGGAAGTCCCGTCGAATGTTATTTTATTTATTGAAATTTTTGGATAAAGTCGAGCGGAAACCCAAGAATTATTTCTACAAACTTTAAAAAAACGCTGTGTCGGTAATTTTTTTTTCGGTTTTGAAACGTTATTGCACGTTTAAAAGTGACAAGACCTTTACAATAAGTATAGTTATGTTTATACATTTCCTTCACGACCCTATTCAAAACGTATTTAAAATTTAAAAACCCTTCAAAAACCAAACAGTATTTAAATTTATGAGACCAAGAACATTGCGCACGGCTGTTCGTTACATTAAAGTTGTGCGATCACTTTTATTTGGCAATTTGTTTGGATTGACTCATTGAATTCGTTGCCACCGATTTTATGTGAAACCCCAACGAAACGTATTTATTTTGATTGACTCATCCGGTATTCAAGATAAATCCAATCACGTAGAGTCAAATATTGTACGAATAGGGAACGGTTATCAGCAAAACAAGGCTTTACAAGTTAGTTTTCATTGTAATTTTTTTTCTATCTCATGACAGTCTTTGTCATAAATTATATTTTATTTCCCTAAAATATTATTATACCATTTCTTCTGACATATTGAAATTACCTTCCTTTTTTATAATGTAAGGTCAATAAATTTATTTATTGTGGCCACTGACTGATCTCGGTTTCTTTTATTTTCCGCCTTTTATTCATTTGGCCGGTGAATTGCGTTCGCTTTCTATTTTGACTGATTGACAACCGACAGCCCTTTTTTATATTAATATCCGCGCAATCGGATATTTCTGGATAGGTGCGGAGCAAAATAAAAGTCGGGTTTTAATGGAATTGGGTGGTTAGGCAGTGTACTCACTGAGGTTAGAGTGAATGTGGATGAAGTATTTTACTGATGTGTTCTTATCATAGATTTTTTGAAATATTATTTTTTTATGAGCTATATAGTTTATTGTGTGACCCAGTCAATCCAGAGAAGGTTATTTTTTTTAGGCTTGGGGATGTACAAACTTTTTTAAAAATGTTTTTTTTTGCATTGGTGTTTCTTATCCGCTTACTGACGCATCAAAGTCATAATGCTAATTGCAATTTTTTCAATTTAAGCCTTAATTCGCTATACACGAGCCGGGCGCCTCTTGACATGCCATATGTCTGGTTTTTGTGTTTTTTCCTTGCGGTAAAACCCTTTGCCAAAGATTTGGGTTCAAAGGGGCGGATTACAGCCTTTTAATTATATGTTCGGGACATGTTGTAAACTGGTTGGCAACTTTTAACTTTTTATTGCTTTTGAATTGCTTAATAACGTTTTATGCCTTTTATTGAAAGTTGGCGAGTTTCCACATTTTATGAATCGTTTGAGTTTTAACCTAATGTCGGGCGGGTGTTTTGGTGTTTTAGTAGGTACGGTAATAAAAAGATTTTTTACAAAATTAAAAGGATAATTTTAACTAAGACGAAAAATGTAATTCTAAATATTTGTTAAATTTAGTTTTTTTCAACTTTTTTAAGTTTTTTTTATCTTTTTAATATTTTGTTATCTTAAAATTCTGTTTTAAAAAACTTAAAATTACTAGGTTTACCCGGTCTTTCTAACTCATTACCTCAAAATAGGAATTGTAAAAAGTACACGGCCTAAAGGTGGTTTTAAAAAGTCTTAAAAAATGTTTGAACGCGGAATCAATAATTAGTTTGAGGTTTTTGTCTTCAATTCTTGACAAAGGTATGTCACTTTTACGAGGCACTTTTGTCATGTTCAACAAAAAAAAACAAAAAGGTGCAAAAATGTTTAATGTTTGTGATAATTTTGGTATCAAATGTTTTGATAATTTTAATATCAGATGTTCATGAAAAGACTAAACGGAAATTTTTTTACCAAAAATGACAACAAATAGCTTCTATTTTTAAAAATTTTTATTTACTTTCGGCCAACTATTATATTATACGCTTAATTTAATAATCACTGCTTACACCTTGTAAAGTCTTTTGTTTTAAATAGCCTAACGTACCGTACAATAAAGCATAAATAATATTATGCACCAGTTGCAATTATTTTCCATTTTCCTCACTTTAGTCATTTTTGACAAATTTCTTAATTGAAGGTACTGACAGCGTCCAAATTATAATTGTAAATTTTCTCTTTTCTAGTACGTTCATTGTTGTTTATGCTGTTTGCGGGAGAGTGAGACGCTTAATTTTATTTAATTTTTAAATGTTTCTGATCGTTTATTTTACATTTTCTGGTTGTAATGCTATAATAATACAATTTTTTAATTAATATTTTTTAAAGGGCGGATGGGAATTTTTTATTGCAGGGGTGACAAGTTTTTTTTCTACAAGCAGGACTCAGTTGATGATTTTTTTGAAGGTAACTTTTTTTTTTTAATATCCCTCCCCCACTGCCTGGTTGTGATAATAAGCATATACAATCCTCCTTGTTATAGCTATTATAAATTCGTAACTATTAAGCGCAGTTTCCGCAGCAAAAAACCAGATAAATATGATGTTCTACTTGCGTCTAGGCACTTTTATGGACATCAAATATATTTTTCTTCATATTCGGCCGTCATTGAAGAGTTTTGCGCCTTTTCTTGAGGACTTTCTTCATTCAGAAGCCTTCTATTGGATGCATAATTCTTATTAATTATTATGCAGATATTTTTTTTTAAAGTTAACTTTTGCAGTTTAAATTGTGACATAGTTGTAGTTTTATAACTCACATCCAATAAAACTAAAGTTACCTCAATAGGGACGTTAAACCTTTTTCTAATATTTTTTTAGGGTGGGCTGAATAGTTTTAAAAATTAACCGCGAAAAAAGATAAAATCATCAAGTTGAGGATTTATAATCTTCCTACAGAGCACGTTTTTGCGGTAATTCCAAGTGATAAATGGCCTCCAGAATTCACGGCTTTCTAGTGATTTAACCCATTGAGAAGGCAATTTTTAAATTGCCGCGTTTCAAAAAATATATTTTGACTATTTTTAAAACTAGTTTTTTGAAATCTATTTTTGAAGTTAATGTGGGTATTGTTAAGAATATTTTTTTTACTATAGTTGCAAAGGTTAGGGTAAAACGCGATAAAAACAATGGTGTTGACGAATATCGTTGTTATGTCTAAAATTACATTAAAACGCGTGAAACGCTGGTAAATAAGCACGTTTTGGCTTGTAATTTTACGCTGTCCTTGCTTTTGACCATATAAAGTGCTTCATAAATAACTGAATATTCTGAAAAATGTCCCTTTTTTATATTTTTTTTCAAATTTTAAGGGAAAAATTTTAAAATATAACAAACTTCTGCCGCCAAAGAAGAGAAAAAGGGTTTGTAAAAACATACTTTATGCTACAACAACACGACTATATTTAAATATTACTCGGGGCATCGAAATTCCATAAATATCCGAGTTTTCTCACTTTTCCCAAAACGCCGGAGGTCAAAAGAGTTACGGGAGTTAAACGTTTTCCCCCTTCCAAAAGGTCGTTATAAACGGCGTTTGTCTTTTTTGTCCACAAATCCTTTAAAGTGCTAAAGTTTGGCAAAAGTGCCAACACATTAATGGGATTAGGTAGCTGAAGGATAATTTTAATTTTTTCAAACTTTACGCAGTATTAATTAGTATTGGAGAGATATCAGACCGACGAATTAAAAGTTACTGTCATATCTGTGAATTTCTATAGTAGAATTTGCTAAAGAAAAACTAAGCTGTTCTTCCTCAGTTTCTATAGCTCCTGATGGTCATTTTAATCGTCATACATTAAAAGCTCAGGCCATTCTTGACGAAAAAAAACTTGGAGATTTCCGCTCTGAGACATTTTTTGCACTTTTTTCTAAAACCTTCTAAAGATGGATTTTCCGGCCGTAAAGTTCGTTGGAGAAAGCGGTAGGGATCTTCAGAATTTGTTATTGATTCATAATAAAATAGTTTTTGTGATCTTTAATTGTATTTTTATTTTAAAATAATTATTATAGTTTATTTTTGTAACGCAAATTTACTTATTAAGAGTTATTTTTTTATAATAATTTTCAATAAGAATAACAGATAACATCTTCTTCAAGGAAGACATTTATAGCCGCGTGGCGCAATGGATAACGCGTCGGTCTACGGAACCGAAGATTGTAGGTTCGAATCCTGCCGTGGTCGAATTGGTTTTTGCTGTTTTACTGTATTTTTAACTATTTTATTTTAAAAGTTATTAGCAAAATGTTTTTAAAAATTTTTTTATTACTTTAATTTTATGCAAAACAAGAGAATACTTACTTTTCTTAAACAGAAATAGGTATTGTATTGTTATAGGAGTAGGGTTTTTTTTGAATCATGCTTTAAAAACAGTTTTGAAAAAATCTTCCATAAATAATCTTTCGTGCAAAAATCCGCGACTTCAACCATACGCTTATAAATCGCTAAAGAAGCGCCAAACCTCAGGGGAGAAAAAACTTGAATCCCGGCTAAAAGCAGATTTCGAACAAAAACAGCGGTATGCAAAAACCTTAACTGAAGTGCAAAGTCTTTAGGGACCAGCGAGATGTCAGACCAAAAATCATGTGCAGTCTTTAAACGCGTCGTTATCGGATATAAATTTGTAAGGGAATCCGAATTATATTCCAATAGTATTGTTTTTTCGAGGATTTTTGTTTTTCCGCCCGTCTGCTTTATTGTTTGAGAAATTTATTAATAACTTTTATTTTGGGGGAAAATTTTGTAATTTTTAATATTATATATTGTAAGATAATTCTGTGTACTTTTTATATTTGGCGCTTTTAACTAAATTATAAATTTGTGAGACATTGTTATATAGGTTGAACCAAAAGTAGCGGGATACTTTTTAGTTGAAAATTGAACGAAAAGTGTCCCGCTACTTTTGGTTCAACCTATTTGAAAAAGTAACTATATCATTGATTTTTGACAAGAAAATGTAAAAAGGTGACCGTTAAAGTTATTTTGTTTATTTTTCAATGTACATGTCCTTGTGAACGGGGTTGTAAAATAAATTTTACGCGTATTTCCGTTGCAAAATACCTTTTCTATATTGTTTATGTTTTGTGAATGACGCTACGGGATTAATTTTTGCTAAACTTGTACTTTTTATAAGAAATTAAAATACTTTAGGTCGTGTTAAGACATTACTGGCCAAAATATAAATATAGACTTTTTTTTCATTCGCGTTTAAATTTTTTAATTCGTAAAAATATTACTATCGTGTTTCTGTTTATTATTGTAAGGCCTATTTATACATAATTTTAAATTAAACTAATATTTTTTTAGATTTTCTTAAGAATGATTATTAGAATAGTTTTTCTATTTACTTCAATTCAATATTAGATCAACTATGAAATTACACATGAAGTATCAACTTCAGCTATCACTGGCTGTGCTATTTCAACTTTATCACTCTACAGCAGGATACACTGGGGGTATGTTTACACCATCGTAGCTTAATTACTTAAAAATTTTAGATAAAAAAGTAATTTTTTCTTTTTATTTAATTTTAAAATTGACCTATTCTAACCGTTTAGACGGCCCACCAACATTCCTAGTCCGCCCACAGGATTCAAGAGTACCAAATGGCTCAACCTTGGTGCTATTTTGCCGGGCTTCGGGACAACCATTACCATCTATTATGTGGTTGATGAATGGACATACTATAGCTGAAACTCGGTAAATCGCAGTATTTTATTTCCTTTATTGTATGATAGTTTTGGTTTAATTGACTTACTAATCTCAAATTTTGGGTTCAAATTATAGTAATACACCTTGAAATTATCGAAAAAAAGTTCCACTTGAATAATACTGTTTTGCGTAATTAGCGGTTTTTATTTTACCCCACACGAACATCGTTTTTTATTATAAATTTTGCTCCGCCCACTATAACTAATAATTTGATTTACTTTAATAATCCAGGTGTTTTGGTCTTTAATTTTACTATTATGAAAAGGAAATAAACAAAAATACGTGGTATTTATTGTGATTTAGTGGCTAAAATGTAATTTGTATAAAAAAAATCTAGTTTTCATTGTAATTTTATTAATCTCATTATAACAAATTTAGTATTACTGGAAAGGCCTAGCTTTTTGAAAATTTACCTGATTTTACAATTATATTATAATATTTACTAGCCCATGGTATTTTCAGATTCAAAATCAAGACCCTACCGGATGCCCTATCCATTCTGCGAATAGAAAACGTGAAACTAGCAGATTCTGGCAAAATCGTAGCGTGCACAGCGGAAAATGGAATAGGGGACCCGTTAAAAACCGAGTCATCACTTACGGTATTTCCGGAAGATCAAGTGCCACCCGGTTTCCCGGTTATTGAAGCACATCCAGTGATGAAGTCCGTAGAAAGCGGCCGAACCGCTCATCTCAGCTGCCGAGTTAGTGGTGAACCAACGCCAAAGGTATTGTGGCTTAAAAACTCGATACCTGTTAACGTAAAGAACAACCCACGGTATTCTGTGTCTACAATGGGGAATCCTGGAGCATTGATGATTCAGAAAGCTAAAGAAGAAGATCAAGGCCGATATGAATGTGTAGCCAGTAATGATTTGGGTGTGGTACATTCAAAAGCTGTACATTTGTTTGTTAAAGGTACGTCTTATATTAATTTTTTTCAAATAAATTTTAAAAATATTCAACGGTTAGACTATAAGATATATTGCAGAACGTCAAAACCCGCCCTACTTTTCGTTTAAACTTCCTCCAGTTCATCGCGTACCTTCTGGTGGAGCAGTCAATTTAACATGTGTAGCTGTTGGATATCCAATGCCGAGAGTGTTCTGGAGACGCCAATCAGATGGAGAAATCTTAAATGATCCACAAACAGCACCAATTGGACGTAATGTTCTTACTGTTACCGATGTTCGGTCTACTGAAAGCTACAAATGTGTAGCTGTTAGTAAACTAGGCAGTATTGATGCTACAACCGTCGTTCAACCCGATGGACGTAAGTTTTTTTACTTGGACGGCTTAGGCTTGTTTCAGTGCGATAAATTTACCCTGTCTCACACTATCCTATAATAGAATTGCAGCATAATTACAATTAATTACTAGATTACCTAATACGATGTTATAATAATATAGCCTTAGAGAAAATACAAGAAATTTTGTTGCGTAACTCTTCTGATGTAACTTGTATTATTTTATATAATATTTGCCTCGATGTAAAACGACCCAAAAAATTACTGCGAGTACTGGAATTTTTTGTGTTTGGTTAGCTTTTATGTGCTATGTTATATGTGTATGTAAACTTGAGATCTACTGTCTAAAGTCATTATTCAGAATGTTAAGCCTACGCCTCGGTCTAAGCTTAAGCCTACGCCTCAGCTTAAGCCTAAGCCTAAGCCTAAGCCTAAGCCTAAGCCTAAGCCTAAGCCTAAGCCTAAGCCTAAGCCTAAGCCTAAGCCTAAGCCTAAGCCTAAGCCTAAGCCTAAGCCTAAGCCTAAGCCTAAGCCTAAGCCTAAGCCTAAGCCTAAGCCTAAGCCTAAGCCTAAGCCTAAGCCTAAGCCTAAGCCTAAGCCTAAGCCTAAGCCTAAGCCTAAGCCTAAGCCTAAGCCTAAGCCTAAGCCTAAGCCTAAGCCTAAGCCTAAGCCTAAGCCTAAGCCTAAACCTAAGCCTAAGCCTAAGCCTAAGCCTAAGCCTGAGCCTAAGCCTAAGCCTAAACCTAAGCCTAATCGAAGCTACTAATTACTGCGAGTGTTTACGTAATAAAACACTTTTTACCTGCCGTGTTTCAAACGTATATAAATGACTGTGGTGTAAAAAAACTTTATTATTAAGATTAAAAAGCTTAATCTTTAGCGTTTATTCCCGTTCCACCGCCTGTCAACTTGCGAATAGTGGATGTTAACGATACTTCAGTCAAAATTCGGTGGGACCCTGTTACAAGATCCGAAAAAATTGCCAAGTTTATTGTTACATATCAGGTCAAGTAGGTTTTTATTGTTGTTTTTACGAATATGGGTGGGTTTTCTATATTGCTTTGGATGGTTAATATCCGAATATCTATCCACATCTTATAAATTGATAATTATATCTGATAATATCGTTATAGATTTGATTCACGGACTGTTGTTGAAAAAATAATATTTGATGTTGCTTCAAATCAAGCTCATATCCAGAATTTGGTGCCTTTTAAGGTAATAAATAATTTATTTTGGGCTTTGTTACCTAAATTCATTTTTTATCAACTAAAAGTTGTTTTTTAATTTTTTTGTTACCTAATAACGAGTTTAAATATTTTAAAGCGTTTTTCTCTAAATATAACTTCTGTTTAGCATTATCAATTCACGGTAAAAGCGGTAACCGCTTCTGGACGTCAGAGTGAACCTTCATCTCCTATTGAAGCTCATACGGCTCAACAACCGGCAGAAAGTGCGCCATCGGACGTTCGGGTTCGCCCATTGACCGAAAAAGGATCGGTTTTGGTTGAGTGGACAGCCCCAGACGAAGATTTGTACGGAACAGTGACGGTACGAATTTGAACGTGAATATTTTGAGCATTGTTTTGGTTTATATTATGCGGACATAAAGAATCCGCCATACTTTTCCTATAATTTTCTGTAATAAAGGCGGGTTTTTTATGTCGGCACTTAATATTTTACATTTTATGCTAGTTTATGTTAAATTCTTTTTGCTTTTAGGGTTATAAGGTAATTTACACAGACGTTGCGGAAACTACTCCAGAAGATGGGTGGAAACAAGTAAGTTTAAATTTGGAATTGATGAAAATTGTTACCTAAAAAATATTATTTAAATTGAAAAAAAACCAAAAATATGATCTAAAATTGAAGTCATAATGCTTCTAACTGCTTTTATTTTAATTTTTATAGAAAGATATTGGCACAAGAGACACGGCTACCACGATCAACGGCTTGGATTTGGCGAACGAACACTACATCAAGGTCAAGACAATGAACTCGAAAGGTGCTTCTCCATGGTCGAATGTGGCTAGGATTGTTGTGAAGCCGGATAATGGTTGGTTTTATTACTTTTAAAATTATTTTAAAAGTTTTAATTCTTTGCCAAAACGTTGCATAAGTGATAAAACAATTTTTTGCCTATTTATGTATCAGGTTTTCGATAATACAGACAAATTACATTGTAGTGCATTGCACTCTGAAGTTAAGCTCTTTTTTATTTTTAAGGATTCAGCCGCCGTCCATTTTTTTGGCATTTTAAAATCGTTAAACCCAAACAAGAAACAAAATGCCTTAAGGGAATTAAAACAAAAACGGACGAGAATTTCGTTTTTTACTGGTAAGCAGAATCGCCTTCGAAGTTTCTGGGTTAAGCTTCGGAGGTTAAAAGTAAATGTGAAAAGTTTGAGAGGGTCCATATGGTTTTTGTTTAGGTTTTTTGGGTGGGAGGGGGTAGATAATATGGTAAAAAGTAAAATTACGAATTAAAATTAATCTCAGGTTGTTAAATACGGAAAAAAAATTATATTAGGCTTAGAGAACATAACAGAAGAATATAGTTGTTTCACGGCTTCTAACTGTGAATTATTACATATTGTTTATTTGTTCGTACAACCGCCGTTACCGCAATTACGCAAATACACATGGAGGTTCTCATTAAATGCAAATATTTAGTAGTGTGTATTACTCGGTGTGAAACTGATAGTCTCACGAGGGTTTAGATTGGAAAACGAAAATTGAGAATCCGTTCTTTCTTGAATTAAGTGCTTTAGACGTTTTTTGGTTATTTTACTTTTGTAATTGCATTGTCTTGAATGTAGCTTTAGTTTCTAGACCGCACCGGGCATTGGAGTAGGAGGGGGGGGGGCGGTGACTATTAAAAGTTATCGATATTATCATACTTTTAAAGCCCAAAAAAATCGAAAAAGTTTAGAAATTAATTTTGTTTGGCTTCACATTAATTTCCCTCCTTTATAATGTCAAAGTGGCCCTTTTATAAATGTCAGAATGGCCTTTAAAGCGGATCTATTCTTTAAGAAAAATTGCTCTGGAGTCGAGAAAAATGGCGCCTGTTGCGCAATTGCGCATTCAGTTTTTTGTGAAGCGCAAAAGCAATTTATAATCTTTGAAAGGGCCGGTTGGCCGCTAAAAATTCTTCAAGAGGTGCTTGGCAGCTGGCATTGACTAATGTACTATATAACGTTAAGGTTTGGTGTAATGGTCTTGGAAAACGGGGTTAGCCGAATATGATTTTTTTGATTTGTAGGGTTGGGCACAGGGATTTTGATATAGATTTTCAGCTCGAGTATTTTGTGTTCAGCACTGTGTCAAAAATCATAAAAATTAAAAAAAGTCCATCAATGCCTACTTCCCGGTCTTATGGACCTTCTAAACGGTTTTTTGTTCGCTTTTTTTGAAACTCATACAATTTATCCTCTTGACAATTGAAAAACGGAACGTAAAATTTAAATTTGAGCATTGTTACGAATGTTTGCACAACAATGCCTTTAAGGCTTTTTGGCGAAATGTCACCAGCGCCAATTAAAGTTGTGCTCACAGGGCGGCCGTTGACAGCAGTGGCGCTCAATTTAAGGCCTCGGGTTTTTTAATTTTAATTTTTTGCCGCTCTAAAATTTGCATAGCAGCTTTGGTTACGTTTTAAAAGTTTTTTGGAAAGGGTTTTCTTTTGGAAACTGGGAGATATATTTTACAAGACAGAGTTTCATTGAGTGTAACGTAATTTATGATCGATTTTAAACTAAAGTAGGATTATAAAATCATCATAAAACTTGGAATCAGTTGTTATCCTCTCTAATGCACTTGTGTTTTTGTCGACAGATTGTGCGCACTCGATTTTTGAATGGCCATATGGTTTGGAAAATAAAACGAAATGGGGTTCGGTTACTCGGAAATTCGAGGATTTTTTAATTTTCCTGTTGTTATGCAAATATAAAACTGTTTTGGTATTGGCCAAGGATGTAATTTTTCTAATATACGATTTTTAAGGGGCCAACAATTTTTTTTGCAAAAAACGAAAGTTGTGGGGGGTTCGTTAAAATGTTTTTCTGTGATAAGCGAGGAAAAAAATCGGTTTTACTCTTTACCTTTCAACGCTATCATCATCCGGATGATGTGTGCGTGTGTATATTTGGAGTTTTTAGTTCTCATAAAAACTAATCCAGTTTTGCGCAAAAATGGACAAACAATCCCCAACGGCACTCTTTTTCTCTCATTTTAGGGGTAGAGTTTGCATTTCTTTGGCTATTAAAAACAGTGCGGGAGCCGTCTCGTTATTTGAGGACTGAATGAAAAACTTTTTAGGATATTATGTTGGTTTGGTTTTGGCAACGAATATGTTATAGTACTCTTTATGGCAAAAGTTCTGAGCATATGAATATGTTACTTTTTTTTGGCAACTTTTAGTGTATTTTTTAAGTGATGCAGACCGTGCTGGGCGAGTTATTCTGATCTGGAGAGGGAGACTTTTTTGTTATCTTGTGAGGTAATTGTTTGTTGTTTACTCTTCATATGTAAAAGCGAATTGTATTGTGTAAATTTATGCACAATTCTTCAGTGTCGGTGGCGTTTCTCGCCTTCCCGATTTGTCGGTGCGCGATTAATCAAAATGCACTGACTTGGAAACTGCGAAACCCTCTTTTCTCTGTCTTCGAACGGAAGGCCTTTAAGAACTCTTCTGACTCATTTTGTGGACCTTCTTCCCTCAAGAAGGCGCCGATCCTCATGTTCCGCGGAAGTGCGCAAAACATTTTTAGGCAGATTTTGGTCGGCGCTGACTGCGCCAAAACCGGACCGGTAATGGGTTGAGCAAGAACAAGACGACTTTAATAGGTTCGAAAGTGAAATATCACTGTTGGGAATGTTTTTTCGTTCGAATGAAATATTTTATGTTGGTTTATAATATAAGGGGTTGTTGGATATGGTCGCTGCTTTAATATTATTTGTAATATTAGGTGCCGACATAAAGAACCCGCCATTTTTTACAGGAAGTTACAGGGAAAGTATGGCGGGTTCTTTATGTCATTACCTTAATTTCGTTTAGGGATACTGGGTAGGCTAGGGAAAAGTAGGATAGGGGAAATTTGTGTAGGAGGGGTTCGGTGCTAAGTTATTATTGTAGTTTATAGATCATTTTGTATAACCTTGAATTGATCAAGCATGCTCGCTCTAATTTATCATGTCATTTTCGTTCACCTTTTGCGACGCAGGTGTCTATTATCATATATTATAATTCGGCCTTTAAATACATTTCTATTTTTTGATAGTTTTTACGATTTGGACATTCGTTTCAAATTTTAAATTCAATGCTCTAATTTTTGGCTGTTCTTAACATTATATAAACTTACCAATTATAGTTTATTTGAAAAACGATGCGTAGTGTGATTTCTTTTATATTTTGCTCCAAAATTAAAAAATATTGTTATAAGGATATGTGGATTATAGTTTTGAGCTTGATTTCAAGAGCCAAACACTTGAAATGCAATCTGCAGGCTATTCTCATGCGCTTTTGTTGTTTTTTTTGAGTAATGTAGTCGTTAACATAAGATGACTCTAAACCAACTAGAATAGTTTGTAAGATATATGTAATCGTCTGCTAGTTTATTTCAATATATATTTATGTATATATAAACTTTGTAGACTTAATATTTTTGAAGCGGGCAGGGTTCTAATTTCGTTTTATTTTGGATTAAAAGTTTTTGTTTTGATTTTTGAATCAATTGTTTAGAAAATTATTCACAAATTTAAAATTTTTTTCCTAAAACAAAGTTTTGACATGACTCACTAGAATCCGTGTATATCAAAACATTACAAAGCGCTTGAAGATTCATAAAAATTCTTAACCTTTTATAGCTCCGAAAATGAGTTGAAAAGAAAGACGGCTAATTCACGGTCCAGAGAGCATGTTAGATTGACCACTGGCTACTTCATAAGATTTCCTTTTTTTGTGTTGAAAAGAAACCTTATGGAGACTTGAAATGTTTTTTTAAAAACATTGACGGACATCTGGTGATGGTCCGGGACCGTTTTAGTGGGTAAAACAATCAAATTTGCGCTTCTGGTTCCAGACAGTTTTATGGACTTTTTGGAATGATTGTGGAAAGCTTTCTTAGAACACATTTTGGAGGCATAAATTCATATGTTATTTGTTAAGTAAATAGCACTTTACTTATGTTATACTGGGTAAACGGTACACTTTCGATAAAGCAATTAGTCAATCTTAAAAAAATGTTGTTGCCAATTCTCTGGAGAGCTGTTCCCGAGCTCGTTACCTTTTTGATTTTTTCCGACGTTGTTTTTAATCCGCGCGGCGAGCAAAAACGGATCGGTCACTAATTCTACTTGACATGTAAGCGATGGTGCAAAAAATGCATCCCAAAAACTCTTTTTTTAACGCCTCTTGTTTGGTTTTGCGGCTTACAACGTCGAAAAGTTGTAACGGTCAATATATAGTCTGAACTTTTTTATTGTTACTATTGGGTTGTTAAATTTTTTAGAGTGGGAAGCAGCGGCAGGTAAAAGATTTGGGAGGGCGGGTGGGGGATGAGAGCGAGATAAAGCTTTATTGTCTAGCTAAAAAATGAAGGGGGGGGGGTAGTGTGCTGTCCCAAAACCAGGGCCAGGCGGGAGGCCGGATGGGGAGGGGGGTTAAGGACTGCTAATTGCGTAGTACCTTTCAAAAATTTAAGAAAACCTTATATGTTCGACATTTATATTAAAAATGGCGATGCTTAAGCCGAGAAATCGGTATACCTGTTCCCCTTTTCTAAAACCGCTGCGCAATGGCATTCTTCCCTGGCCGATCATAAACGAAAATAGAATTCTGACAAAGGAGAGAGAAAGCGAAGCTACATTTGGATGATTTAGCGTCGTAGAAGCTAGCAAACATTAGTAGTAATTTAATTTAAAAAAAATATGGTTATGAATTTATTTTTGTAATCTTGTTTGAAGATAGATACATAAAATGATATAGAATAAGAAAGCCAACTAATGAATATTGAACGTAAATTAACCAAACTTTAAGGACACAGGAACCTGCGAAAGAAAATGAATACAAAAAAGCGCAAAAAATAGCATAAACTTAAGAGAGGTTTAGAGAAACAGAGTAATGCGCAAAAATCGGCGTTTTGTGGTTTTTGGCATTGGGTCTTCATTTCTCGTTGCGATATGAGTTATTTCTTTATGGAAGCCTAGGTTTTTGTCTAATATGAAGATTTTTTGGGGCATTTTAATTATTTTATAAATTTGAAAATTAAAATAATTTTTTTATTTATGGGCAATATTTTTTTTTTAATTTTGAAGTACTGTTGGCTCTAGACTACAATATTGCCAGTTTTTCCCAGTTGGTCATGCTGTCTTTACAGGATAATTCACTTAAACTATTTATGGCGCTTCATCAGAATCAATGAAGTTGCTACTGTTAGATTTTTATCTTACTTTAAACTACTTTAAAACGCTTGACAAGAATTACTTTTTCATGGGCTCTTTTGTTTTTTACATGCCACATTTACTCTGATAAAATACATTATTTAACATTGTGATAAATTTTGTGTTTTAAATTAAGAACTATTTTTATTATGCACTTTTTGTGAAATGTAGCCTTAATTTGTCTTTTGATTGTTCTTGGCCAAATTTGTTTTTGACCCAGTTTCTTTTGTTTTGATATACGAGCAATTCTTGGCTGGGTTGGAGCTTCGATTAGAGTCAAATGTATTGTCATCCTATAATTTTTTTTGATTATAATTAAGGCTAAATAGTACAAAAAATTCTTCCTTAAAACATGTTTTGGAAAGCTCTATCCGTCTTATCACTCATTTCACTACATTTATCTCCTCACGCACTTAAACAACCCATCTGTCACTAACGTCGGCTAATTCATCATTTTTTGACCGAATTTTTATTCAAATTCGAAAAATTTCGACGGACGGCCTTTACTTCGCCTATAAGGCTCACGATCAAGGTCGCGAGCGTTTTTTGCAATGAATTTTTGGGAAAATGATTTCAAGTTAAACATTTTTAACGACCTAACAAGGTTTCTGAATTGAATAATATAACACCATACGTCGTGGGGGCATGGGAATTGGTTTACTTTCGTTCGACGTGAGTTTTGGTTTTTAGGTTGGGTAAAATAATGAGTTTAAAATAAAAATATTATTTGCTATTTTAGTTCTTAGCCTTAATATCTTGTAATTTTTTCTAACTTACGTATGTCTAATAGACAACCTGTGAACTTATGCTAGCACATTGCACGTTGGTTGTCCCTATTAATAAATAATGACGTGAAATAATAAAAGATTTATAATTTACATGCAAGAAGATATTTTTGGGGTCGAGCGGGGGGAAAATTTGTTTGATTCATTTCCACGATTTTTTGGACACCAAAAATGGCCCATTGGGAAGGACGAGAGGTTATGTTGAGTTGAAAAAGTCGGGGTTTTATTATTTTTTGGGGGAATTTTTATACTAAATTCCTTGTTTTATGTTTACCCGTTTTATTTTTGATGTTAGCATGGGCTGTTATGATGGGATTTATAAAATATAAAAGGACATCATTTTTAGGCTTATTTATAAAAGTGAACTTAATTCCGCTTGTTTAATTGTAAAAAAGTTTTAAATAGTACACGGGGCCCAGGGAACTATTTTTGTCCAAACTGAGTAATCAGCTAATATTTCTTTTGTTTTTATAAGAAAGGGTTTGTCTAGGAGTAATTGGAATAAGGTTTTGCGACCGAAAAGTTTGTTTTGCTTTAATTCCAGCGGAGGAATGAACTAAATTAAACATACATTTAGGCTGTCCAGCTTTATCTTTAGGTATTAGCCGAGTATTTTGATTTTTTACAAGAAGGGTTGGGTTAGTTGGATAAAGATCATCAAAACGTTTTAATTTTGATTAAAATATAAAAAGTTATGCTTTAGTTTTATATATTTTAGTTTATATCACAACACTTTTATTTTATGATTTTACTTACGTTTGTTGAGTTATGAAACTCAATTTATGCGAAAAACAGCGTTTTCTTTGCCCATTAGATGGTGTTCGTTTTTCCGGAAATTATGGGGTCTGAGGCTAGCGAAAAAGACATAAAGATTGGGCGAGGGTCACTAAATAAATATCTTTTTTAAAACTCAACCTTACTATTTTTATTATTACTTTATTTTTAGTTACTTTGTTATCTGTTTTACGGTTAATTTGGAATTTTGAAATTTGAAATTTATTTTATTAAATTATGCTGATTTTTTAGGGTTTTATTAAATTTGTCTTAAAGTCTTAAATTTTGAGGCTATTCATATTTTTCAAAAGTGCCGCAGGAACAGCGAAAGGCAATACGTTATAAAATCTCTAAACTACGCAATGAAATTTTTATATTACTCTTACGGCCTGTTTCTAATGGTTTTTTGGACAAATTTAGCGTTTTTAGACTATTTTTAAAAAACTTTTTTTTGTTTTGTGTTATATTTTTTGTGGGTCTTATATTGTACTGTATTATACTACTTTTTGCTCGTTTTTTGCCGATTGTATTGTTTTGTTTTGTAGCGGGTTTTATTAAGAAATGAAATTTTGCAGCACATGGATATTAATATTAGTGGAAGGCTATAAATCTCTTATTATAAATTATTTACAATTATCGAAAACAAAGAGTAATTTGTAAATAAGATGCCAAGAGATCGGATAAAAGCTCAGAAATTTGAGATGAGAATATGGGCTTTGATAGGCTTTGTTATTTTTTGTAATCAAATTGTTGAAGCTGCTAAGCAAAGAGGTAATTTTAAAAATTTTTAAATTTAGTACTTTTAAATTTTGAGACAAGTGTTTTTCACTTATGCAACACTTTTTAAATCTAAAAATAAACTGAAATTCAATGGATTTGAGTAAAATGTTTATATTACAAAATTTTTAGTACCATCGCCACCCTTGGATCTTCAAGTGGCACCACAGAATGCCACAACATTTCGGGTCACGTGGAATAAGCCCGAACATTCTAACGGTCAAATCTTTGGTTACTACGTGTACCAAGACAAACTGGTCGATGGTAATTTAACGCCGAATGGTCGAAAAAAGAATGTTTTGTGGAATCCGAACGCCAATCATACTATAGTATCTGAATTGGAGCCAAATTCTGAATACATAATTCGTGTAAATGCGTTTAATGAAAATGGTGATGGAGAGTTTGCTAATTCGGAGAATTTTAAAACTGGACGAAGTCGTAGGTTTTTCAATTTAAGTTTATTAAAATTTGTTGACTCACATCAATTTAAAAGATTTTTTTCTTGTATAATTTAAAAAATTATGTTTTAATAAAAAAATACGGAAAAATTTTAGCACCGGAAGCACCACGCCCGCAATCGGTATCGTTAATGGATGAAAACCCGCCATTAAGGGCACGAGTGGAATGGTTACCTGCTCCGGATCGTGGTGACAATGCACGTGCGCCAGTCCAAGAATATTTGGTGTGGTACCGAGCTACAGACAGCGACAATTACTGGAAGAATGTCCGAGTTGCTGGCGATCAAAGCAGTGCTGTTCTGGAGGAACTGAGTACGTAATTTTATTTTTCGAGTTGTTATTGTTTGTTTAATAGAATTAGGCTTAGTTGGTTTTAGTTTAGGCTTATCTGACTACTGAATATACTTAGTTTTCTTAGTTTCCATAATCTAGTATTTACGTAAAACGTTTAGATATGGGCACAGAGTACGAAATTCGTCTAGCCGCTCAGAACGGTGATGGGAGATCTGAAAATGTGACTGAACGACTAAATACTCCGGTTGGTAGACCATCAGCACCACCATTGAATATTAGGTATTCGATAAGCGGAGATAAAGCAACATTCCAATGGGATCCGCCAGCCGAAGGAATGCGCAATGGTCCTATTTCCGGGTATCATGCAGTATTGGCTTGCTCTGACAACACTCCACCGAGACATCAAACTGTAAGTATCTAGTAGATAAACATGCTAAAAGTTGAATTTTTGCATTTTTCCGTTTCAATAGTTTATTATAATATTTTTAAAGAATAAAATCCGCTAATTTTTTAAAAAATTTTGCACGTGACTTTATAGGTAACACGTCAATGGTCTCAGTATACGATCGATTTGAAAAAGAGCTACGGATTCAGAGTTGCAGCATCGACTTCAAAAGGTGACGGACCTTTCGCCGACCAAATAAGAGTTCACCCTGCTGAAGGAGGTTGGTTTAAAGTTTACTTTTTGCTAATTTTGGCTAAATCTTGGAAAATTTAATTTATTAAAAATTGAGTGTAATTTTTGACGTTTTAAAACACGGCTTTATGCAAGTGGTGACATAAGTAACATCACATATTAAAAAATTTAAATTTTGACGTAAAATTCGAAATGCAAAAACAAAATTTTGCACGAACACAGTCAAACTATGCAAAACGAGCAGTTTGTAAAGCCTTCTCATACTCTTAAAATACGCCGCCGAATCGGTTTAATAAATATTCGAAATTATGGTCGTATTACTTTAACACCAAGGAGACGTCAATGACTGAATGCACAATTTTGTAAAACTGACGAAGCCGACCGGGGTTTTGTGGCCGAAATGGAGACGCGGAATTGCTCAAGTCAACTCAAGCTTGAAGAAAATAAAAAAAAACAAAACCGCATTTCGATGCCCGCATAAGGAGCAAGTTTGGGCCGCCCGGGTGTTGCATTACGACTGGTTTAGATAAATTTTCTATGCGAACCCTGTATTTGTTGTTCTGTTTAAGGCTGGGCGACTTTGGTCTGCTTAGATTTCATGAGCCTATTAATTTTTGGCGTTTTTTTTCTTAATTTGAATATTTTATTACTGTCAGGTGAATTAGACCAGGTATTTTTTAAAATATTAACTTTTCATTCTTATTTTTTTCTTTCTTATAGACTCTAAAGTTTGAACGAACGTCTATAGTAATATAACTCTTATTTGTTCACGTATCTTCTTGTGGTTTTTCAAAACTTTTTGTGGCAAACATTAGCTTTCATTGTAATGTTTAATATTACACTAATAGAATTGTATTTTTATTCCAGTTATACTTTGCAACAGTATAACATAAGTAAAAAATGTAAAATTAAATTAAATTTTTTTTGCATTTTTTTGAAAAAATGACGTTACTGAATGGTCTTGAATTTAGGATGACATTTAAATTTTATTTTCAAAAGTAGATCGTTGAAAACACTTGAATGTCGTCTTATCTTACACGCAGGTTCTAAATGCATCCGGTCATATAAGAAGTAACTCAATATGACCTTCTTTGTTGACATTTTTCACACATTTCCTGGTCATAAATGGAATAGGCGCGCGTTGTTTTGTTTTAGACCAGTCTGTTTAATTAAATAACAGTCTTAAGATTAACAATTGGTCAAGTCTTAGTTGGTTAATGAAGGCTTCTTTCGATGTTTAAAGTTGTCTTATAGGCTTAAACTCAGTAGTGTTAGGCTTCAGGTTTATGTAGAGATCGAACTAAAGTTCTTTTGACAGCAAATCTGATCTAGGTCTATTACCTATTACAGAGGAAGTTTGTTTTTTGTTCATCGGAAGTAATACATAATTCTTGGCAAATCTAAAAATGATGTAATAAGAAGACCACAACAGATTATTGTGGTCTTAATTTATCCTTTGTAATCAGTTACTGGAAAAAGATATTTGAAAAAGGGCTTTGTATGGGTTTTTGTCGGCTTCTGATGTTAATTCTATACTAGATTTCATCGAACACAGTAATATTAGTAAATACGTTTTGTTTTATGAAAAATTTTGAACAAATTGTTTTTTTGTAAGTTTTAAATTTTGTTTTCAATTCGAATATAAAAAGTTTTTAAATATTTAAAGTGTCATGCTTATAAAAGTATGTGTGCGTCAAAATTCGCGGAAGAGAGGTCATTTTGGCATGAGCTCTTCGTTTGAATTTTTAATAAATTTAGAAGGCTTTTCACTTGGATACGCGTTTTACAAATTTCTTGCTAAAAGGTGTTTTTCTACTTATGTACTATTGTTTTTTTGTCCCAAATGGAGATTAGTAAAGTGATTATTTAACAAGAAGTTGATGCCACTTTCTGACATTTTAAGAGTTTGTTTAGCTGATATTAGGCTTGTAAATGGTTTTTGGTTTATGATGAAACTCTTGACACTGCATTTCCCTTTATAGTACACTTTTAGTTGTTCCTGAAAATTAGCAGCTTTTTTGCTGTCTGTCAAGTTATTATGTCCACTCAGTTAAGCCGGTGATCCTAATCCCCTCACTTATAATTTTACTGCGCCGAATATGGAAATTTGTCGCTTTCTTTTCTACTCGAGAGAGTGGTTACTCGAGAAGTGGCCAGTAGTGAATATTAAATTGAATAAATATATAGGAGATGACACCATGATGATATGCATGTGCAATTGAGTGGAAGTGCGGGCAGATCGTTCCGAGAAGGTTTTAGCGTTTCCTTTACGAGTAGTTTAGCCTTTTATTTCTCAGTATAAAATTTGCAGGTTTTTTAGGTTATTAGGTATAACATCCACTAGTAGTTGTTTTGTTTACTTTATACATAGTATATTAGTGAGTTTACGTAGCATGTTTTTTACAATAGTTTGAGTATGTAGCTTTGTATGAGAAAGTCTTTTCATTAGTTTTTAAGGTACGGAGCATAGGTTTTTTGTACAATGGAACCATAAATACACAAAATTAATTGAATAATCTTATTTGTTTTGTGCCCGCACACACCTTTGATTTTAGGCTTTTTCGGCGTCTTTAAAGAGAACAAAACATACAATTTTGCTTTTTTGTTTTCTATACTAACTACTACGTTACAAAAGCAACTTGTTACAGACTGATGAAAAAGGAATTTAGAATTGTCTTCCATCTATACTTTTGAATTATTTCAAATTTTCAACTTGTTTATTCTAGATTTTAAAAATTTATCAAGCATTTTGAGTAAAAGTATGTTATACGCTTTTGAAAACGCCATAATTTATTGTAATAGCGTTGTATTTACTCTTATTTTGTGATTTCCAGTAAAGAATGCATAATTTTCTAAATATTCATATCATTGTTTTTGTTGTGTCAAATGCACAGGACAGGTTATGCGGTCCGATTGATTTGATTAATGTTGAAGCTAAATTGTGTCTCTAGGGGGGTCTTTGAGAGCGTTAAACGGTTATAGTACAGTTTATGATTGTTCAGAATGTTCTTTAATGGTCGTCTTATTAGCTATATGTTTGAGTATTATTGAAGTATGCGTTTAGGTAATTTCTTACAAGTATTAAGGTTTTGAAAAGCATGGGTATTAGTTGAGGAATAATTTAAAGACTTTTATGGTTTTATGAAATTTTAAATGAATTTTTCCAAGTTTCATAATTTTTGACGTCCAAATTTCGCTGTTTATTTTTAACACCGGATGTTTCATCTGTAACTGCATTAATAATTGTGGGTGTTTAACTTTTAAAAAGGGATTAGCCCGTTTGTGCGGCATTCTAAGTGGAATTTTTAAGGTTAATAAGTGCTAATTTGTATTATAATGATACTTAGTTGTCGAGGAATATATTGATGTAGGTCATTTTTTAAATTCTGGAGCTTTGTGTGAAAAATCAAAGTTATTTTTAATTTTAAAATATATGGAAGTTAACATTAACATTAGAACTTACATCAAAGATCCGGTTAATTCAGGGTATTTTTGCGGTATAACAATAGTGGATGTAACAACACGATTAGTATTCATAATTCATTTGGCTTTGCAATAATATTTACGGACATAGCTACGCGTGTAAATATCCTTTACTATTTGCATTTTATGGCTAATTTTGAAAAATCACTGTTTTTTTTTAAATAGAAACTATGATAAAACAATCTACTTTTTTATTGAATTTTTTACCTAAAAGTAACTGAAATTTGTGTAAAAATGCTGTAAATTCACCCGTAACAGCCAAGTTTGGAATTCAATTTTTTTTCGATTAATTTAGCTTTTTCTTCAAAAAGTTTTTGGCCATAAAATTGGAAAGTAATTCTTAAGGACATTTAAAACTTTGTTAGCGTCAAGTACTTTTTGGGTCTACAAAAAACGTTACTTTGTTGACTTTTGTCGCTTACCTAAAACATTGACTTAAAGTCATTTTTGCTCAGAGAGACAACACGTTGAGGTGATGACGTTTATGATTTAAATTAAATTTTAAAAATTATTAAGCTAGTTTTTATAAAATAAATTATCTTAAACGTTGCAAAAATACATTAGTTGTGAAAATTGGATTAATGATGTCACTGTGTTTTTAATTTTTAATCAGTACATTTTAAGAGATTTAAAAATGGCTTCATATTGTTAAGAAAAACGTAGGTGGATTGTTTTCGGAACTAATAACTTCTATTATATTTTTATTGTTGCTATGCACTATTAATGGCCTTTTGCAAGTTGTGCTTTTAACCACTGTTGTGTGCTGGCGCAGGGGAGATCTTAGAAAAATTAAAAAAAAAATACTTGTTGCTCTCGGTAGTTACTTACTTTTAAAAACTCCTGGAATATTATTAATAATGGGTGGACAATATTGATTCGTGTATCTTGGAATGTCTTTAGCAATATTAAGCTATTTCCTGTTTAACGTAAGTATTTAAAATAAGAATCCGATATTGAGGTTTAATCTTATGAAAGAAGTCAACTACGTAAACATGTCTACTTTACGTAACATTCAAGTATTGTAGCAATGAGTTTGTACATTCATTTATTTTCATAAACTGAGCCGGGTTAGGGACGTATAGCTGGAAATTTATTCGTGGATTGATATAATAGATAGTATATTTGCACTTTTTAACTCTTTATGTTAAGGCAGTTGTGATTTTTGTGGCACAATTTACATGAAGGATTAAATTTCTACAACTGTTTTGTTGGAAAACGGCCAAGAACATTATAATTCATAACGTTTTTACCACGTTGCTAGCTCAACTTTTTAAGAAGCTGTATAGTCGACTGTTGAAAACCTAAAATGCGTCATGGCGACGAATTTACCGCACCTTTTACCGACGACTCAAACTCTACAAAATCAACGACAACTCCAATGTCAACATACGACGACGACGCGTTTGATGCTACAACTACATCTACTGCTGAGCCGACAACAACTACTACAACACCTGACCCGGCCGATCCGGAATATATTTTGCACTTTCCAAACGAACAACCGGTTGTCATTAGTCCGAAATTGTGCAAACATGGTATTTTGACACGTTTTGAAGAGTTGGTAAACTTGTTGAGTACGGGGTGGAAGTACCATGTCGCCAATACTGATGGCATCAAAGATGAATGGAGCCGATTTGAAAAGGCTACCGAGCACGTTTGTTCTTATACTGGAGGTATGTTATAGCAAAAAGAAAAACATATGAGAATGTAAAAAAACTTATTGGTCGGTATGTTAAGAGTATGAATTGGCTATGCAAATTGTTAATTTTAAAAATAATATAAAAAATCAGTAAATTTGGAAAGTTTTTGTTAAATCAAACTGATTTTAATAAGTTTTGATTAAAATTTAGTGGTTGTTGTATAAAAACTCAAAGATCTTATCAAATTTTCATATTGTGAGTCATAAATGTGGTGACTGATATCAGCTCAACCATATGAGGGAAAAGTAATGCCGCTGTTTCTTATTTGAATTTTTTTAAGTTTAGAAAGTTAAATTTATTGGAGGATTAAAAAATTTTTTGTATCATCACTGATTTTTTAAAAATTCATCTGACATGCAATCACTTAAATGTTCAAAATATGCAAACATTTTTTCCAAAAATGCCCAATTGTTCTTATCTTAAACATCAGAATTTATCTTCAACATGGCGTTTGCATTGGAATTTCAAAAAATATTGGGCCTCCGCGCAAGGCCAATTTGCATAAAACGCCCGTTGGGAAATTTTATCGCGCCAGATTTACAAGTCGTCTTGAATTAAACGCCTCAGAAGCCATAAAAATGATGAGAGAGCGCTTTTTTAGTGAAAATTTTTTGATGTTGGGGAGGAGCTTTATCAGAATTTTACTCATATTTTTTGCAAGCCTTGATTTATAATTGGGGAAGCGGTTAACACTTGATTGTGGCTTTTTTACTCTTCTAATCGTAAAAAGTGGTATTGGACAGAGTTAGTAATAGTCGGAAGTGAGGTTGTTTTTAATGTCATAAGAGCACATAATGAGCCATATTTTTGGTATTTTTAAAAATGTGTTAAAAACATTGCGTTATCGGGGCTTAAAATAATTATCATCTGAGGCCTTAAAATTTTTTTTACATTTGAGTGAAGATCACTGGAGGAGGTAAATGTTACCACCCCTTGCTATAATAGAAAATCTTTAGCTCGTTGAAACCTGTTTCAATGTTATGCGGTTAATTTGAGAATATTCGTTGTAAACATTATTTACATAATTTAACATTAATTCAAATTTGCTTCAAATCGACCGTGCCTTTAAAGCTTTTCTGAAAAGTCAGTTGAGCGTCAAACGCCTTTGGTCATTTGTTTCTTTAAGGATTTCTAAGGTGAAGAGCCATGCATTTATGCATCCGAGCGCTTCCAAAACCTATTTTCCGGGTTTTTTTTGGGAAACACTGCAACGTTTTGGGTTTGAGGAACTTGGGCCGATTTAGGCTTTGTAAAAAGTCATGGTGTTTTAAGGCTGGTGCAACCTAGAAAAAAATTTTTAAAAAGTTGAATGTGATCTTGTTCACTTTAAAAATTTAAAGCATTATTGTATTGTCCAGCTGTTGTCGGCCTTTCTTGAGCTTTTCATAACAATTTTTCTAATTTTTTATGCAAAAAAGTAATATTTTTAGAATGAAGGCAAGTCATTGTCTAAGGAAATCATGTTATTCTTTTAAAAAATGCCGAAAATTCAATTGGCTTTATTAAAATTCCGCTACGAATGTTAAAAAATAACAGTTGGGGATTTATTTTTCGAAGAAATTAGTTTTCTAACTTTATTATATAAGAAAATTTTTATAAAAAAGTATTTCTGACTATAATTTAAAAAAATTTTATTACTGTTTAAAGCAAGCTTTTCATATACATAAAAGTAAAAGTTTGACAGTTCCAAAAAGTAGTTAATGTACATGTCAGTTTTTAAAAGTGTTAGTAATATTTTTTGCCTTGTTTTATGTACACAATAAATTGCGTGTTGGGCTATAAAAGCGGACAAGTGGCCAGCCGTTTTTAAACCTCAAAGCGGATTTTACTCTGTAGTTTAAAATTTTGTGTTTGGATAGAATAAACAACTAGTAAAACAGTGTTACTTTTTGATAACTCAAGGGTAGTATTTTGAAATTTTTTTAAAACAATTTCTGGGTTTAGCTGGCTTTGTCGTTACTTTTCTGTTTTGCGTGGATTTGTATATACGACGACGTTTATAAGTTTGAATAAAAAGTTTTTGTTATTGCCCAAAAAGGATATATTTATTAGCTAAAAAGTCAATCATCGTTAAGCGGGTATAGACGGCTTGTTTTGACAGTTCTTTCAGTCGTTTCCTTATAAAATTGTCCTACATTTCCGACTGTCTTTATGGGAGTTTTAAAATTTTTAAAATCGTGGAGTCAATAATTGTATTTTTAATTTTTTTTGGAAAGTATTAGGTTGTTCACTTAATTCTGCGCCCTCTCTCAAAGCAAATTTGTGAGGTAAAGGGGCGCAGAATTATGTGAAAAACCTAATAACTGGTGAATTAGGGTTTGAAAAAAATTTTGATGTAGAAGAATATCATCTTCTGCAGTCTTTAGGGGGGTTTTTAATGTTATTAGCCTTCAAAACACGCTTTCAACATTTATCAAAAAACTCAAAAATTTTTCACAGCGAATTTGTTAATCTTGGCCGGGGGAAGACTTATTAATTCGTTTAGAATTCCATTGCGCATTACTTTAATTCGAAAGTTTTTTTTGTGTGTGTACGGACGTCTTATTCAAGGGACCACATGTTCGGCCAAGAGCAATTTTGCACGACGCTTTCCTTTCTTTTTTTCTGGCTTGACTTTATCTCCTTTTGTGTTCGGTCCTTGTTGTTATTCGGTGTGAGGGGGAGAAAAACGAAGCCGTTTAGAAGCCGACTTGTACTCGGATGCAAGATTTTTCGAAACGTTTTAAATGAGAACATGTATCTTTTTTGGGTAATTTGCGTCACCTGGACAATGTTTTAGTGTTTAAAATTTAGGTAGATATTTTTTCTTGTTTTTGTCACGAAATGTTTTGAAAATTTAAAATGGTTCTAGTTGAGTAGATAGTTGTAATGGTTAGATTTCGGGGTTTTTTAATTTAACAGAACTTTTTGTCATCAGTTTTAGGCTTTATTAAAATTTTAAGAAGTGCGCTTGTTTTCACTAAATTAAGTAGCCTAAGGCTAATGTACTTTTGAGTATTTGGCGAAGAATCAAAACTTTACTTTTTCATCTTTTCAGTTTTATGAAATACAAGTCGGCATGGGCAAAATATGTGGAAAACTATTGAAAAAGGGGGATTTTCCCATGTTTTAAGTTTGTTTTGTGACTTTATGTACTCTTGCAATAAAATAAAAAGTTATTTTTGGTTATATTAGGTGCCTGCAATAGTTTTTAGTGGTTTTTTTTCGAATGTTGATTTTAGTGCTACGTAATTTAAAGAAAAGAGTTAGTTTTTTGAATATGTCATTAGTGGGCTACTGTCATTCACGTATATTTCTTATAGATGTAAAAAGAGTAATTTGATAGTTGGCAAACTTTTTACACATTTCAAAGTAAGGTTGAGAAGGTGTACGTGCAATTAAGAACTTTTATAGTAAAGCCTGGTTAGAGGCCGGCAGGCGGCTTTGGACTTGGGGGGAAAATTTTTGTGGGAAGATAGGAAGTTTTTTATGGATTTTTATAACATTACTTTCTATCCAAATCAGACAGGTATCCTGAATGACGGATTACTTTACCGCTTCCACGGTTAAAACAAAGAGATTAATTTGAGTGGAAGGACCTTTCACCCTCTGGATAGAATTCGATACGCAATCTCAAGGGTTTTCTTATTGTTTTTCTAATTTTGCGACGAAAAACAAGTGGTCATTCTATTCAAATTTCGCCGTAGCATTCTGGATCGAAATAACCTTGGTTTTGAGGGGGAAATTGCATAAGATTTGACGGGAATTTGTTTAGAAGCCGGGTGCTTTGTCGTACGGACAGTATAAATGTGATTGAAGATTTATAGGACGTTTTGAATTTTGAACGTTTTTTGCGGTCGGCAGCATTTTGGCTTAGCTTGGTCTACAGAATTTGTTTTGCAGTTTTTTATTAATCTGTTGAACTGTTCCGTCGACTCTACGGGCTTAATTAGGTTTTTTCGTTGATTAAGGCTTACTTAAAATGCACTTTTGTTTTCAAAATTACAGAGTCTTATCTACTTCTCTTTGTTAGGTTTTCTATATTTAGGGTCATTAGCATTAATATAAAACTACTTATACAAGTGTTGCAAATACTAATGATTTCCTACTTTTTAAAAACAATAAAATGGTAAACTTTTAAATTAAAGTGTTAAAATCATGTCAAAAAACCCATATCAGCGAGGGTAATGCAGTTAGGTGGCCTCAATATGCTGTACAAATTAGTTTTTCGTAACTTGGTGGACTTTGCGTTAAGGCCGAGATTAGCATTTGAAAGGGAAACGCCTCAGGGCGCGGAAAACATTTAATTTTTGGCATGGGAAAGCGACTAGATTATTGGGTAAAAAACACTTTCACGTGATTTTACCCGAAACACGGCTTTATAAAAAATTTAAATCAAGATTAATGTTTCGTCTTTTTTGTAAAACATACGGTGACAAATTGTGAGAACTTATTTTTTGGGACTGTATGTATAATATTATATGTTTATAATGTATTTATGATCATGTTTTATATCTAATGATTACGATAGTAATATTTTCCTTGATTAAATTAGGCAGTATTATGATATATGGGGCAAAATAGGTATAATGAACATCCCTGGACAAAGAAATTTTGCAGGTATTCGGAAAATGTCTTTCCGTGGTGATCAGATTACCTACAAAAAGGCTTAAAAAATAACGTCGCAAAATTTGAATATTTACACAACGACGAGATGATACTTTAAGTGCGTCTAATTCAGTCGTATTTAAATAAAAACGTTGATTCTTGGTTAGTTAGGGTGCTACACAGTAAGTAGCACGCGTAACTAACCAATATTATATCTATTCTTAACAAATTTGTTTTTTTTTAATTTTCTGCACTGCCTAAAGCTGTAAAATTACAAATTCATCGCAATAAATCTCGGATTTTTTGCCTCCTCAATCTGTGATGCACAAAAACGGCTTCCGCGATTTTGCTCTCGATTTTACGGCGTTTTCCTGAATTCAAAGCGCTTTTACCGCCGGTCGAACGTGACATGGCTTTTATGACAATGGGGCTACTGTGAACATGGCTGACCATTCAGCTTTAAAAAATGTTGTTTTGGGTTTTGCGGTTTCTAGTATAAAACAGTTTTACAAATATAAGTGCCTCTAGGTATTTGGTAGTCGTTTTATATACAGTAAACTCTCTATATCAGCAACTGGAAGGGACCGACATTTTGTGTTTACTATAAGGGGTGTTGTCTTTACAGAGAGAATTTTTAGTGCAAATTGACTTGGCGGGACCAAATATCTTGTTTACTATATGGAGAGTTGCTTATATAGTTCACTATATAGAGAGACTACTGTATTAGGTTTTGGATAGTATCTTATTTTTAAATTACACGCGATTAAGGTTTAACTAGAATTTATATACGCGAGTTGATATTAAAATATATATATTCGCTTATTTCAAGCCACATACGAATATGGTTGAGTGGAATGAAAATTATTGGCAAAGAAACTACGAACACCGTAATCGTTATATGAATGGTAAATTTGTAATATATGAAACGTCAAATTTAAGTTTTTTAAAAAATAGAGGTTTTTTTGAAAAAATTATTCTTTCCGGATTTTTGAATAGTTTTATATCTTAAACTATTTTAAAATTTAAAGTTATTTTAACGGTTATCAAAGGCATTTAAAGGACCAGTTTGGATGTCTTTTGTCAGGCTTTCTGCAACAGATCAGGCAATCAGGGAAGCGCGAACTTTTTTGGCGCAAAACGTGAGCGAGTCGATTTGGAATAAAGGAAATCATTTATCCAGTGTACCCGCTCACGTTTGGCGCGAAAAAAGTTCAACAGCCAAAACGAAAAAATCTTTGCGACAAAATAAGTTATCCGGACTGGTCCTTTAAAGCCGTGTTTAAAGCAACACGCGTGCTATTTAAGAAATCTATGACTTAAGATGGTTTTTGCCATTAAATTTTAATAACTATTGCTCTCAAAAAATCTTTTTTTGGCTGCTAATACGGAACAATGTGTAGCTTTTTAGTTTGGTGAAACTTATTTTTTAATTTTTCAAAAACTTTTTGATTTTCTAAGTTTTTCTAATTTTAAAAATCAACAAATTTAATATTGTTTTTGAGTTTTAAATCCAACCTCTTTTTTGATTGTTTACATTCAAAATTACTGTGCAGTATATATATAAAGGAGGAAATATAAGAAATCCATAACCTCAAAAACCCCGAAATGGGAATAGGAGATAATTGTTCTTGAATAGGTTTGAATGGGGCCTTTCTTGAATGCCAGGACTTTTCGGAGACGCTTATATTATTATACGACGTGCTGCTGCAGTATCTATGGCTATTTGCGTAGGATTTACTGGCCTTATTTGGTATTATTAGGCTGGTTCTGTTTTTGCTATAGGGAAATTTGAAATTTTAGCTTATTATTTAAATCTTGGTAGCCATAAAGCTTAATATAAAGTAAAGTTGCTTTATTTAAAAACTATCGTTGTAAGGGTTAAAAGTTATCGTAATATCTAAAAAGCTACACGTTGTTCAAGATGGCAACATGGAGGCCAAAGTATCAGCCTCCGATATGGAAAACTAATGATAATCCTCGAGCGACAGCTCACAAAGAACGGCAAAGTGTGCTGACTGCTGTCATGCAGTCACTACTACGTCAGGGTAACGGTATAGGCATATTGCTTATTTCAAAATTTAAAAAATGAAATTTTATTAATTTTTAAAAAATTTTCCAAGATTGCCAAAAGTTACTATAAATCTACATCTATTTTGTAAAGATTATCAATAATTTCGACCTCATTTCAGCACTAGTGGGACCACCAGCAAACGTATCAGTCCAGGCATTGACTAATGATTCTGTTGTCATTCAATGGGACTTTGATGAAGCCGCTAATGGCGGACTGGCCGATGGATTCGTGGTCAAATATATTCACGAACCAGGTCGAGAGGAACACTCGGCTCAGAACATGGACTCATGGAAACCACAAAGTGTTATGGATCCGAAAGCTCGGCATCTGGAGATTGGCAAGTTGACAGCGCATAAACCATACGCGTTCTGCGTTTTGGCTATCAAGAATAGCGTAAGTTTGGCTTTTAATTTTTTTTTGATTTAAAACAAAAGAAAAATTAAAAACACGGTAATTAGATAACTTATGTTAATTTTTTTAAAAATGATTTTTTCAGCGCCTTGGACCATGTTCAGACCCACCAACAACAATAGAAAAATTAGTCCCGACGAGGGTAGTACAAAACCTCCATGTTCAGTACAAGACTTCACAATCTGTCGCGCTACATTGGGATTTTGATTCAACTTTGTCGCAAAATTCAAACCTAGGATTCTACATAAAACAGACTGGAATCAAAATGTATCGTACGCAATTTCTGAAACCCGAGAAACTGACTGCTCCTGGCTTCGAAAGACGCATTTCTGGTACAGAACGGAACTTTTTATGGTCAAACCTAAGGCCGTACATGAACTACACATTCAAAGTCGGTGTGTATTCGCTGGATGACGGTAAAGTGTTTTGGCCGAGAGAATTGACTGTTCGAACTGATCCGACAGGGCCACCGTTAGTAGACACTCCAGAGTTTGTCGAATCGAAACAGACTAGTACAGTGGATTTGAAAATTACGCCGGCTACCGAAGAGCATGGTCCAATCAGTCACTATTGGATTGTCATTATTCCTGGAAATTATTCAAAAGAAGACGTTATGAATGTGGATCCACAGCATTTGATTCAAGCTACGAACAGATGGCATCAAAATCTACAGAAAATGCCAAAGATATCAGCTAAGCCGGCTAAAAGGGATCTACAGAGGTTTGAAAGAGAAGCTCACTATGTTAAAGTGTGGGAGATGAACGGAGGTAATATTTATAACATGGGAGGTGTGGAAGAAACTGAGGGACAACTTGAGGATTTTAATGTTTTTGACGATGAAAAAATGATTTCTGAATCAAGTTTTGACAGTGATAATGCAAGAGAATTATCATGGACTGAAGAAAAGTTTGCTGATGGAGAAACATTAACATTCAGTAGAGAACAATTTCAAAAGGATGCTGTTGTTTTGCTAACAGACAGTAATGACTTTGATGAGGAAGTTGATGCAGAACAAAAAGCAGGTGTTCAAGAAGAAAAGGTTTCTAGAAAACGAAAGTTATCATTGTTAGGATGGGACGAAGACAAAATTACACCAATAAAGAACAAAAGAGTAAAGCGGTCGAAAAGAAGACATCGAAGGCACGGTGATAGGAAGACTAGAGAACCCATATCAATGTTAAGTCCCAAATCTCTTCAAGGTGTATATGTGACAGCACAGTTGAGCGCAATTCAAGTGGAAAAGATGATGATTGATAACACGTTGTTTACTGTTGGGGATGGAAAGGTAAGAATTCTTAAAAATATTGAAAATATGGCAAAATTTGCATAAAGTTAAGATAAAACTTAAAAATTGAAACAAAATGTAATAAGTCTTGTTTTCAGGAATACGGGGGCTTCTGGAACATGCCACTCGATCATGATGCTCAATTTCGAGTAATGTCACGAGCTTTTGCGGCCGAACAATCCAACACGCGCTACGACCGACCGTTCGAATACCGAGCACCAATGCAAGAGCCGGCTTCAAAACTTTTCACAGACTCTATGATATCTGAGCCATTCAGTGCTAAACCAGTTTTAATGTCCAGAATTGCGAGTCGTACGTCAACAATATTGTTCTTGGGACCAGCAATCGCGTTGATCTTTTTGGTACTGGTTGTTGGAATGCTAGTAGCCTGGTACTTGAAATGCTCGAGGAAGGGCAGTCCAGCTAGAAATTTCAGTTTGGGCAATGGTACGTTAAGCAACCGACATGGTAGTATTACCAAAATTGCTCTTGGGTCAGATTTTGCGCAAATCAACGGAAATGGCAATGGTTTATATAATAATCCGGGCGCACGTTTGAACGAAACTTCTAAGCTTCTTAATGGGCATTCGAACGGCGGTGCTGATTTACCTAACAATATGCAGCTTACCAACCAATATGCTACGACACCAAGGAATGGCAACTACCATCAAAGTGATAACGGCATGTTCGACATTTACGGGCATCAAAGCATATCACAGTCGAACTTGAATGACGGATTTACTGACGGAATTTACGGGCACCATACCTTGCCGAATATGCATGCTGGTGGCATGGGTATGGGAACTCTTGGTATGGGACAAAATGGTACTCTGGGCATGGGCCAAATGAACGGTCTTGGTGGAATAAATGGTTTAGGACAAGGAATTGGAGAGGGCATTATGAATCCGCTGAGTGCACATCACAGTATGGCTTTAAACGGCTACAATGTAGATCAAGCAATACCAATGAACGAATTCAGAATGCGCGTAGAAAGTTTAAAAGCAAATGGCAACGATGGATTCATAAAGGAATTCGAAAGTATAGACACGGATCAACATTTTACTTGGGAAAACAGCAATATGGAAGTCAATAAGCCTAAGAACAGATACGCCAATGTCATCGCATACGATCATAGTAGAGTGGTACTAAAAACTGTCACCAGAAGCGCTACAGGCGGACCAAGGGCATTAGGAATAGATGGATGTTACGATGAGGAGGAAGAACCAGGAAGTGACTACATCAACGCAAACTACATCAACGGATATTCGAAAAAAGAGAAGGCTTACATTGCTACACAAGGTCCGCTACCGGAAACATTCGCTGACTTTTGGAGAATGGTCTGGGAACAAGATAGTGCCATTATAGTGATGCTGACAAAACTAGAGGAACGGTCAAGGATTAAATGCTCCCAATATTGGCCAAGCAAAGTCACAGCGACGTATGGACATATACGTGTGACTGTGTTAGACACCAATGAACTTGCCCACTACACCATTCGCACTATGAGACTCGAGCATATGCAAGAAAAGCAAGTACGAGAAATCAAACATGCACAATTCACGTCCTGGCCAGATCACGGTGTACCCGACCATCCAACACCGTTCTTGATGTTCCTAAAACGAGTACGAACATTGAATCCGCATAACGCAGGTCCTATCATTACACATTGTAGTGCAGGCGTAGGTCGTACTGGTGCATACATTGTAGTAGATTGTATGACTGAAAGTATTCATGCCCAAGGCGCTGTGGACATTTACGGTTGTGTAAAGAGTTTGAGAGCACAGCGGATTTACATGGTACAGACGGACGAACAGTACGTTTTCATTCATGATGCTGTTCTGGATGCGATCAACAGTGGAAGTACGGAGATTCCGGTCTCAAAGTTTGAGAAGCATATTAGTACGCATATTGTGGGTAAGTAAACATTAAATGTAGTAGTTTTGGAAGATAAAAATAGGTTATACGAAAAAAGATAACATGGTTTTGGTTAATTCCGCACTATTTGTATCACTTCCAAATAATATTTCTGTGAATAAATTAATGTTTTAGGCCCATCTAATACCGTTGACCGTGAATTTGAGAGTTTGCTGGCCCTCCAGCCTCCAAACGCGTCATTCCACGCAGCTACTATGCCATTTAACATAAAGAAGAACCGTTCTCCAAATCAGCTTCCCTACGACTCAAATCGTGTTCAACTGTCCAGAATCCGCGATGTGGAAGGCTCCGACTACATTAACGCTTCATGGATTGACAGCTACAGGAAACGCGGCCAGTTCATCGCTGCCCAAGCTCCTATGATGGACACTGTGATTGAGTTTTGGCGTATGATTTGGGAATGTGATGTTGGTATCGTTGTGTATTTGAATGGCATTCCGGATTCGATTCCTAAAAAGGAACATGAAAAGTATGCCGAGTATTGGCCACAACATGCTAGTATGCTGAGATACGATCAGTACTTGGTGGAGACTAAGAAGTTTGTCGAGAATGAGACTTATGCCTTGAGGGAATTTGAGGTAACTGATGATGTGGTAAGTATAGTTTTTAAAGGTTTTTGTAAAATTTATTTTAAGTTTTTTAATGATATTTGAGCTTTCACGTTAGAAATGAGGATTTTTGGTTATATCAACCATTTACTTTTTAAATTGCTGTATTGTATTATTAAACTTTAGACAAAAGAAACACGCACGATACGACACATGCAGTACTTGAGATGGCCTGAACGTGATTTGCCTGATAATGAAACAAGCTTCAATCAGTACATTCAATTGGTAAGTAATATTTTAACCATCATTTTTCGAAAAAATATGCCTGAATCAATTGTTTTAATAATGTTTTTAATTTTTCATTTCAACCTTAACTTATATAATTGTAGGTAAGCCAAACACAACAACAATTCGGCTATTCTGGGCCAATTTTGGTGCATTGTACGAATGGAGCAGCACGTACTGGAGTTTTTATTGCCATGTCGATCATAATGGAACGCATTGCTGCTGAAAATGTTGTGGATGTCTTTACGACAGTCAAAATGTTACGAGCACAACGGCCGAACATGGTGGAAAGTAAACGAGAGTTGGTATTCATCTACATGGCTGCTTTAGATTTTATTTCGCAATGAGTTGTTCATGACTGATGAGTTGATGTTTAGTACTTTTAAAAGTGTATTCTAGTATTTTTTAAAAGTACTGTCTTGCTTTTTGCTTCTCTAGATGTTATAAGCAATGGTGTTGTTTGTACATAACTATAAACGTATAATTTTAACCAAGCCATCCAAAAGTCTTAACAATTTACGGGTACTGCTACGGGAAAAATTATAATGAATCTTTTTGCAATTTTTGATCATATTCTATGAATACATTAGTTTTTAAAATTGAGTAACTATTTTTTGTTGTTTTTATAATCTTTTGAAGACAACAGTATTTATTTTGTCTTTAATATAATATAATTTTGTAATTAGTATACTATAACCATTTAAACTGATATTTTGTTCCTCTCAAAAGTGCTACATTGTAAATGAAATTGTCTTTTTTATCAACAACATATTCGATCTTTTTCTAACGTCATAAACCTCTTTATTTTACTCCAAGCAAGACGGGTCTATATATTAATGCAACTTTATTGATTGTATGTTGTGTACTGTTGTATATTGAATGAATTTAATAAAGTTTTACTAATTCAACTTGGAACAGTGAGTTTGGTTTTTTCAAATATTAAAAGTATTAGTCGGCTGAGCGGGTTTACTATAACTTCAGGTCAAGTTGTTATAGTGAAGGGAAAGGTAATGTAGAGTAGTGTAGGTTAACATAAGTTTTCGGCCGTCACAATTAATTTTTTTTTCAAATATGTTTTGAATGAACTGTTTATACTAGATGACCTGCATGCTTTTCACTACGTTTTCAATAAACATTCCAAATAACTTCCTTTGGCATGATTCCAAATGGAATTTGTACCCTTTCAAGTAGCGTGATTCTATTTGATCAATCGCACCGTTTTATTTCCGTTCTATCAAATATTTTACAGCAATAAACGACTCCATTTTACCGAGTGTAACGTAAAACTGTTTCGACAACATTATTTTGATTTTGACAAAGTTTAAATTTTGTCTAAATAGCGAAAAAAACGGCTGATTTTTGTTCTTTTTTTTAATTTGTTTTGGGAATGGTTAGTTTTAGAATGAGCAGGGTCATTTTATACGGTACTGTGAAGACAGAAAGGCAGGAGGGAAGAGAAAAATAAAAATTTTTTAAAATTTTCAAAATTTTAAATTAAAATTTTTTTTATTTAATATTTTTTGAGAAAAAAGTTAGAATGTTAATGCTCTGCCCTAGCAATTTTAACACTGTAACGCTATGTTCAACTGCAACATATCAAATTATAAAATCTAGAATCACAACGTAAAAAGGCGAGCGACTTGTGTAATACACGTTCGAATCGGCAAAAAACGCGCGGATCTTTCTGCAAATGAAGAGAATAAGCAGCGGTAAGATGGAAAAATAGACGGGTTGCCGGCAATTGACAAACCCCGTTTTATTCTTTAGCTCTGAGATTTTGGGTCGGATTTTACATTGTTATAGGGAAAATTTGGCAAGTCGCGCTATGGAAATTTTTTTTTGCATAAGGTTGCAAAATTTTGCTACGGTCAACCTTGATGGCCATTACGGATATATATTACTGTTCTGAATAATTTTTTAATATGCTTTTTGATAGACAAGGTATAGTTGAAAAATGCGAAAAGATAAGTCGTAAAACCTAAAACCCAGACATTTTTATTATCAGACGAATTTCACAGCATTAAGATGACCTTTTCCTATTGAAGAACTGTTTTCTGGCGCGTTTTTTAGAAAAAAAAACTGAAGGCAATACCCCTTTTTTGTTTTAATTTTGAATAAATTTGAATAAAAGAAGGCCTTCACTTATACAAAACTAAGTAAAAAGTTAATTTATAAGTTTTTCTTTATTTTTATTCAGCATTAAAGTACGAGCTATTTTTAACGTTTTTAACTTTAAAACAAGACTATATGAAAAACTGTGACTTATTTTAGGTATGAGTCCAACTCCCTCAACTTCATTTAATTTGCCATTTTCCATTACTTCCCAATGTAAATTGAGTAACAGTACGATAAAACCATGGGAAGCTTTTTCTGTAGGTCAAAAAGAGGAATTGCTACCTAGTTTTGGCGGGAAACACTTTTTCAAAGTTGATGGTGAACAATTTCATGTATTTGACAGTTATTCTGGCACTTCAATGTAAGTCGTTTCGATTGTTTTGTTAGGTTTTAGGCAAAATTTAGTTAAACCAATCTTTTTTTCAAATTTTATTTTTTTTTATTTTCAGGAAATTGAAACTGGCCTATGATTACGTATGGGAAGACACTGCATTTTGGGATCGTGACATTGTGACATTACACGGATTTTCAGAATTTGCTGACCAAAAAGGATTGCTGATCTTGGAGTGAGTTATATAATATATTATAATCATTGTTATGTAGTGGTCACCAGTGTTTTGCCGGACCGGACGGACCGAAACAGAAATTTTTGCGGACCGGACCGGACCCAAAAACCTGCGGACCCGGACCGAAGAAAAAGCTCCGGACCGGTCCGGAAGAAATTTTTTTTTTTATTTTAAGAAAACTGTTTTAAAAATTGCAAATAAAACATATTTTTAGGAGTTTTTAAGCAAAAAGAAAGCAGTTTTAGCGATCCTTGCTTTTTTTAAAAATTAAAAAAAATTTTTTGCGGACCGGACCGGACCGGACCCAAAAATGTTGGGTTTGGACCGGACCGGACCCAAAAATTTGAAGTTTGGACCGGACCGGACCGGACCTAAAAAATCGCCGGACCGGACCTGTGAAAAACGCTCCGGACCGGTCCGTGCAAAACACTGGTGGTCACTCGTCCTCTCCTTCGTCTTATTTTCTCTTTCTTTTCCCCTCTTTGTTTAACTTATTGCCTAGTTTTGTTATTGTAACCTATTTTACTAAATTTTTTATTTTTAGGATAAAAAATCATTTCACGGGTACTCAACTAATCATCGCCGAGGTAGATCTGGATTATCATGAACAAAAACTCTATCTTCAAAAACGGGTCAAGTCTTACAAGGGCTACGAACTTTTCTCAACGCATTACCTACAAAACGAAGTTTTCATGGTATTGGCCGCCAAAAGTACTCCTGTTCATACTGGTGTCATCTACAGTAATGGCAAGATTACAGAAACAGCATTCAATTACACTACAGACCCAGCTGGATCGATACCAACAGAGTCGAGGCTGATCACGGTCGAGAATGAGACGATTGGATTTATAAGCAATGGCATCACAATTGGAGGTTACCATTATGATGGCAATGCTATGTTGTTTGTGACGAAGTTGGCGGAAGATTTGTATCCATTGACTTTTAATAACATTGATGCTGAGAGTTTTGTAAGTTTTTTTATAAATTTTTTGAAAATTTTTAGATTGAGGGTTATGGGCTGTGTGTGGTGAATAAACAAACAGTGTCAAGCTAATGATTTTTTAAAAAAGGAGGGGTAAAAAGCGTTTTCTTATTACAAAAAAATTATTTTTTTTAATTTCCAGACCAGATACCTTGGCCAATACAAAAATGGTGCTCTGTTTGTATTTTACTACGACCTTTCAAAAGAAACTGAATTTCAACATGTGGTATATCTTGATCTCACTGATTTACAATTTTACAACCTCGGACTTCACTTCAATATGAAATACATTTTTGCCTTCAAAGGCGACATGTTATACGCTGTGGATCGGACTACGAACACTGTGGAACGATATTGTTTTGGTGGAGTGGAAAACTTGGAAGCTTTGTCGTTTTCGGTTTTTAAAAGTCGGGTTTGTGAAAAGTATATTGATAGTAAGGCTATTCCAAAAATAGTTCCGGCATTATATTTGTAATTTTGCAATACAGTATTACTTGCTTTTTAATAAATATTTATTGATTTTTTGAGGTTTGAAGGTTCTTGAGGGTTGAATCACAGGGGAACTAGCCAAATCAAAATTTATAAAAAAATTGTTTTGCTTTCTGGTTAAGTAGTGACAAAATTTTTTAATTGCAAATAATGACACTCCTTTGCCAATCTGAATGCAAGATTGGCCACTCAGTAGCGCTAAACTCGTATACATTTTTGAAACTTTTTATTTAGTTAGCAAAAACACAACTTTTGTATGTTGTCAAAGCCAATCCCTTATTGTTAACCTGTTTTTCAAAAAGCTTAAAATGCCGCACCTTTTTAGATAATAAACTTGATAGCATTTTTTATTGTTACTAATAATTTTTCTGTAGGCGTCAATCTTATTTAAACTTAGATATTGAATTAAAAAATCAGTATCTAGCTGAATTCTAAAATTTCAAACTAGTTTTAAAACTATTAAAATAGTTAATAATATTTCAAAATGCTATTAAAGTCGGCAACTATTGCAATTGTATTTCTACTATCGACAGTAAACTGTCAAGTTTACAACTTTTTCGTACCAGCTACTTTACCTGACAGTTCGGAAGAAAGAAGATTGTTAATCGACATTAGTGGCAGAGATTCTTTCCTGTACAGCTACGTCGCTTTTCCCTATTATGGCCGCACCAACACTTTCTACGCCAACGCGTCTAGTACTTTTAGAAGCGTGTTTTTTTTCATTTACTGACACTTTCAGAAGATACGAAGGTGAAAATTATGGTGCTTTGAAAGGGTTTGTCGGCGAGGATACGGTAACCGTATTTAAATCTTTCAAAGGCTTATTTGGTGTTGTTAACCATCAATCAAGTCGACTGAATGTTGACCTTGATGGAAGCACTGTGGCTGGGCGATTCGGATTTGGCAGAAGTGTTGGTTTGGCGAATTTGAAGAAAAATTTGCTGGCACAATATGCCACTGGAGCCAATTTGTGTTTGGGTGTAAAAGTGGCTGCGGATAATAGGTAAGTAATGATGAGGAAAACGGAACAATAGAAAAACGGCTAGAGTTTATAGAAGAAAAGTTGTAGGCTCTGGTTGGTTCTTTTATCCTTATAAATTTGAAAAATCTTTCAATTTTAGCCGCGAAACCGTGGTCAACATGGGAGAAAAAGTATTCTTAGACGCCAACAAGCTACTCGAAGTTGAATCCAGCAATACTCACGTTCCACGCGCATGGGAGTTGTCTGTCACAGCCTTTAAAGTTGGTACACTGAAGTTAGAAAAAACAGCACCAGCCATTCTAAGCACCACTTTGAAAGGTATCAACGCACCAAAAAAGATATTTGACACTCTAATAGGCTACTTTGGTGCAACTTTAGAAGCAGATACTAAACTATATTCTGTAGATTGTAACAAAAACACAGATCTTAAAATCACAGTTGGGGATAAAGACATTGACATTCGCTTTGATGCCATTACGGAAAAAGTTGGTGATAAATGTATTTTGAACATACAACAGAACGACAATAACAGGAAAGTCAACGTTGGAGCCGCTTTATTTGTTGGAAATGGCATTTGCTTGCAAGCTAGCGACTCAACTATTACTGTTTATAATTCTGCTGCTACAAGTTAATCTTACGTCTGAATAAATTTTTTGCAATGAATAAAAGGTTTTCATTTTATACAAATTGTATTTTAAAAATTTTATACTATTTATAATTAAAAAACAAAAAAAAATTTAATTTTACTATCAAAATTGCATTAATAACAATATTTTCTAAAATTTGTGCAGTGCTAACTAATATTGATGATATAAGAATATAGCCTCAGAGAAATTGCAAGAAACGTTATTGCGTAACATATTCTTATGTAACATTTACGGCTTATATAATATATGCCTCGATGTAAAACGACCCAACAATTTACTGCGAGTAGTGTTAATTACTGCGAATACTGAAAGTTACTGCAGGTACAGGAAATTACCGCGAGTACGGGAAATTACTGCAAGTACTGGGAATTACTGCAAGTAATGAAAATTACTGTAAGTACTGTAAATTACTGCAAGTACGTAAAATTACTGCAAGTACTGTAAATTACTGAGAGTACTACAAATTACTGCAAGTACTGTAAATTACTGCGAGTGCTGGGAATTGCTGCAAGTGCTGGGAATTGCTGCGAGTACTGGAGTCTTTTTTCCGTTTGGTGCCGAGTTTTATTTACCATATGATATGGAAATATAATTTGCTAGAACGGAAATGTTACTTAAATTACGATATAGTACAAATATTCAACTAAGGCTATCCAACATGACGTTAGAAGTTTATTTTATTGATAACGCACCCTTTTTTTACGTTTAAAGATTAGCTTTTTACATAATTAAAAAGTCAAATTTTGTTAATTATTCTTCACGTTTTATCTAGGTTTTACAATATATTTTAAAACTACAATTAGTATATTATACTACCAAGCTACCATTTTGATTATTTCTACTGTTTTACTATAAAATCATGATTTTTCTTACTTTAATGATAGTTTTTCTATTAAATTTGGCTTCGTCTGTCAAAGTATACAACTTTTTTCTTCCAATCTACTTCAACGATGATCTGTCATTGCAAAGAAAGTTGTTAATTGACATTTCTGGCAACGAAACTTTTGTTTTAAGCTTTCAAAATTATTCTACTCGGTATGGCCAAGAAAACACGTTTGATTATGAGAAATCAGACAATTATACTCAAGCAGATAATGTTAAGTTTCGCGATTGGTATCAACCGTTTCTTAACGATAATCCGACGCAAGTAGAAGGTGTTGTTGGACATGACATTGTTAATGTTACAAATGTAGTGGGCTTTAAAAGTTTTGGCGTTGTTTCAAGACAAAAGATTACTCCATCGACTAAAACATTCGATGGTCAATACGTGGGTGGAAGAGTTGGACTCAATAGAGCGAGACATTATTATACTAATTTTACTAAACTTTTAATGGATAACTTTGATAATAAAGTGTTGTGTGTTGGTGTTGATGTTAACAGTGTAAAGTAAGTTTGGCAGTACTAAAGTTGGGTTACGTGGATTTAAAGGTAGAAATTTGGTGAAACTAGGATAGTGCTAGAAGTAAGCAAAGTAGAGTTATATTAAAACTAGGCAAAGTCTAGGATAAAACGTTTAATTAAATTTCGCTTTAATTTTTCAGAACAACTACAATAACAACGTTTGGAATGATTCCTTTTAACCAAAACGCCTTAGTCATCAAAACTAAATCACAAAAAAATTATGAAGGGAATTGGCTGTTGCCAGTAACAGGAATTCAAGTATATAACAAACGCTTGGACACTGCACCTCTATATGCTGCCTTGTCAACCACTTCGTCTGACATCAGTATTGGATGGATGGTGTTCAGCCGCGTTATTCAAGCTCTTGGAGCTTTTAGATACAAAGAAAGTGATCCATATATGGTGTTATGTTCTAGACAAACAGAATTGACGATATATTTTGAAGATCGACCGGTCTCTATACCATTTGATGCGTTTGCAGAATCTACAGCTAACAAGAATTTGTGTAAAATTTTGATAACGGAAAATTATTCAAATACGGAAATGTTTATTGGTGCTAACTTGTTGATCAATAATGGTCTCTGTTTGAATCGAGAAACGGAAGAAATTAGAATTTACAATAGTGCGGACACGGCTTTACAAGCTTCTGATGAAGGTGTAATTTACACTGAAACTTATTAGTTTTCTTATCAGTTTATACCTAATTTTTTAAAATCACTTTATTTATATTGAGGTATGAAACATCGTATATTTACAATACTGTAAAACAATAAACTTTCTCTTAACTATGAAATCCTTAAGAAACTCATTTTAACGCCAAGCCTGAGTAAGTTGATTAAAGTATGTTTCCGTTGTCTTATCCGCCTCTTCTTTATAGTCAATATGACTATCTGCTACAGAACAAGAATTTCCGCGAAAACGGCGTATGTCTTTTTGTATGACAAATCGCATAGCATCACTGTAGTACATGAAACAAAACATGTGGTACAGGGCGTATAGGTCCACTGTCACGTATCCTATCTAAAACTATTTTTTAAATTAAGTTTTTTCGTTCTTAAAAGCCGGTTTTCAAATTATTTTAAATCATTATCTTCCCCCTCCCCCCCCCTTTACAAAAAAATTTTGTTGACAAAAAACCCAAGCCTGATACAGATAAACCAATATCAAAACAAAATAAAAAATCAACCATGACCTACATTAGTAACAATCCTGTCGTATATGTTATATCTTCCGTACTTCATTACTGAAGCACCACGAAAGTACGATAACACAAAGCCGAACAATGTAAACGTCATGTAGCCAATTAATGAGGGCTTAATTGACTTGTTTGTATTTTCATTCTCAGTTTGTTGATAACGGGCGCTTAAGCTTTCTAATTGTAGTCGCCTTTTTGTCTGCTTTCTGTTATATCGGTGCAAAAGTATTAGCCACTAAAATTTTACTATAGTATTAAGTTTTACTGTATGATGCTAAAACAAAATATAATACCAATTAAATTTAGGTTATACCAATTAAGTTTAGGCACAACCAGGTCTAGACACAACCTTTATACCTCAAAAAAGTTGTCTAAAAGGTTAATTCTTAAAAGATCGCTGTAAGATTAGAAGTGTCTACATTAAAGAAGATTACGATGACTTACTAAAGAGCACAAGCTACATGTGACAAAGCATGATGAAAACCCAATGACAGCCAATTCCCAATGAGTATCAAGCGGCACACACGTAGTACGTGACGTATTCAAATTAAAATCATTGCTCAAACAGTACCATTGAACAAACATTCCACCGGGTACACATTGTACTACCTAAAAGTTAAAAATGTTGTTAAATTAAATTTTTTATGATTAATGCTTTAAATTAAAAAAAGTGATTATAACTTACCACAATAATCATTAAAATAATGCCAATTTTCAAGTTCTTATTTTCATAATTATTGACCCACACTGTAGCTAGATGTTGCTCCACAGCCAACATATTCATACACAACGCCGTACCAAACAGCGACATCATATGTATAGTAGACAAAGTTATACATATCACATTAACATAGTACCGCTTATTCACATCGCTGGTATAATGTAGGACTTGAGTGATTACGATCCGAGTACCTGTTAGTGTCACAAATGATGCAGCTGCACATACTAGTACTAGGCGAAAATTCTTGTGTATTCGATGAGACTTGTATAGCTTAACAAAGAAGTATGCTGTGCTTATTAAGGCAATAATGTAGATATAGTCGTGTAGCAACTCTATATTTGCGTTATACCAGCTGGCAGTCTCTTCGACGTATGGTGCATCTATAGACATTGTTTAAGAATGAATTTTAGTAAGAATGTACTTTTACATTTAAAAAAATGGGAGGGTTTTAGTTTTTTTAATCAAGATTAAATTTGTAAAAATTTTTAATATACATTTTTTTTTCAAAAACACAAGGGTGTGGGGAGGGGGGCTAAGAGAGAAGGATATAAGAAGAACATTGTTATACTTACTGTCAAACCGAGAAGTTAAGTCGTTCATGTTATGGTATGAAACATCAAATCGTTCTGTAAACGATTAACACACATAAGAGATAAATAGTCCGTACGATGTCATTAAGTGTCTTCCTAAATATCATACACTTAAAGCTAATCATGTCATACGAAGTAAGAAAATATATATCCAAAAAATAAAAAAAAGTATATTATTTTGCCTTGCAGTTGGTCTAGTTTGTACTATACTCTAGTTTTTGGTGCCTGTGCCACTCTACCGTATTCTTTCCTAACCAAAGTAGTTAATTTAGTTGGACCGCGATTGAGAAAGTTACTCTAAGTTATTTTGCACTATTTTACCCTGTTCTACCAAACCTTGCACATTGTTAATAGCCAATTTCAACACCTCTGCAGTTTTACATATTGAACTGAACTTTTTCTAACAATTAAATCTTAAAAATAAAAACAATTTTAATACAACTAACAACGTATAATTAAGGTAATAGTAAATCTATATTATCTGTTTTTTCAATGACACAAGGTATACGAACCCTAATTTTATACAACTATATGATATTATTAGTAAAAATACCGTTATTTATCAAAATTTATTATCTATTAGAGTAGTATTACTATTTAAAGCATCAAAAGGCGTGGCTCTGGTATTGTAAATAACTATGCCAAATCTACGTTTAAACTCAGGTACTATTCAAATATTGTCTTACTAACACCTAATCCATCTATTGTAACATAAGTTTGCAAATAGCTCTTAGATGCTCTAACTCAATATGAATACTATTTAAGATAGTGAAAGTGTAAAAGTTTTAAAGTGTGATTACGTTTGTTTGCGTAATAAAGTCAAACCATAATAAACATGTTGTTTATCATAGGTTTTATCACTGTATCTCGTCATACTAAAGTGCCGATGTGCTATAGTTACATTTAAATTAATCTTCTTTTGTTTTTTATAATGATGTTATAACTCCTCGCCTCCCCCTTATAATGACTTTAAATACCCTCCCCTCCCCTCCACCAGAAAATTTTTTTCGGAAAAGTCAAACGTGGCCCTTTCTTCCCCGCCCCCCCACACAGACCTGTGCCCATTTTTCCAACCTCCGCACCCAGAGCAAAAGTCCCCGTCTGGCCCTCTTCTTTCCACGTATTCAAATTAGTGTCATTACAATTTTCACTTATCAGTTTTTACAGTGTAATGCCAATTAATTTATGAAAAAGAAAACCGGTGAATACTTAAAAAGTAAAGGTACCAATTAAAAAGTTGATAGTTAATTGTCAATTAAACTCTCTTTTAACACACACAAACTTAATCTACCACAAGATTTTATTATTTATATCATTGCTTATTTCGTTTCTTTGTTGGTAACTCATTCGTATTAACTTTCCTTTTCACGCAACATATTTAAAATAGCCATATAAAATTGTACGTTGTAACCAGGGCCGAGCGGAGATTTTTGGTCTGAGCGGCGGAGGTCGAAAAAATCCGCAAGGGGGACCACGTTGAACTTTTTTTCGAATTTTTTTTTCTAGGTGAGAGGGGGGGGGGTGATTGCAACTACACTCTTTTGTAGCTTCAACTATTGTTTATCTTTGTACAATATGTAATATTAGCTTTTACATCTTGTTAGTCTAGTAAAATCCTGTACCTAAATATCACTTCCATGAGTCTTGAAGTTGACCAAAGTGTACGTCCGTATGTTTGGCCGCATCTTTGTTAAACTCTATTTGATATGCGTTATGAATTCTTGCGTTGCTACCAAATAATCGATAAATGTCTCGACGTACCGTCAAGCGCATTGAGTCATTATAGTACATGAAGCAAAACATGTGGTAGATGGCGTAGAGGTCAACTGACATGTATCCTAACTAAAAAGTTGATCTTAATAAGGCTGGCAATAGGCTAGAAAGACAGATTAAAGGGAGAAAGAGGAAAGAAGGATCCCTGCCCGTTTTCAAAAACTAAACTCATCCACCCTCTCATGATACTCACATCAGTAATGAGCTGATCATATTGATTGTTCTTGCCATAATCAATAACAAACTTTCCTCGCCATGCAGACAAAAGTAAGCCTACTAAACTTAGTACCATATAACCAAGTAATGAAGGTGTTATAGACTTATTAGTGATCTCATTCTCAGTTTGCTGATATCTAGCACTTAAGCTTTTAAGCTTTAGTCGATTTAACGTCTTCTTACGGTTGTAGCGATGTAAACCTACCAGCCACTAAAATGGATACATTATATTAATACTATGCTGAAAAAACTAGTGTTGTAGTTTTGAATAGTAAAAACAGTACGGTGACTTACAGCTGAGCACAAACCACATGTTACAAAGCACATACTGAAGCCGAGTAATGCTAATTCCCAGTTAGAATCTATAGGTATACAACTGGTAGTAGCATTCTTTAGGTCGAAATCTTTTGACAGATACCACCAATTCACAAAAATACCACATGGAACACTTTGTAGTACCTAAATTGCTGGTATTAAAATATCATTTTTAATTTTTAAAATTTCAAAAAAATTTAAAATTTTCAAAATTTTTAAATTTTTAAGGCAAAAATAGATCATACTATCTATATTTAATGATATAAGCAAACAAAACCTAACCTACCACCATCAGCATTAAGATAACACCAACTTTTACTGACTTGTTTTCATAGTCATTTACCCATACTGTAGCCAAATGTTGTTCCACAGCTAACATGTTCATACATAATGCAGTACCGAACATTGATATCATGTGCACGGTCGATACTATTACGCATGTTATATTAATAAAGTAACGGTTTACAAGGTTTTCGGTTAGGCTTAGCAAAAAGTGAAAAAATATTCGTGTACCAGTTAAGGTTACGAATGAACCGGCTGCACAAAGCTAAATTTTATTTTCAAAAAACATAAAAATCAAAAAAAAATATTAAAATAAAAAAAAATTAAAAAATGTCAAACCTACCAAAACAAGTTTAAAATTAGCATGAAATCGTGAGGAGTTGAACAACTTTATAAAAAAGTACAGAGTTAACAAGAATGCAACAATGTACACGTTAATATGAAGTGTTTTAATGCACATGCCAATTGTGTCAACATCGTAAGTGTCAAAAGCCATAATTTAACATCAAGTGTTATTCTAAAATTGTACTATCATCATCTGACACATCTATCGTAATATAGGTTTACATATAGTGCTAAGAACTGATTATAAATACAGTACTTCCTCTGTATAAGCGACCCAAAGAGACCGGAATTTTATATAGGTGGTGTTACCTTTACAGAGTGATTTTTTAGTGCAAATGGACTTGGCTGGGCCAAATTTGTTGTTAACTACACGGAGAGTTGCTTATACAGATGGTTCATCATATGGACACACCACTGTACTATAATTAAGATAGTAAAAGCGTAAATTTTGAAGCATGCTCAACGTTTGCGTATTTGAAGACAAAACAAGATAATTATTTTGTTTATCATAGACATTATACTTAGTAAGTTACTCATGTGCTATAGTCACATATAGGTCAATCTCCTACAGCGGTTTTTTAATTGTATTGTAAAAAGAATATAGTACTCATATCTTTAAACATATAACCTAATTATGTCTAAAAATTACTAACTTTTTGCTTACAGTGTTAATAAAAACAATTATTACACGCAGCTATAATAAAATGTCAAACAGACATGTTATTTAAACACAATTAAAAATTGTAAAAATTAATTTGAAGATGTAATTTGTATCTTCGTAGTAAAAAAAATGACCCTAGCCGGTACCAATAAAGACAGATCACTAAAAATTGTTTAAACACATGATGTGAACATTAAGAATCTTTTGCAAGTAATTACACCTAATAAACTGTAGTTTATATTACTTTACGTTAGTTTCATGTTCATTTTATGAGTGCTTAATGTCTAAAATGCTGATAAAATACAAATTTTAAGTAATTTGTACGATTCTTTGCAGCTTTTAGAATAGTTTTAAAGTTTACTATTTGCTATTAATGACATAAAACGTCAGTATTAAGTCAAAGAACAGAAGAATAATGTAATAAAAAAACTAAAAAATTTTTTTCCTTTTTGTTCACCCCCACCTATTATTGCCCAAAATAAGTAGCTAAGCGCAAAAAGTAACGTAGTTTACATACATATCACAAGTAAAAACAAAAAAAACGTGTTTTTTTCATTAAGAAACTATAAAAAACATACTTTTATAACATCATAAACACACTTAAGTAAACAACTGTGACAAGCACCATCAAACTGTTTAAAAAAAGCTAATTCTCGGTAAATCCTGTTTCTAAAAAGTTACGAGTTCATTATGAACTATTGAGAGGAAACATGAAGTGTTCAGGCGAACTTTAAAACTAGTTCAAGCACCTATGAACACCTTTTTGCTTAAGATACTAAGAATAATATAGCATGTCAATGTTTAAAAATAATTAAAATAGTAGTTTATGGTGGTAAATTAAAGATATTATACGTCCATGATATGTTTATTCAGTTATTATTGCGTGTTTTATATTTTATATTAATAAAGATCTAAAATATTAGGTGGCGACATAAAGAACCCGCCATTTTTTACAGGAAATTACAGGCAAAGAACGGCGGGTTCTTTATGTTGGCACCTAATATTAACAAAGATCTAAAATAGAAATTCTTTAAAAATTACAGTACGTTTTTAAAGCCAAGACTGTCTCAATTGGCTAAAATATGTTTCGGTTGTTTTTGAAGCTTCTTCTCGATAATCAACGTGACTATCGCGTATGGAACATGAATCTCGAGCAAAATGACCAAAGTCTTGTCGTATTACAAAACGCATCGCTTCACTATAGTACATGAAACAAAACATGTGGTAAATCGCGTAGCAGTCGATGAACATGTAGCCTAACTAAAAAATTTTTCTTTTTAAAAATATTTTAACACTTGCCTTTCCCCCCCCCCCAGCTCTTACCGTTTTTTTAATTTTAAACGTGCCTCCCCCCCTCCCTCCCCCCCCTCCCACCTGCCGTTAACTTCAAAAAACTTTTTTTCTTATTCTACTCTGTCCACTTCCAATGCACCACTTACATTAGTAAAAATTCTGTCGTAGATATTATAACTTCCGTATCGTTGTACCGACATTCCACGAAAAAATGTCAATATAAAACCAATTACTGTGAGTAATAAATATCCGACCAAAGAAGGTTTGATTGCCTTGTTCGTATTTTCGTTTTCAGTTTGTTGATAACGAGCACTTAAACTTTGTAACTGTAGACGCTTTTTGGTCTTCTTCTTGTTGTAGCGATGTAAAATGACTAGCCACTGAAAGAGTTTTTATTTTGAAATTTTATGCTAACAAAATTAATATTTAACTGTTTACGACTAAAAAAACTACTTATGATGCTATTTGAACCTTTTAAACAATTATTGTTGCAATTTTAAAAGTAAAACATGATATCACTCTTACCAAAGCACATAAAGCACACGTGACCAAACATAACGAGAATCCGATTAGTGCTAATAACCATTCAGTATCCACTGGTACACAAGTATCCCTTGACTTATAAATGTCAAAGCCTTCTTTTAAACAGTACCATTGAACAAATATTCCAGCTGGTACACATTGTAGTATCTAAACGAATTCATTCATTCATAAATAGAAACGAATACTTTAATAAATTTTTAATTTAAAAAAAATTTAATTTTATCACTGCCGACATAAAGAACCCGCCACTTTTTACAGAAAATTACAGAAAAAGTATAGCGGTTTTTTTTTGTCGGAACCTAATAGAAAATACAAAAACTTTAAAATCTTAAAAACCTACCACAACAGCCATTAAAATAACACCAACTTTTACTGACTTGTTTTCATAATCATTTACCCACATTGTAGCCAAATGTTGTTCCACGGCCAACATGTTCATACATAAAGCAGTACCAAACAAAGATATCATGTGTACTGTGGAGAATGTTATACATGCAGCATTAACGTAAAACCGCTCTTCAATATTTATAGTGTAGTGCAATAACTGGGTTATTAAAATTCGAGTACCAGTAAATGTCACAAATGCTCCTGCTGCACATGCCTAAAGAGTACTTCAGAAATATTGCACAATTTTTTAAAATTTTATTTAAATTTAAAAAATTTAAAAAATATTTGTTATGATTGCTATAAATAACTACAAGCTTCTGGCTTCTGCAGTTTACGACCAAATCCTGCAGTTTTATAAACAAACATGCCAAAACAAGCCTAAAGTTTCGATGTATTCTTGTCGACTTGTACAATTTTATAAAAAAGTAAACTGTCATTATAAATGCAACCACAAAGATAACATCGTGTATTGATTCCAGGTATGCATTGAGTACACTAGCATTTTCTTCAATGTATGGCGCTTCTAAAATTTATTTGTATTCAAATAAAATAAATTTAAGTGCACTTCGTATAGTATTAGGTGCCTACATAAAGACCCCGCCATACTTTTCCTGTAATTTCCTGCAAAAAATGGCGGGTTCTTTATGTCGGCACACAATACGTAAAAGAACTACCTAGCTTAGTAAAAACTTCGTAATTTTTAATTAAAAACGTATGTTTGAAGACGTTTTCCTAAGTGCAACTAATTTGGCTGTACTTTAGTATGTACTGTTTACGTATGTTATTAGTGTAACATTTTTACACCTACGCAGTACCTCTAATGCAGTAAGCTACAAAAAACTAAAAATTATAAAAAAATAGTTTTTTATTAGCATGGTTAATATGGCAAAGCCAAAATTTCCAAATTTGAACTCTTTTGAGTGGCTTATTCATATTTGGACAATTTGATACCATTATTATTAAAAGCAAAGTAAAGACAACGTCAATGAAAATCATAAATTTACCATCAAAATTAGATGTAAGGTCCTGCATTCCAACTTTATATCAGTTCAATTATTGAGTCAAAAAAGCAATATATGTTTCCAACTATAGAACAAGCATGACAAAGTAGTTTGAACTGCTTACTAACATAACACCGTTAATTGTACATCTAAAATGACAACATGAAGTAAATGCATTAGAAACTAAAAAATTTAAAAAAAATTATAATTTAAAGATTTACAATGTAAAAAAACAATAATAATCTTCTATTTATTAGGCAAACAAAAGCGAAGTAAACTAAACAAGAACACCGTACTATTGCTCACATAATTTGTAGCAATTACACACACGCAATTTCAGACTAAATTTAGGGTTGTTATAGCTAGTCATACATACTTTCTTCAAAAATAAACACACATATAGATGCTTACATAAACATTTACGTTCTACATTTTTTTCAACCTTATTTAGCCTACCTCCTGAATAGGACTGAAAAAATGTCTAAATTCAGCACAACCTAACCTAGTTAACCGGTTTGTATAGGTAGACTAGTCTAGTACAGTCCTGCTTTACTCGTCGCAAAAACTAAATTTTTTTTTTAAATTTAAGCTAAAAAAAGTCAAAAACCAGGGTAATCATAGTAATTGACGTCGTAAATACTAAGCAAATTTTACAAAAAGCTTAGTGCTACTTAAACGTAAGACTAGATTTACTTTCAGATTAATTGTTGCGAAAAAGTAGGTAATATTATTCTAAAAAATTATCTTTAGAACGTAACTTCGTGCTAAAGTATGACGAATAGAACACCCATTTCAAATTATTTAAAATTAAACTTTTTAATTTTAATTACACAGAATTTCATCTAAATTGTTCTTATTAAGATCATACCACAAAAACCCAGGTCATATGAATATTGAAAATTACAGGGTAGTGCAAACATATTTTTTAAACGTACCAAAGTGCAAAATCAAAGATTAAAAAAAAGTTAAAGAAGTTTCCCTCCCCCCCCCTCCCCAAAAAAAAATTTTGAAAAAAGTTGAACTTGGTCCCCTGTGGATTCTTAGAAAAAATTTTTTGCAAAAAATCGGCCCAGGAGCTACCTGTGCCGATTTATTTGATCCCCCCAAACCAAAAGTCCCTGCTACGCCTTGAGGGCTATTACAAAACCTTAATCTACGACGCTTGTTAAGGAAAAGGTAAAAAACTACAAGTTTAAAAGACTACTCACATGCTACTTCCACGAATCTTGTAATTGTTCAAAATACACATTCGTATGTATATCAGCGTCTTTGTTGAATTCAATTTGATGAGCATTGTGGATTTTTAAACTTCCTGGAAAATCACCCACGATACGATGGATGTCCCGACGTATTGCCAACCGCATTGCGTCATTGTAGTACATGAAGCAAAACATGTGATATATTGCATACATATCCACCGACGTGTACCCTAACTTAAAAATTAGTTAAATTAAAGTTAATTTTCTCGCTCTGCCCTATAGTACTCGATTACATTAAGTGCATGCAAAAGTTTTCCGCCAATGTTGTTAAAATGTACTTATAATATTAATAAACTGTAAAAACTTTCTTACATCAGTAATGATCTTGTCATACTCATTGTTAACACCGTAGTCAATAGCATATTTGCCTCGCCATGCTGATAATACTAATCCAGTCAAACCCAACATCATATATCCCACTAATGATGGTGTTATAGACCTGTTGGTGTTTTCATTTTCAGTTTGTTGGTACCGCGCACTTAAACTTTCAAGTTTTAATCGATTCAACGTTCTTTTATGATTGTAGCGATGTAGTAGTACCAACCACTGAAATATTTATTAATTTAGTACAGTGGCCTCTCTATATAGTGAACTTTCTGTATAAGCAACTCTCCTTATAGTAAACATCCTTTCGGGTTGGTTATATAGAGAGAGTACTGTATTAAATTTTTATACTTAGTTAGTAAAGGTATACACCTTTTAAAGCCAGCATTTACTTACTAAAGAACAAAGGCCACAAGTAAGAAAACACATGGTAAAGCCAAGAAGAGCTAGTTCCCAATGTGTATCAATAGGAATACAAGTTGCATTTGCGCTGTTTAGATCAAAATCTTTGTTAATATAGTACCAATTTACAAAAATACCAAATGGTACACTTTGAAGTATCTAAACACGTCATTTTAAAAAATATTTTAGATATAACCATTCACAAGAATAATCTTCTAAAACCATAAAAAATAGATTTATATACCACATACCGCAATGACCATTAATATAACCCCAATTTTCATAGACTTCTGTTCGTATGTATTCACCCATACTGTAGCCAAATGCTGTTCTATTGCCAACATGTTCATGCATAGTGCTGAATTAAACATTGCTATCATATGCACCGTAGACAGTATAACGCAGGTCAGATTAATATAGTACCGATTTGTTATGTCAATAGTGTTTATCATTACGATATGAGTTAGTATACGTGTACCAGTAAATGTTACAAATGAGCCAGCTGCACATGACTGAAATTACGCGGTTGTCTTTAAGAATATGCTAACCTACCCTACCTTACCCTACCCTTCCTAACCTGCTCTACCTTATCCTACCATTTCTAACCTACTCTACCTTATCCTACTCTTCCTAACCTACCCCATCTTATCTTAACCTTCCTACCCTACCTTACCATACCCTACCCTACTTACCAGTACCAGTTTGAAATTCACATGAATTCTAGAAGTTTTAAATAGCTTAAGAAAGAAATATATTGTCATAACAAGCGCAATAACATATATCTGCTTATGAATATTAGTAATGTAAAAGCTCAAAGTCGCGACGTCGACTTCCCACCATGCCATTTTAATAAAATCATTAAGCGTAGTGCAACACGGCTATAATAGCGAAACAACTAATAACAAAGTTATCATGTAGAAAGTAATAGAATTATTAATGACAAAGTACTTAGACTTTAAGATTTTATTAACTTTCTACAAGTAATGTAATGTTATGACCAAATTTCGTCATGAAAATTTAATTTACAATTAAAAAATCTAATTATTTTGCCCTAAAGCACCAAAAATGTTAGTTTCATAAAAAAAATTAAAGTTGAAACATTGATCAATCCAAACCTTATGAATATAACTCAATTAAGCTCTATTCAATTTCTATTTAATCAACATGTCGCACATACAATTATCATGCACACGTATTTGATAGTAATAGAAATTGTGGTAGAGCCCGGACTTTGCCATTTTTAAACCTTGCAAGTTAATCTTTTCTGTTCTTTGAAAACAAAATTGCCATTCTATACAAATTATTAACTTTTTGAAGATACTAACATAAGTTTATACTTTACTCTATTCCACTTCGAAACAAAAGAAGAATCTATATACGTTCTATTAGGTGTCGACATGAAGAACGCGCCATACTTTTCCTGTAATTCCAGCAAAAAATGGCGGATTCTTTATGTCGGCACCTAATACCTACTCTCAACTCTACTTATAACAATTATGAGCACACTTTTACATAGTTCTTATGACTAATGGACACATATGTTGAAATCTACCTTTCAAAAATAGTTTTTTAAAAACGTATAAACTTACAATAGTACAAGAAGGTCCTTACAAGTCATTTCCAGTCCTTACAAGTCACTTCCATGAGTCGTGTAATAGTTGAAAATAAACATTCGTATGTTGGGCATTGTTAAACTCAATTTTGTGAACATGGTGAATTCTTGAACCTCCGGATATGCTACCGAATATTCGATAAAAATCTTTTCTGATAGCAACCCTCATCGCATCATTATAGTACATGAAGCAAAACATGTGGTATATTGCGTATACGTCAACACATGTGTAGCCTATCTAAAAATGGCTATGTTAAAGATTTTTGTTTAAAGTTTTAGGCTTCATATACGTTTTTCTGTCTATAGTCAATGTTATAAAATTAAAATACTATAAAAAACAAAAAAATCTTACATTTTCAATAATAGGATCATACACGTTTTTCTGTCCATAGTCAATTATAAGCTTCCCACGAAATGTATTTACCAACAATCCTACCAAAGCGAATATCATATATCCAAATAAAGAAGGTTTAATCGATTTATTTGTGTTTTCGTTTTCCGTCTGTTGATACCTTGCACTTAAACTTTTAAGTTTTAGTCGGTCCAGCATCTTTTTATGATTATATCGATGTAACACAGATAGCCACTAAAGTAAAACTAGCAATATTTTTTGCAAATGTGATCAAAAATGATAAAAAAATAAAATAATTTAAAAAATTTAATTGTGTAAATATAATATTATAGTAAGCCTTACCAGTGAACAAGCCCCACAAGTAAAAAAACAAAGAGCATAACCAATTAAGCCCAGCTCCCAATGCTTGTCAATAGGTATACAGCTCGTCTTTGAATGATATAAATCATAGTCTTGTTTGGTATAGTACCAGTTTATTGTACTGCCAATTGGAACACTTTGAACAATCTGAAAAATATTTTAACAACTTCCAAAAAACCTTAAAATTAAAAAAATTATTAAATTTTAATTACAGTGGCCTATATATCGAACCACCTTTATAAGCAACTCTCCTTATAGTAAACAAGAAATTTAGCCCCGCCAAGTTAACTTGCACTAAAAAGTCTCTCTGTAAAGACCACACCCCTTATAGTAAACACAAAATGTCGGTCTCTTCGGGTTGCTTATATAGAGAGAGTACTGTAAAAACTATATAGATTGATATCTACGATAACTTACTGCAACAAGCATTAAAACAACCCCAATTTTAATTTTCTTCTGTTCGTAGTCATTTACCCATACTGTAGCCAAATGTTGTTCCACAGCCAACATGTTCATACACAAAGCACCATTAAACATTACTATCATATGAATAGTTGATAACAAAACACAAGTTACGTTGATAAAATATCTATCATCAATGTTAGAAGTAATGCTTATTAACGAATGAGTTAAGATTCTCGTACCATTTAAAGTTATAAATGAGCCGGCCGCACAAGACTAAAATGCTAGTGTTTCCTATCCTTGCTCTACTTACCAGTACTATCTTAAAGTTGGCATGTATTCTTGAAGTATAAAATAGTTTGATAAAGAAATAGAGTGTCAGAAAAAAGGTAATAACATAAAGACATTTATGAAACCTAGCTGAATATACGGTTATAGTAGCTATATCTATCACTGTAAGATTCATTGTAGAAGTGGTCTAGCAAAAATAATAAATAACATCAAAATTACAGTTCTTAGCCGTTTATAGTATAGTTAAATAAAGATTGTAACAAAGTAAAGCATTAAAATTGAACTGGCTCAAAATTTGCCATTAAAAAGTTGTAAAAAGCCTTTTTTTGCTATTTTTGAAGACGCGTATGTAGCCATTGTTACAATTTGGAAAGTAAACAAAAGTTGTAAAACTAATTACTGCTACGCTTACATAAGTGTTGTCTATACCATGAGAAAAAAGTAAATGAAATCACTGGTAAATGAAAAATTACTTCGCAAAGATTAAAAAAAGCGTCTACGTTTACTGCAAAAACGGTAATTGTATAAAGAACGCCTACAATTTTGTGTAATCGAACTAGCCTTACTTTCCTAGTACTGTTAGAAGTATATAAAGTCAATTTAAGTTTATTATATAAATATACGCCTACTAAAACTGAATCTATTTATTCTACGCTTACTGAATTCAACTCTACTAAGCCTACGGTTATTCAGCTTACAACATAAGGAAACGACTAGTATAACCCAGCACACGCATCTAAAGTCATGATATATTTTGCAATAATTAGTGGCGCCTTACATAATATGATTATACATTAAAATAGCTTGAGAGAAATTGCAAGAAATCGTGTTGCGCAACTTTTTCTTATGTAACATTATAGTTTTATATAATATTTGCCCCGGTGTAAAACGACCCAACAAATTACTGCGAGTATAGCACTCTCGTTTCGCGTTTCTGCGGGGAAACGTTATCCAATAGACATAAAATTGATTGAAAAATTTAAGTTTAATCGACTGAAGCTAAACTATTTACTTTCTAAGCCTGAGCCGCTAAGCCTAAGTCTATAATCAACAAACCTACTAAGCTTATTAAGCTAAAAATTTAAGCCTATTGAACTTAAGCTTACTAAACTTAAGCATACTAAACAAATGTGTTTAAATCTTTTAGTCTACAGCACGGTCAACCCATGAATACGTCTACTGTAATAAAATCACTATATAAATAATATAAAACAATATTTCAAAACAATAACTTTTATTACTAAAAAACTATAGTATAACCATTTAAAAACTTCAGCTTTATAATGTAAGGTTAATTCCATGCCTGACCAAACTGTCGAAAATATTCAGCAGTTTCTTCGTTTGAACTCATTTTACATGCAATTTTAGACGAAGGTGTACAAAGATAATTTACACGTTTTCCAAGAATGAACTCGAGGTCTTGCTGTACGATTTTGCGCATGGCATTATTGTAGTACATAAAACATGCCATATGGAACAGGGCATATGCTTCAACAAGTAAGTAGCCTAACTGGAATTGAGATATAAGTGAAAATATTATAGTACAGTAGTCTTTCTATAAGCAACCTAAAAAAACCGACATTTTGTGTTTACTGTAAGGGCTATTGTCTTTACAGAGAGACTTTTTAGTGCAAATTGGCTTGGCGGGACCAAATTTCTTGTTCACTATAAGGAGAGTTGCTTTTACAGATGGTTCACTTGTTATGGTCACGATTGACCAAATTATCATTTATGTCTTGAATTGAAAGATTGTAAACAGAACTCTTAAAACAGCCGGCTGTGAACGCCCGAAAAAGCCTTCGGCCTTCGAGAGAACGGCAGAAGGGTTTTGGGGAACGGGAAGAACAGTTGGGGACTTTTGAGGGTTCTATCGAAAGGGTACTGTAGATTGTCCGTATATTAGTCTTCCTAATATGTCGTAATTAGAGATTGTAATTAAGGTATAAATAAATATCATATACCATCAGTAAGAAGGAACCTTATTATCGTACCTAACTGATAGACTAGGGAGATAGGTCAGCAAGTCCAAACTACCCGGACAGGGCGTAGGCTAGGTATACTATCTTTATAGTATTAGTAGGGACTGACAGTAATACCCTAAGGGGTGTATAGGTAACTCAACTCCAAAAGTATTTTACCCTAATACACTATATAGAAAGGCCACTGTATAATTTGCAAGTTTTAAAATAAAAAGCAAATTAAAAAACTTATACTTACGGAAACAATAGCCTCATTAGGCTTGCTATGTTCACCAAAGTAATCTACAAGCCCTTTTCTTAGAAATGACCCTGTCGTTCCTAAAAAACTGTATAACATGTAGCCAACTAAGGTTGCAGTAATTGACATAGCCGAATTTACATTTTCATTTTGTTGGTACCGGATATGCAAAGTAATGAAACGACTTTTACGTTGCTCTTTGTTGTATCGTTGTATTAGCCATAGCCACTAAAATTATAGCTTTAAAAATTTTTTTATTTAAAAAAGTTATTAAATTTTAATTACAGTGGCCTATATATAGCGAACCACCTTTATAAGCAACTCTTCTTATAGTAAACAAGAAATTTGGCCCCGCCAAATCAATTTGCACTAAAAAGTCTCTCTGTAAAGACAACACCACTTATAGTAAACAAAAAATGTCGGTCCCTTCGAGTTGCTTATATAGAGAGAATACTGTATAAATAAAACTATTATCTAAAGATTAACAACTTACTGATGTGGCTATTAAGCAAGTAATAAAGCTGCTAGCATAAAACAAGATGGCAACTTCCCAGTGATATTGAACTGGATGGCAGTTATAAGTCGCATGCTCATAATCAAAATTTTTAAAATACGCGTAGTTTAATAACAAACTAATTGACACTGAATAAATTACCTAAAATTAAAAAAAAATTTTTTTTTAATTTTTTATTTGATATTAAAGTTCTTAAACAAATGAAAAAATGATAGCAACATAAACTTATTGCGGGTATAATACCTTTTATATGTCTTAAAGAACTCACAGTAAAACCAATTAATATAACACCAACTCTCATCGTCCGTTCTTCATAGTCTTTGACCCAATAAGCGGCTAGATGTTGCTCCAACGCCAACATAAGCATACATATTGTCGCACTTTGACCAGATGTAACACTAATAAAACTAATACCACAACAAATAACATTGACGTTAAAACGTTCTGTAACGTTTTCTGACACTAGTAATAAAACTTCTATACACCTTCGAGTCAAAGGCAGTATAAAAAAAGAGATAGCTGTACAACACTAAAATTCTTATATTTTTACATAGAAATAGTTAAGTAAGATTGTGCAATGTTACAAAAACATTATTTATCATTGTTTTTTCTGTACTGAACTGCTTTTTGTGTGCCATAATTTAAGGGTATATAAAGCTATACTTTCTCATTTTCTAGTCATTCTAAAATTTACTTTGTTAAAGCCTAAGCCTAAGACTAAGCCTAAGCCTAAGTTTAAGCCTAAGCCTAAGCCTAAGCCTAAGCCTAAGCCTAAGCCTAAGCCTAAGCCTAAGCCTAAGCGTAAGCGTAAGCCTAAGCCTAAGCCTAAGCCTCAGCCTCAGCCTAAGCCTAAGCCTAAGCCTAAGTCTAAGCCTAAGCCTAAGCCTTAGCCTAAGCATAAACCTAAGCCTAAGCGTAAGCCTAAGCCTAAGCCTAAGCCTAAGCCTCAGCCTCAGCCTAAGCCTAAGCCTAACTCTAAGCCTAAGCCTTAGCCTAAGCATAAACCTAAGCCTAAGCATATGATTACTAATTACTGCGAGTGTTTACGTAATAGAGCGCTTTTTACCTGCTGTATTTTATATGTATATAAAAGGACTCTGCTGTAATAAAGCATCATTATTAAGGTAACAACTCTCAAAAGCAAGCATAAGAGAACGCCTAACGATAAGTCTAAGCTTAAGCAATGTTACAAACGTTGTCGTATAAACACTATCGTTCTCTGACTCTGCCACAAATCTATTAGTGTTTCATAATCTGATAATATAAAGACAGTACTAATTAATAATTACCAAAGTCTAATACGTCTTTCCAATGGCATTAATTACCTATTCTACAAATTTAAATACGTTACACTTACCATAACAACTCTGAAATTGATGTGAATTCTTTTACATCGTATGATCCGGTGAATAAAATATATCGACAAAACAAAAGTCACTATACTAACCACAAGGCTGAATGCTTCAATTATCGACCAGCAAAGGTTTAACCATGCAACCCAGTCGATAGTCATTAAAGTGCACTCAGTAGATTTTGTAACACAAACGAATGTTAAAAAGAAAGTGAAAATTAATTTTAGAACACTATCATAGTAACAATAGGCTTAAAATCTAAAGTAATTTAATTTAATGTTTGAATGTGTCCGCGTTTATTGTTGTTACTTTACATATTATACAAAGATCGTTAAAGGGTAAATATAAAAAGATTATATGGGTCTAGTTTTAAAAAGTTAATACGTTTTGTAGTAAACGTCAAATTGAGTTAAGAAGTAACTCTATAGTGGGTGTCAGATTATGTTAAAAAATAATTAAAAATAAGAATACACTGGAAGTCCTGTATAATGAAAATCCCGCACAACAAACAGCTTTTTGAAGGTATACTACCACACAGTGCATACGAAACTCCTATTCAGTACTCTCTCTATATAAGCAACACGGGACCGACAGTTTGTGTTTACTATAAGGGGTGGTGCCTTTACAGAGAGACGCAAATTGACTAAGCGAGGCCAAATTGCTTGTACTATATGGAGAGTTGCTTATACAGATGGTTCACTATATAGAGAGACTACTGTATAACGAAACTTCTTTATAACAAACAAATATCAAGTCCCCGAGCGATTCGTTATACAAGAGTTCCGCTGTACATCACATATTGCAATTTAGGTTTCAAAAAGTCCTTTTTACACTGTAAATAACAAAATTAAAAAAAGTTGTATATGTAATTAATAAAACTAAAAAATAACATTTAACTTTTCACATCGTATACGTAGCTGTAAACAAAAATAAATACCAAAACTTCATTTATAACTTCAAAAAAGCTAAATCTTAAAGCAAATCAAAAAATTTTCAGCATTGGCTATATATTATAATTTAATCAATCCACTACGTATCTCAATAAATTAACGTAGAACACCACCCAAGTTCTCAACAAAGTTCGTATGTCTAACAAATACTCGTGAAGAATTTCTTAACAGTCTAGAACAAATCAGCTTAAATAGCAGCTGGTTGGCGTTAGCATAATTGAGTTGGAATTTTTAAAATATGGAAAAACATACACCTAAAAAGACCTTTCTCGAAGTTTTTGATAAAATAAAAGCCTTTAATTAACGATGCACTAATTATAAAAAATATGAAAATTGGGCGTTAAGGCAAATGCGGTTTTTAGAAACATGCGAACTTGCAATTTTGGACACTTGTGGATCTTCGGTCTTTGGATACTTGCGGATTTTGAACATTCGCAGATTTTTTAAAAGTTTTTTCAATTTTGTAGTTAATTTAGTTGTAGTATAGTACTAAATGATATTAAAGTTTAAATTGGTACGGTTTATACATAAAAGTACCATTTTGGGCTTTTAGTACCATTTAGTATCAAAAAATATAAAAACCGTACCAATTTAAATTTTAGTACTACTTAGCACCAAAAAATATTAAAACAATACTAATTTAAACTTTAGTACTATTTAGCACCAAGAAATATTAAAACAGTATCAATTTTTAGTACTATTTAGTACCAAAAAATCTAAAAACAGTATTATTTAGTACCATACTACAACTAAATTAACTAAAAAAAGCTTTTAAAAATCCGCAAATGTCCAAACTCCACAAGTCTCTAAAAACCGCATATGTCCTAGCGCCGAAATTTGCTAAAGATTATGAGCTGTATATGTCAAAACAAGCTAATTGTATTCAAAAATGATGTGCAAGTACATGTCTGTTTTATGTATTCTTATGTGGTGTTCTTTAGTATCGTTGAACTTTTAGTTTTTCTATATAATAGTAAATACATTTTCTAACAACGAGTCCAAGTTTACGAAATCTGCGCCCACTACACTGGTCTCTCTATATAGTGAACCATCTTATTAGCAACTCTTCTAATAGTAAACAAGAAATTGGCCTCACCAAGCCAATTTGCGCTAACAAGTTTCTTTGTAAAGACAACACCCCTTATAGTAAACACAAAATGCCGATTCTTTCAGGTTGCTTATATACAGGGTGCGCCAAAATTTCTGTTACAAAACTTTGCCGGTCGTTTTCTGTTGCTGTTAAAGTAGTTAAAATTTTTTATTTTAGCTTATTCTCTGTGTTTTTTTATTGTACAATCAGAGGGAGTACTGTAATAAGAAGCTTGCTAAGCCTAAGACTACAAAGTATAAGCTTACTCAGTCTGTGTATTTCTCGTTTTATTCGACAATTGAAAAAATTTAAAGTTTAAACATCGTTTTCAACACAACTTAAACCAAAGCACGAAACCTTTTTTGACCTATCGTTTTTCTAGTTTAAACGTTTTGTACATTATGTTTGTCAAACAGGATTATCAACAATATCTCAGCTGTAGTATGTGTTGAACAAAGTTTTCCCAAACATTTGAACTTATCATTAGTTACTTACGTTTATTAATTGAAGACAGTTTTAAACCAAATTGATGAGTAATAGTAAATTTTATCAACCGCCTACGTTAATATATATGATTCTCTGTAGATTTACGTTTTTTCAACAAAAACCTTGAAATCGACACGGAAGTTTGAACGTGTAAGAGTTTACTTTTTTCTTGACTTTTCAATAACAAAACGACTTTTCACAACAATCGAACCGTGTTTTCGCCGAACAGTCAATCATTTTGTGTTTGTGTAGTGTTTTGTAATGGTATCTTCTTTCAATAACAGTAGTGTAACCTTGATTGTATATAAACAGGTTACATAGTGCCCACTTTTGCAGTAGATGGTTTTGTTGTTGTAAACAGTAAAACAGTGGAAATTTGGGTTTTCTTGGTGGTTTTTGGTTTTTTATATTTTTGTTGTTATTAAGTTAAATGTTGTTTATTTTTTCTTAATTTCAGCCAAATGAAACTTTTTATTCTTCTCCTACTAGTCCCGCTAGCCTTCTCAAGGCCCCATGATAAGGGCCTTTTTCGCCGTGGTGGACCCTTAGGCAAAGTGTACGAAGAACTCAACGATGAACAAAAACAAGAATACAAACAGATGTGGAAAGAAAATCACGACAAGCCACGGAAAGCGCTAAAAGAAGCTGTCGACAAGTTTGTAGCCAAATTGACCAAAGAACAACAGGCCGAAGTGGAGAAGTCAAAGGCCAAATGGGACAAAATGAAGAATAGTGACGATGAAAAGTCAAAAACGTTGAGCAAAGAAGCCAAAACGTTGTACGATGACGCTAAGAAGATCATGAACAATGAAGATTTGACTTTCAAAGAAAGCTTCAAGGCTGTGAACGAACTGATTCGTGCTGCCAAGCCTGAAGTTGTTCAAGAGTTTAAGGATAAACACATCAGAATCCCGGGCGGAAGACCATTCCATGGTGGACCATTGTCTTCAGTCTACAAAGAACTGGATGAGAAACAACAGAAAGCTTTGGGAGATTTGTTGGACAAGAATGCTGATAAACCAAAGAAGGAGAGCAAGAAGGCTTTGGATGAGTTTGTGAAGACATTGCCTGAAGGCATACAGAAGAAGTACGCTGAAGCTGAAAAAGAACGTCAAGAACACAAGAAGGAAAATGAGAAAAATGCTGAAAAATTGAGCCCTAAGGCTAAGGAGTTGTTCAAAAAGATTCAGGTGTGTTATTTTTTTCAAATTTAGAATTATTTTTGACATTTAAATTTAAAAAAATTTTAAAAAGTTTTAACTAAAATTAAAAAAATTTTTTTAGGAAATCAAAAACAGTGACGACCTGACCCGCTCTCAAGTTCATGAACAAGTTCACGAAACAATCATGGACGCCGACCGCAAACTTTTGTCTGAGTTCCGTGAGAAGAAGGTGCATCTTTTCGACTTGGGACCACATCTTGGCGGAAAACGACCACCACCATCTTCAAGCGAATCTGACACTGATTCTGAGGAAAAGAGCGGAGAATCGTCTGATTAAAAGGCGACAAATCTTAGTGAAAGTATAAGTATGAAAGTGTAATTGTATTTATATTTCAGTAAACAAGTTTAAAAACCAAGCATTGTGATGTTAATAACAATATGGTTTTAATCTTTGAATTTGTTTTTCAACACAAACATGGCTTTATACATAACATTAATACTGAAGTAATGACCAATGAAACTGATACATTAAAATACGTTTTGACAACATTTTGTAGGTATCGTAAGTTTCTGTAACAGCTAAAGGCTTACTTTTTTTGCACCTAAACCTCACAGCTTTTTAACACAATTACTTAAAATAACCGTATTAGTTAATATTGAAATATTGTGCATAAAAAACAAGATCAAAAGAGCACAAAACATACTAAAGGGTAATTAGGTTTTTGCAAAACAATGTTTCTGAAACTCATAATTGAGTAACAGCTGCAAAAACAACAGTGGTTTCAGTTATTTTATTATAGCTTACAACTGTGGTTTTAATTATTTTGTTATAAGTCACAACTACATATACCAAAATTTTATATGTAATCTGTAGGCTAATGTAAAAACTTTTTGTATATTATAGAAACATCATTCATACTGTATTTTGAGTTATAGAAGCCGCATTCATACTGTATGTTGAGTTATAGTAGCCTCGTTCATACTGTGGTTTTTAATTTTTTTAATTATAGTACCTTGCAATTCTTGCTAACGTATACCACACGCGTTTTATTAACCGTGTAATTACATATCTGTAACTTGTTCAATGAACAATTAATTTTTTACAAATTGAAAAAGTATGAACAATTAAAGTAAAAAATACTGATGACTAGAATTGGAGTAATTGTAGAGGTTTGACAATAACATATAACGTCATGTACCATGCTGTTTTGGTTATATACGTGTGCTTTTTATCTTATAGTATTGGTTAATCAGCGTGGCATGTCTGCTGCTGAAATTTTAGTTTGAAAAATCAAGGGGGGAGGGGGGAGCAAATTTAAGGTAAAAAATTTTATCTTTCTTTTTTTCAAGGTGTTAGTATGGCTTCTGAATATTATTGTAGTCGTTTTTTCACTCACATCTTTGATGCATACATGTAGTGTAGTAAAACTTTTAATGTTTGTTTTTACCACCCAATTGACGTAAATCGCTCGCTTAAAATTTATAAATAGTATCTTGCCATTACACATATTGTAACATCTTACCATTTAAAAACTATTTGTAGTTAAAATCGCTCATGTGTTACAGACGAATACACTACAATAAGGTACTTAAAAACACTACAATCTTTTATTTTCGAGTTTTCGTATCACAATAAACCGCCGTTGTATCGTAAAAACTAAATAAGGCAACTTCGAATGGTAATTGTAGCCGTACCGGCCTTACATTGTATACAATAAACATTACATCGTATGTAAAAAATGTGACATTGTATGTGATAAACACAATATTGTCTTATACGAAATTTACACTACAATAATATATTTTTTAACATTTTCAAAAGATACAATTTAGCCTTGTCTTAAGCCTAGAATACGATTTTAAATTGTTAAGTAATGGTTACAATGTAATGTTGCCTTATAATAATGTAGCCAATAGAATATTCTTCAGTCACTGTTGCGTACTTATGGCATTTGGCATCTTTTAAATAGAACTGCGTTCCTGTACCGGCTTACTATTTACACCTGTATATGGTGGGGGTTTTAATACTGTGGTTTTTACTTATTTGGGTTTTTTAAACGTTCCGCGGATGTTATGCTTCTATAAGATCACATTGAGTCGGTAAGAAATATTTCGACCGTAGAAAGAACGGAATATTTTGACAGTTTATCCTACCAAGAATTAAAAGGGGGGGGGGAGAGGAGGAGGGGGCAGAGCTAGATTTTAAAAGTACATTCAAGGCAGGAAAAGACTAGACATGAGAAACGAGACAAACCAGGCTGAATATTCAGACCTAGCGTGACCTGAATTTGGGTTGAGCCTGGCCCGGTCCAAATTGATTTTTTAATATTGAGGATTGGTAGCGCGATGATTAAAATCCGAGTCTTGCTGTAACAACTGTAAAACATTATTGGACTAAACCTTACTTTCTAGATGACCGAATTGTGGATTCCATCGGCCGACATTATAAAGTTTTACCACATCTTTGAATATGTGTTTATGATTATAAATTTTTGTTTATTTAGCTTGACAACATATGCTGTAATTCAAAGTAAGTTTTTTAAAATTGTGCCCTGGGAATTGGTCACCCGGTTAGAATAGGTTACCTAAAGGAATAGGTGACCCCACTGAATAAATCTTTTAAATTTTTTTAAATTTTTACTGTGGTAGAGCCTTTTAAAAATTTTACTTTTGGTTTTTTGGCCAATTAAAATTTTTTTTTGTGTTTGACCCGAAATTTTACTTGAAAAGGCGGCCTTCAAATGTCGACAGCTGAAACATTTGCAATCAGCTTCCTACATTAACGTACAAAACGTTTACACAGGTACAACCTTTCAAATTTTTTAGTATTTTTATCTATAAAGGTTACGTAGGCAAAATATATCTACGTCAGTAGTATGCAGTAGCGGGCATATTGTAAATTTTAAATTTAGAAAACAAATTTTTGAATATAATTTTAGAATTAGCCAAAGTTTTTAATTAAAATGAAATTTTAAATTAGTACCAAACGTAGTACTAAAGAGTACAGAGCTCAAAAATGTTTTGCTAAGTACAATGTCAATACGAAAGTACAATGCTATATCGAATTTATTTCTACAACTATAAAGTCTTATTTACAGCCCCCGTGACCTACCTGAGTGTTTATCGTTACTTTTTACTACACGAAGTCATATGGTCATTCGTATTTGACTTGGCAATATTCCTCTACATTCCAATTGTGCATCTACCTCATATCTGTTATCAATCAAGTGGTTTTTTAAGTGACTTGTCTTATTATGGTAACTATTACTTTTTGTACTTATTGGTGTTACTAGTAGGCGGAAAAGCCTATTCCATATTATTGTGCTGCTTTCATAGACATATGTTGGCACATCGACATACCAAGCATTACTGGCCGATTATGAATGTTCTGGCCGATTTTGTGTTTCCAAATGCACTGATCTTTTACGGTGGTATCTTGGTGGGATTTGTTGTTGTTACTTGGGTAAGCCTTACTATTTTATTTGAAACTTCTTATCTAACACCTAAGTATTGAAATGTTTATCTTATACTAAGTTAAAGACAATAGTAGAAACATTATAATAAGTTATTTTAGATCGCCGTATACCTTGTAATAGAAAACCCAGTGCTAGCAACATCGCAACTTCAATCATCAGAGCTAGCCATTCAAGAACTACTAACAGAATACCCAAAAATAACTTGTATGGTGTCTACAAATCGCTACAAATTCATACTCTTTATACCTATGATGATACTCATGATTTGGGGAGCTGGCATAGCAGGACTAATAGCTACAATGTTATACGTATTAAAGACCAATCCTAAGGCGTATATGTCAACATTAAAGATGCAATGGACCTTGTTCCGATCACTGGTAGCTCAACTTGGTGCTACCTTGATATTCATGTACTTTCCTTTACTATTCTGGCTAATTGCGGGCTATGTCAACAGTAACTACAGCATACTGGTTGCTATTGTATGTATGTGTTTACTAGCCATGCACTCATCAATTGATTGTATTGTTATCTTAATATATGTAAAGCCATTTCGTCGTGCTATTCAACGTATTTTCAACCGGAGCCTTCAAGATACGATGATGTCTGATCCAACCAAGACCCAGCTGACGCCAGTACAATTGAAGTCCAGAAGTGGCAGTATTTTTGTGTTTCCGGTTAATCCAAGATTCAGAAGTAGCTCTTTGCAACCTTTAAATGCGAAATATTAATTTCACTATACACATTAATACTGGCATAGTTTAACACTTCACAACTGACGTACTGAAACACCGTACGGCTGAGATACTTCAACGTTTTACAATTGAAGTACTGTAAGATATGGATGAGATTTAAGATTGACATATTACATGACAAAGATAAAGATTTATAAATGAATGAACAACTCCTATTTTCTATGAATAGAATAGAACCTATAGCTTTTGGATTGGCAGTTCATCGCTTTACCAATTGCGCTACCCAAGACCGTTGGCTTTTCCTTTACAATGCCTTCACATATAATTGTTAATTGTTGGAAAAAGTAAACTTTAAATAAACAAAACGTTCAATTTTGTAATTTCTTAACTTTTTGATTGCTAAAAAAATATACCACTGATAACGGCAATGTAACATAGATATAGTTTTAGCTACAATATATAATATAAAAGTTTAACTGTATAAAGATATAAAATTAGTCTAATACAATACTGGCCACCCAAATTTAATTTTGTACTGTTGTCTTTAGACATTTTATATTGGTTTTTTAACCTATAAACTATGTATAAAATTAAGTACCACTATATTTTTTAAATACAACAATTACAACGTTTTCTTATATTGTGAAGCAAAACTTTGCAGAGTAAAGTAGTAGTTTTTAACGTTTAATCGTTTAAAATACGAATTTACTGTAGTTTAGATAATTTATTTTATAATACGATATTTTGAAGAATGTGCTTACAAATTTTGAAATTGAGGCGGATATAATATATTGTAGACTAAGCGTTTTGATTTGTAAGGTGATAATTTACTATAGTAAATTAGTAAATTATAAAATACACCAATGTAAACTTGTACAAACATTAAAACATATATAATAAAGTTATTGCAGCACGTGATACAGTAGATTGCAAAATTTAGGACAATTGAAGAATCGTTACCTAGTGAATTGATAGTATTAGTATTGTATACATATTAAATAGGTTTTTTACGACTATAATTAGCAGTTTTGCTAGTTTAGAAAATTAAAATTAGACAAACATAGACAAATTTTTTATTGAACTCGGGTATTAAGTGGTTATATTTACAACAACTTGTTTTACGTGCTATTGAAAATCAAAAGACTGTGCTTTTTATAATTTACTTTTCAGCTCTAGTTGTGCTTGCTATTAAAGATAACATAACCTTTGTTATTGACAAGATTTATTTATATAGGGTGTATCAAATGAATTCAAGTGCACCAGAGCTATGGGTACCTACTAAAAGATTAATTCACTTTTACCAGCTTTTTGATTATTCCATCTTGTCGTTAAACATAATGTTGTTCTTTCTTACTGCATATGCTATTCTTAAAAGTAAGTTGAAAGACTTTGTTTTTAGTTAAGCTTGAACGTAAGTTTAGGCTATTTTCAAAGCGAATATGAAATGGCAGCGGGTGTTGTTGCAATCTGTTTACTAGCGATTCATTCGTGTGTAGACTGTATCGTTATATTAGCATATGTACGACCTTTTAGACAAGCTTTGAAGAGAATATTGACTGTTCGGAAATTTGAAACTACAATTACGGTAACTACGTATTACAAGAACCAGAATCATTTGTTTCCTATGATGAAACAACAACTTAGCAAGAAGATATGTTGAGTACTAAACTATTAGTTTTTTTATAATTTAGGTCCTCCTTCTCTTACCCATTATCTTAAAATTGAACAATTCATTTCTTAAAAACTTTACAAACTTTTTAAATATTGAACTTTGTATTACTGTTCACAATATTTCAAAATAAAATTACAATCCAAATTCTTAAAACTTGGCTAAATTTGTACAGTTACCAGTGTCATGTGGGCTAAATTGTAGTATAACTTGTGATAGGTACACATACGTGTTCATAAACTTTAGTAAAATGTAGTTATGCAATAATTTTTATATTATCTTTATTGTAATCTAATTGGACACTCTCAATAGTTACTACATATCAAGTACATTGTTTAACTTTTTAAAAGTTTTGGTATTATATTACTATAAGTGATATAGTTTATTAACAATTTATAAAAATTTTAAGTTGTAATTTACTACTAAGTTGTAATATTTAAACTAGCAGGACATCTCTATGATAAGATTACTAAGGTTATACTATAACAGGCTTATATATTAAAGCTATAAAGCTTTAAATGTCAATTTTTTCTGATAGTATAAAATATATTTTGTAATTCACTATGTTGAAGATACCATCAGTACATTTTGTAGATGTTTATTCTTACATTGACTACTTCTTTATGACAGTGAATGTGGTACTACTAAGCGTCACCAGTTTTGCCATTATTAGAAGTAAGTTTATCTCACCTCTAACCTTCCCTTCCCCTTTCTCTTTCCTAACACTCCCCCCCCTCCCTCTCACTCCTGTCTTCTATCGGTCCTCAGTCACACCATATAACTTAAGTTTTGCAGCCCCAGTACGGTACCTAAGTGTGTACCGCTACTTTTTACTACATGAAATGATATGGGCCTTTTTGTTCGACTTAATGATGTCATTATTCATACCAGTAGTGCACTTGTCACATATATGTTTTGAATCAGCTGGTATATTAAGCAACGTTATGGCATCATTCCAATCGTACTGTTTTATATATTTGTTAATATTTTTGTTAGCTGGCAAAGCATATTCAATGTTTTTATGCTGCTTTCATCGTTATATTGTTGCTCATCAGCAGACAAAGTACTCGTTGGGCTTTGTGAGAACACTGGCACGGTTTGAATGGCCTTATGTGCCGTTGTTTTATATTGGCTTGTTTTTGTTTTCTATTTTTACACTTTGGGTAGGTTTACATTTTTTTTTCTTTTTTTGGTTAAGCTGGATTGTAAAAAATAAAAAAAATTGTAATTTGCTATTTTTATACATTATTGCTTGTTTTAGGCCCCTTTATATATCCTAACCACAGATCCAATAACCACAACATCCGAACTAAACAAAAACAACTTTGAAATTTTATCCTTAACAACACAGTACAGTAAAATGCTCTGTGTAGTACCATCAAATAATTACAAAACTATAATCCTTATGCCAATAATAGTGTTAATCTGCTGGGGTATTGGTATAGCAATGCTTTTGCTATCAATGATATATGTTCTCAAAACCGAACCAGCGGCATATCTTAGTACTCTCAAACTACAGTGGATGTTATTCCGATCACTGCTTGCTCAACTTGGCACTACTATTATTTTCATGTATTGCCCATTGCTTACATGGCTGATATTGGGCTATTTTGAGAGTGAATATACAATGAAAGCAGGTGTAGTTGCATTATGTTTACTGGCTATGCACTCTTCTATCGACTGTATTGTAATTATGGTATATGTTAGGCCATTCAGACAAGCTGTAGCTAAGTTATTTGGCAAACAGAGAATTGAGTCGATGGTGACATCATCAAAGAGTACTGTTGCAGTTAGTTTAAAGGCTTTGAAAAATTTTAAGAAAATTTAAATAAACTTGCTTTACAATTTAAAATTTTTAGTAAAATAAGTGTGTTTAAAGAAACAAAATTTGAATTTGAATATTAAAATTTAACTACGTTGTTAATTAAACTGTTAGGTGCCGACATAAAGAACCCGCCATTTTTTACAGAAAATTACACGCAAAGTATGGCGGGTTCTTTATGTCGGCACCTGGTATTCTGTGCTTTTAACGTATGTTTCGCGTTACAGCTTAGACTACAAAATGTTTTAAAATAGTACAAAATTAAAATATTGTTTCAAAAATAACAATTAAAAAAATCATTTTTAAATTAAATTTTGGTTTTTTATCCTTCGGTCATACTTTTTTTTCTCTATCTGTTCGCCCTCTTACCTGACAATAACTTTGTTATATAACAGTCAATTTTACGTTACGTTATGTCGGATGTAATATGATAATATAGCCTTAGAGAAAATGCAAGAAATCGTGTTGCGCAACATTTTCTTATGTAACATTATGGCTTTATATAATATTTGCCTCGGTGTAAAACGACCCAACAAATGACTGCGAGCATGGTGGTTTTACTATGGTTTTTACAAGGTACTGATTGCATAAAAGTAGTATTATCTCCCCCCCCCCCAAAAAAAAATTTTTTTTAAGTTGAACGTGGTCCCCGCTGTGAATTTTTAGGAACAAAATTTGCAAAAAATCGGTACAGGTTAGCTAGTACCTGTGCCGATTTCTTTTATTCCGGCCCCAGACCAAGGTTCCCGCCTGGCCCTGAGTACCAGTATTTAGAAGAACGGTAGTTTGTTTGGCCGTTCCTTTAAAACAGCCATACGTTCTTTACAAAACTTCTAACGTGGCTAAAAAGTATTGATGTCTTTTAGAACATACTCACTTTTACATTATATTATGATATGTTTGTCTGTCTGTCACGTCTACGTTTTTACTACCAAGCATTTCCGATCACCCACCAACACAGTTTTATGGACATGAAGAGCGATTGTCCACTCCAGCTCTTCATCCGCATATTATTTATGGAGACGAGAGAACTTTTGTACGCAAATCGCTTAAACAGCCAGGGGGATTATACCGGACGAACAACAATGTAACGAGAGGGAAAGCGGAAAACCGGTAGATTCCTGTTCGATCACCTGTAATTATACACACATTGCAACTAAATTTAGTATGTCACGTCGATGCTAACGGTCTGTTGTCACAATTTTGACGTAATTGTTTTTTTAACGTTATAGTAGGATATTTCTTTGTTGTAGAGCTATTTTTGATGTAAAAAGGGTTATGTTTTTAGTATCATCACGAAGGTACTACTATAGTACTAACAATGCTTGATGCTATACTACATATTTCATTACAATAAAAGTCATTATGAAAAATTTTTAGCTTTAAAGTTGTTACAAACCGCTGTGACAATAACGGTATGTCGATTGTAAAATGATACAGGTGTTGGTTGTTGTATTACTGTCGATAAGTGGTGTATGGTGTGGTGTTTGTGGTATGGCATTGGATTGTCGCACATGTTTATCGACCATCGACGGCATTTTACCTTGTCAGTAAGTTGTGTTTATAATAAGTATTGCTTTAATTTTAGCTACAGCCTAGTATTATGACAATTCAGTATAAAAACTTTGTTTTAGGTGGTGCACATCAACGTTTAAATGCTCAAACTCACTTGAAATTCTATCAACCTGTCAGGCAGAAGGGCGTGTCACTTTATGTTATGACTGTCCTCTAGCTCCAAATGCACAGCACGTTTATGTGGACTCATTTGCACGACAAAAAGCACTACCGTTCATAGCGGCCGCCAATGCCAAAGACGATTTTACTGTAACATTTTGTACTTAAGGTTTTTATCGTATAACAAAAAAAATTTTTTTTTTTAATTTTAAAAATTTTTTATTAAAAAAATCATTTTAAATTAAAAAATTAAAACTAAATTTCCAGGCTCAAACTTGCCTTAGCAACAATATCCCAGGAACTGTTTTATTAAAACGATACTCATTACCTTGTGATCTCATGTTGGTAAGCCTAAAATTTAAAAAAGTGTAAAAGAAAACGTTAATATACCATATTATAGTACATTTTCAGCTCAAAATATAATTTTAGAATGAATGTCTAGCAATAATAGGGTACTCGCCAATTGATAACGCCGTAATTTTAACGTTTCGCAGTACGGACAGCACGTCGCAGGTTTGTGTACAGGAGAAACTATAATTTTAGTTATCGACATAAAGAACCAGCCATACTTTTCCTGTAATGTCCTGTAAAAAATGGCGGGTTTTTTATGTTGGCACCTAATATATGACTATTATAATTAAGTATGTTGCTATATGTACTGTAAATACGATAATGTACATGAATTTTCTTGTTACGTTAACACAACCATATTTATAGCTCCTAGTAGAAGCCCTGAACTTTATGTTCCAAACCACCAAAGATTTTCAACCGGTCGGTGGAAAGGTTGTAGCCTACTTTTACGACGCTTTTTTTGCTTTATGGAACGGTGGTTTAGAACGTGAAATGACCAAAATTTTACAAGAACGCCCAACAGCCAATGTTTGGGTTTTTGGGCATTCTTTAGGTGGAGCACTGGCTTCATTAGCAGCATCGTGGATGTCACGACATGGCATGGTACATTCTGAAAAACTGCGGTTTTTAAGTTTTGGTCAGCCCAGAACGGGGAATTTGTTTTATGCTCAATCTTTTGATTTACTGGTAGGTTAGGGTTAATTTTATAAATTTAGAGATAAGGTAATACATTTATAGTTAAAATTATAAATGTTAACATTAAGTTTAAAAGGCTAATTTTAAAGTTATAAAGCTTATTGTCACTTATTTTAGGTGCCATACAAATATCGAGTTGTTCATCAAGGTGATGTTGTAACAAAATTACCAATTAAAGTGCCTTTAACAGCGTTTACCTTTCATCATCATCGTTATGAAGTCAGTTTAGTAAAAAATTTAAAAATATTAGGCGCCGACATAAAGAACCCGCCATTTTTTACAGGAAACTACAGGCAAAGTATGGCGGGTTCTTTCTGTCGGCACCTAGTATTTAAAATTAATTTTTAAAATATTTGAATTTCTTTGCCTTAACATTAAAAATATTTTTTTTTATTAAAAAAAAATTTAAAGTTTTTTTTTTCATTTTTCGAAGCACAACGTTAACAACAATAAAACCTAGGTATACTATCCAAACGACATGACTAGCGCAGACCCTTTTATGATATGTTTACGTGCTGAAGACCCGTGTTGTAGTCAGTCTTGTAACCAGATTGGAGATTGGAGTATACATCGTACTTATTTTAATGTCACTTTATCTGATTGGCCTAATATTGGATGTCAACTACCTCGAGACTTGTACAAACTGTTTGGTACACCTTGGTGGGGTCAGCAGCGGCTTTATGGTTAAATTATGGGACTGATTGTTTAACACTTTTTAGTACTTATAGTCTTTAAAATATTAAATAACATAACAGTTTTACTATAAGAAACATATAGAAACAGTTTCTTATATTAAGGCTTAATGTATTTATTAAAATTCAAAATATACAGATACCAATGTATGCTGACATTGTTTTAAAACCATACATACATATAAATTTAAAAAACATTATTGATCCATCAACGAAAGAAGTTTCTTTCCAGCCTTAACACGCCTTTTTTGCTTTTTCAACTTGCTTTTTGCAACCATACCACAAAAGTTGCATGTTAATGGACACATCTTGGACATCAGCTTGAAATACTGTGGTTTTTGGCACAAGTCTAGCTTTGATAAACATTCCGCGGCCGTATCTTTACAGCCAATCAAAAAGTCCAGCTCGTTTTTAGTCCGATTCGTTTCACATTGATTACAAGTCTTTGGACAACGGTATGTGGCCATATTCTTGTAGTCTTTTTGGTTACAAATTAGTGGTTTCAATTTTTCATCATTACAGTTTAGGTATGTGTCAGCACAAAAGAGTGGGACTTCTGAGAGTATTTGTGGGAGATAGAGAAGCACTAGGAATAGGTAGAACATACTGTAGAAAAAAATTTAGTGTGGGTTAATTTAAAAGTTAGGATAAGTCACAATACGCAAATTAAAATTAACGTTACTGTAAGAAAGTTGTTAAAAATATTTCAATTTTTTTCTAATTTCAATAATATTATAGTTCAAAATAGTATAATATCACTCAAAAACCGTTATTAGTAAGCCTTATACTCTCATAACTGACCTTCTTATATAGCTATACCATCATCATGCTCAGACTGTTTGTGCAGTTGGCTTTAAGCGCCAAACTTAGCTCCTCGTGGTCACTAAGTAAAGTGAAAATAGGCTGCTCGTCAAAATAAATATTTATTCAGATGTAAGGTCAGTAGTATGAATATAGTCTAATATTAGTCTTAAAATTTAAGTTCTTATTCGTCGTGTAGGCTCTGTTTAGGCTTAGTCAATAAAGTCAAAAATTTAGTCTTCAGATACGGAAACCTTAACAAAATGACGTTGTATCCTTTCTGATTCGTCATCAGATTTGTCTAAAGCACCGGCTTTGATTTCGGGACGTCGGACGTGCTTTTGATTCTTTGGGACTGTAGATGGCAGGGATGAGGCATTCGAATTGTTGGCGGGGAGGTCACCTTTGAAAGCTTGCTGGGGCGGTAGCTGAAAAAAAACGATTAAAAGTAAGTTTAAGTTTAAGCTTAACCATACTTAAATCTTGGTTCAAAGTAAATAAACCTACATTCGAATGATTTGTAGCATCCACATTAGAACCGGCACTATTCTCCTTTTGACTCAACTTTTCATCAAGCTTATTCATCAAGTTATTCACGTTTTTGCCAAGATTATTCACCATATTCTTGCATTTCCCCAACAATTTCGGTCGTTGTGTAAAATCTGTCGGTTTTAACTTTTGTGACATTTCTATCTCATCCTTTTCAATATGTTCGACCGGTATTGTCGGGTCTCGTTTTTGTTGTCGTTCTAGAGCACGTTGAGCATTTGGGGCTTTTAGGTCGCTTACATTGCTGTTATCTTCGCTTTTTGTTGTTTCTTTTTTGTTTTTGGCATTATCATCCTCTTTGTTGTCTTTATGAAGGGGTTGTTTGTCCTTTTCATTTGCCTTCTTATCATTTACATCTATTTTATTATCATTTTCTTCTGCTTTTGCGGCTTTTGAATCTATTTTATTTTCTTTTTCATCAGTCTTTTTGTCTATCCCATCTATCTTATTGCCCTTTTGATCAGCCTTTTTGTCTTTACCAACTATCTTTTTGCCATCTTCATCTGCTTTATTGTCCATTTCCTTTCTCGTGTCATTATTTTGACTTCTTCTAATGTCCCTTTCGCTAGCTTTATTGTCTTTTTCATCAGCTTGGTTATCACTTTCTTCTTCTTTTTGTTTTCGTTTTGGCGGCCTTTTCCGACGACTTGATGGTTCTTTGACTTTATTCATTTCTATGGCCGAAAATCGTCGATCCGCGCCACGAGGGTAAAACTCCGGATAGTTTTTGTAAGAATCTTCACGTTTCATCAACTGAAAAGGTTTATATGGTTAAAAATGGGTTTTTTACACGGTAAAATTAAAATATATAAATTTTAACTTCATATCATCTAAACTATTTTCAAAAAACAATTTAAAATTGAAATTACCCAAACTTTTTTTTAAATTTCCAAAAATATTGAAAAATACTTACCTTTATACTAGGTCCATCCTCACTTATTGGTTTTGCAGGGCTTTTTTGAGCCTTTTTTGTATGAGATTCTGAAAATTCAAAACTTTTTACATAAACAAAGTAAAATTTTTACTTTTGAGAACTCAATTCCAAAAAATTGCATTAAAAAATAAAAAACTTACTAGCGCAAATGCTTAAAATTGCACATTCTGTAAGGATCGCCAGGATTGAGATTGCAATCAGCATTTAACCGACCGGTCGATTGTAAAAAAGTAACAAAAATTAATGATTTTTAGAATCTTGTCTTTGACTTTTTTGTGTCGAGCATTGTGCTCGTATATATTATATTAGGTGCCGACATAAAGAACCCGCCATTTTTTACAAGAAATTACAATAAAAGTATGGCGGGTTCTTTATGTCGGCACCTAATATACTTCGTTATATGGGGAATTCATTGTAATTTTTGTTATTATAGAGAGTTATTAATGACATGATTAAGCATAATAAAACTAACTTTAAGCTTAAACTAAACATAAACTAAGCTTGCTAAGCTTTTCTTCTTACTTGTTTATTAATTTAAGCCTAAAAGGCCCAAGACATATTTGTTTGTCGCGCCTCTTTAATATTTTTAACCGGCTTTTGATTGATTTTAACGCGATTTAACAGGCAAAAACGTGCGTTTCTACATGTTGTTTGTATATTTTCTAGTTTGTCAATTGGTTTCTGACCTTTTACTTTAAAACATTGAGAAATTTTGTAAACAGTACTATTTGTTGTTTTTTTAAAATTAAGTAACGGTACATAACTTTTTACTTTTCTTATCACTAACTTGATTTTGTTATCTTTTAAAATTTCTAAATCTATTTATAGGAAAAAATTGAAGTATGCCGCATTATAAGTTGACTTATTTTGGCATTCGTGGCTTGGCTGAACCTATTCGTTGTTGTTTACATTACGCTGATATTGAGTTTGATGATGTACGAGTGAAACTTGAAGAATGGCCCGCTATGAAGCCTAGTAAGTGATAAGCCTAACAGTACTGTAAACTTTAAGCCTACTAAGCTTATGTTTACCAATACTTCGCCTAATAAGCATAACTTTTTATAAATTTGTTGTTTAGTGGATCTTTTTGTAATAGTATATATATATAATATATATATATATATATAATAAATATGTATAATTTATTTAGCTACATCCCACGGAGTACTGCCTTTGTTCGAAGAAGATGGTGAGCTACTTACTCAGTCTGGTGCTATTTTACGTTATGTATCAAAGATAGCCGCATTGAATGGTAAAACCGAATGGGAAGAAGCTAAAGCTGATGAAACTTATCACTTCTTTCATGATAATATAGTAGCTGGCAATGCTTATGTGCATGACAAGAGTAATATCAAAAAGGCTGATGATATTGTAAGTTATTATACATTTATTTTTAATAACAAGGCTTTAAAGGTTAACTATACTTTTATGTTTGTCGTTCAGAACAAAGCCTACGAAATCTTTGTACCAGTAGCAACCAAAGCCTTGGATTACTACCAGAACATGCTGAACAAAGCTAATAATGGCTATATATTGGCTTCAGGACTTACTTATGCTGACCTTGTAGTTTACTCTCATTTACTGACACTTAGAAATTGTGATGCTGAATTGGTCGACAAATACCCCAAGCTTTTGGAATTTATTGAAAGAATTGAAGGTCTACCTCAACTTCAAAAATACTTTAAATCTCGTCCTTTCAGTGTGAATTAAACTCAAAGAAAGTATATAATAGTGGTAATAAACGTTTTGACGAGTATATGATGATCAAAATATTATTTTAATAAGTCTGGATATAATCATATTGAGGTTAACAAGGAAAGTACCCAAACTGCAACTCACAGAATTAGCTCAACGTTTTTATACGGATTCTTTGTAGTACCAGTAGCACATATAAGAAATCTTAGCTTGGGGTTTTAAGTTTTAAAATTATTATATTTCAATTTTCCGCCAAGTTGGCAATTTGGCATTGTGTTTCAGGCACTTTTTCGACTTTCCAGACAAGCTACGCTTATAAATTTAAAAATGTAGGTTTATTTAAAGTTACTCTACTAGTATATCAAAGAAAGATTCTTAATAGTAGAAAAATGGCAAAGTTATATGCTTGAAACACAATGCCAAATTGGCGAAAACTTCAAAACTTAATTTTTTGATCTCGATTTTTTCGAGATTTCCTGGAAAGAAATTTAGTACTGCTGAAAGTCTTTTATTTATATGATCTTCCTATATAAAAATTTTAAAGTCAGTCAGAGCGGGACAGACCGAGTACTTTCCTTATTAGGCTAAATATACTAATTGTAAGCCTAAGAACTTATTTTAAAAATAAGCAAACTATAACTCAATTTCTACCTTTCATATGGCTTTTCACTAAAGAATAAACCAGTTAATCACAAACACAAATCAACAAAATTTTTCTTTTGTACCTTGTAGCGTCACTACAATTCTAGTCACTTTACAGCCGAAAGTTAAACAAAAAACGTGTAAGAAGGTTATTGTCTTTGCTGTCAAGACCCATAATCGGTCATAGGTGATGTTTACTTCATTGTCCATATATAAACAAGGTTACAAAAGTCATGTTGTGCCTTGATAACAAGGGTTTGATAAGACCAAAAATTTTTGAGTTTGATAAGAGTAAAAATTTCAGTTTGATAAGAGAAACTTTTATAATTTTATACAATGGACCCCACCTGATTTTAAATGGTATTTCTGGGGGGGGGGGTCCCCCCCCCCCAAAAAAAATTTTTTGAAAAAGTTGAACGTGGTCCCCCCTGTAGATTTTCGGAAAAAAAATTTGCAAAAAATCGGCACAGGTAGCTTACCTGTGCCGATTTTTTGGACCCCTGCTCTCAGACCAAAAGTCCCCGCCCGGCCCTGGTTATAACATCTAAATTTCTTGAATTCTAATTTGTTGTTCTGTGTGTCATATTTATAAGGTGTAGTAAATGATATTAATTTCACGATTTTACTTTTTTTTTAAGTTTTTAAACTTTTTTTTTTTAAATTTTTAGAAAAGCCATGCCAAACTACAAATTTACATATTTCAATCTCCGTGCCTTGGCTGAACCAACACGATGCTGTTTCTACTACGCTGGAGTACCTTTTGAAGACAATAGAGTCGAATATAAAGACTGGATGTCTGTTAAAGATTGTGAGTACAAACGTCAAGCGATAGTAAAGGTGGTATAAAAAAGAAGGGCAGGGTGTAAAAGAGTAGAAGGTATAAGATGATAAATGTTAGGTGCCGACATAAAGAACCCGCCCTACTTTACTTGCAATTCCCTGTAAAAAATGGCGGGTTCTTTATGTCGGCAACTAATATATCCTGCGATAAAAATGAGAATATATTAGGTTGTTCACTTAATTCTGCGCTCCCTTTCAAAGCAAATTTGTGGGGTCAGGGAGCGCAGAATTATGTGAACAACCTAATAAATATTAGATTTCTACCTTTAGCCTATCCAAACAAGCAACTACCGTTGTTCGAAGTAGATGGTAAGAAGCTAACTCAATCTGGTGCTATTCTAAGATTTGTTGCCAGAGCTACTGGATTGACCGGTAAAGACTCTTTTGAGGAGGCTAAAGCTGATGAAATCTACCACTTCTTCTACGACAATCTTCGAGCCGCCAATGGCATTATCTTAGACAAAGTTAACATTATTAAATCGAAAAATTTGGTAAGTTATTGGGAAAATATCTGTTAGTTATAGGGTAGATGAGAGACAGGGTAGATATTTAAAGAATTTGATATTATTTCAAAGACTCGTATTAAGCCTAAAAGTTGTTAGAAACTCGTTTTTCAGGAACAAGACAAGAAAGATTTTGATCATCACTCAACTACAGCTTTGGAAGGCTATACCAAATACCTCGAAGAATCCAAAAGCGGCTATGCTTTGCCTTCAGGCCTAACCTATGCTGATTTTGTTATTGCTTCTCATTTCTTGACTATCAGAAACATGGATGAACAATTGGCCAACAAATACCCAAAAGTGGCCGAACATTACAAGAAAATCTCGGCCATTCCACAGCTTCAAGATTACTTTGCCAAACGACCAGATACTATCAACTAGTACTAATTGTAGTTGTTGGAACTAGTTTTTGATTGTTAGTAATGGAATTTTGGTCCAGCCAAGTCAATTTGCACTAAAATGTCTTTCGGTAAAGACAACACCCGTTATAGTAAACACAAAATGTCGGTCTCTTCGGGTTCCTTATATATGTAGAGAAAGTACTGTATAATAGTTAAAAAAGCAGCTCTAAATGTTGTTCTTTTAAACGTTTGTTACCATCAAATCTTTCAAAACTCAAACCTATAAGATGCAAACATGTCAACGACAAAAACTATAACCCCTATGATACATAAAAATCTTGTAGTTTGTAAAATATCAATTGATTGTGATCAATGTTACAACTTGTAAGCATAAAAAGTTTATTAATACACACTTTCAAAAGGGTATTTGATAGCTAGACCAATTCTAATCTATCATAATCAGGCCTTGTTTTAATGTATCGTTGCAAGTACAAAAGTTAATATGGGCGGCGATTAATTGATAAGGTCGATTAGATGGGTGGGTTCTGTTTCTATCAATGTATCAAAGCTGTTCAAATAGAAGAGAATATAACTTTTTTCAAAATAATTTTTGTGGTGGTAGGAAGGAGTTAAGAGGGGGGGGGGTAAGGGAGAAGTGACAGAGGTGGAGCATCGTTTGCATTTTGAAAAAATTTTTTATAAAATACTAAAAATTTCATTTTTAACAGAAAAATGCCAGAATACAAGCTGTCGTACTTCAACCTTCGTGGACTGATTGAGCCAGCACGATGCTGTTTTCATTACGCTGGAGTTCCATTTGAGGACAACAGAATCGCTTTTAATGATTGGCCAGCTGTCAAGGATTGTAAGTTATCTTTTTACGATAAATGTGATGGATTGTAATTTAAAAAGTATTTTAAAATCCCTTTTTTAGCCTTTTATTACAGTGGTCTCTATATATAGTGAACCATCTGTATGAGCAAGTCTCCTTATAGTAAACAAGAAATTTGATCCCTCCAACTCAATTTGCACTAAAAAGTCTCTCTGTAAAGACAACATTTCTTATAGTAAACACAAAATGTCAGTTCCTTCGGGTTGTTTATATAGAGAGAGTACTGTATTTTAGCCTTTTATTATGTATTTATTTCTACCTTTTAGCCTTCCCAAACAAGCAAATGCCATTGTTAGAAGTAGACGGTAAAAAGCTCTCTCAATCTGGTTCCATCCTGAGATTCGTTGCACGAGCCACTGGTTTGACCGGTAAAGATTCGTTCGAGGAGGCTAAAGCTGATGAGCTCTACCACTTCTTCTATGACAACTTTCGTGCTGGTATTGCTGTTGTCTTGGACAAAGTCGGGATCAAAAAGTCTGAAAACTTGGTAAGTTACAGTACTTTTACTCAAACGTTCAAGGACTTTTCACCCTTGCTTAAATTTTTTTTTCAAAAAAAACTGCTTAAATACTTAAAAGCATAATCAAAACCTAATTTCAGGCCAAAGACCAAGAAGACTTTGTACACTACTCGACCATTTCTTTGGACGGCTACACCAAGTACTTGGAAGAAGCCAACAATGGCTACGCTTTTGCGTCCGGCTTAACTTATGCTGATTTTGTCATTGCTTCACATTTTTTGCTGGTCAAAAACATGGACGAACAGTTGGCTAACAAATTTCCAAAGGTGGCCGAACATTACAAGAAAATCTGGGCTATTCCGCAACTTCAAGATTACTTTTCGAAACGGCCTGACACTATCAACTAATTATACTTATGATTATGCTGGTTGATTATTAAAATTTTTTGAATTTTTTTGATTTCTTTTGAATTTTAACTTTGATAATAAATGAAAAATTAATTTGTAAAGCTTGTTAAATTGCAAATAGAATTTTTAAAAATATTCATGTAATTTTTTTACTTTTTTTTCCTTCAAAAAATGTATTTTTATACCTTTTTCTTTTTGAATTAGCGATTTTTTAATCCAAAGTAGGGTCTTGTTCGATACGGGGTCTTGTTCAAAGCGGGGTCTTGTTCGACCCATTTACTCTGCTGCATTGAACAAGACCCCGTGTCGAACAAGACCTCGCGTTGAACAAGACCCCATGTTGAACAAGGATTTTTGTACTTCTTGTGGTACTATTTAGTATGGTATTGTTATTTTCAAAATTATTTAATATAAACGTATAATACTATATAGTACCACAAGAAATTACAAAAATATCGTGGTCTTGTTCAACACGGGGTCTTGTTCGATGCGGGGTCTTGTTCGATGCGGGGTCTTGTTCGACCCATTTACTTTGCTGCGTTGAACAAGACCCCGCGTTGAACAAGACCCCATGTTGAACTAGGCTCCATATTGAACAAAGCCCTAACATTTTTGTACTCCTTGTGGTACTATATAGTATGGTATTGTTATTTTAAAAATTTTTTAATATAAAAAGTGTAAAGGGTTAATTACAAGTAAGATTGGTATGAAAAATTCATACGCGGGGTCTTGTTCAATACGGGGTCTTGTTCGATACGGGGTCTTGTTCAAAGCGGGGTCTTGTTCAACGCGGGGTCCTGTTCGACACGGGGTCTTGTTTAACACGGGGACTTTTTCTATACGGGGTCTTGTTTAACACGGGGTCTTTTTCTATACGGGGTCTTCTTAATTTTAAAATATCAACACTATACTATATAGTACCACAAGAAGTACAAAGATATTGGGGTCTTGTTCGAGACGGGGTCTTGTTCGAGACGGGGTCTTGTTCGAGACGGGGTCTTGTTTGACACGGGATTTTACGTGCGTTGAACAAGACCCCGCGTCAAACAAGACCCCTCGTTGAACAAGGCCCCATGTTGAACAAGACCCCAATATGTTCGTAATTCTTGTAGTACTATATAGTATGGTATTGTTATTTTCAAAATTACGCCTAAATTTGTTTAAAAAACCTAAAATTTAAAATTTTTAAATTTTATTTTTCAAGCTTTTCCCAAAATGCGAAATTTAAATTATTTTTGTCCAATTCGATACCGCAAACGGTTGTGACCAAACCGATCATGAAGAAGATTTTCAAGACACGAGATGAAAACAACAACAGGAGGGGCAGAACTACGGACGATTATCGACCTAGAGTTCCAGTTGTACCAGCTGTAGCGAGCCCTATAAAAGCCGAATCGCCGGAAACGTTGAAGATAAAGACTGAAGGTGTAAGTGGTATTTTAGAATGTTAAAAATTATTTTTTAAAGTTTGAATTGGCATTTGTTATTGTTGGGGTGAAGATAGAAGAGTTATTCTGAGGAGAGGGAGAGAGTAGGTAATGTTTAAACTTATTTTCTATTTTTTAGGTAATATTATTTTTATATTTAATTTTTAGGTAATAAAAGTTTATTTTTTAGGTAATATTATTTTATTTTTTAATGTTTAGGTAATAACAGTTTATTCTTTCAGGTTAAAGCATGGCTTAATCAAATAATCGATACCCTGTTGAACAAGTGGACCCCGGCCAAGTCTCAAGCCCTCTTTAGTGGCGAAGAACTGAACGAATTGTGCCTCCGCGCACGCGAAGTATTTTGGAGCGAAGAGTTGATGGTGGAGCGACCCAGTCCATGCAGCATTGTCGGCGACATTCACGGCCAATTCGAGGATTTGGTTGGAATGTTGAAGTTGAACGGTCTTCCACCCACCACACGCTACGTGTTTCTCGGCGACTACGTGGATCGAGGTGCTTACTCTATCGAGGTCGTGGCATTGTTGTTTGCGTACAAAGTACTCTATCCGAAAGAAGTGGTACTGTTGCGTGGAAATCATGAGTCTCGGCCCGTTAACATGCAGTATGGATTTTATTTGGAGTGCAAACGACGTTATTCAATTGGCCTTTACGAGGTGTTTCAGTACGCGTTCTATTGTATGCCGTTTTGTGCACTATTGGCAGATTGCATTTTATGCATGCACGGCGGTATTAGCGATGATATGAAGCATTTAAATATGGTAATTTTTTATTTTTACCGGAGGGATTTTTAAAAATTTTAACTTAGAACATGTTTTTTTTATTAATTTGAAAAGTTTTATTCGATACTCCCCTATTCAGATGAAACACATCGACCGTCCCTGCGACATCCCTGACATTGGTATACAAGCCGACTTGACATGGGCTGATCCCGACCCCAACACGGAGTATTACGAGGAATCGCCTCGAGGAGCGGCCAAAGTTTTTGGAGAAATAGCGTGTGACGATTTTTGCAATACGCACGCGTTGAAGCTGATCGTACGCGCCCATCAAGTCGTCAGCGAAGGCTACGAGTTTTTCTGTAAAAAGAAACTGTGCACCATCTTCTCAGCCCCGTACTACTGTCAACAAAATGAGAATGCGGCGTGCATTATGAATATCACCGAGCATCTGGTAAGTGTTTAAAGGAATTTGGTACTTTTAGGCTTTTTAGGTTCTTTATCTATTGACAAACATGGACTAAATTGAGAAATTTCAAGCAAATGCCTTTAGAATAATGCCATTTTTTCAGGATATCAGCTTCAAAATATTTCGACCAGTCATAGCCAAGAAGAAGGGCTTTACAGCGACGTAACTCCGATTATCTTCAGTGATCAGGTTATGTTCTGAACAATAAACTAACTTCGAAAAGCTTTAAATTTTAACAATTTATTTACCATTTAATCAGTTATATATTACATATTAAACATTAGTAGAAAATTTACATATACACGTTTTTTTGGAGGAATGTTGGTAAAAGTTAGCTTTCAAAAGTTTTTAAACGCTAACAGTGCGGAAGCATTTTTCTTTGGAAAGTAACTCTAATAAAATATTGAAGTAATAAGATTGAGACGAATATTATGCTTGTTCAAAGACCGAAAAGACCAAGGTTAGTATAAAAATTTATTTGAAGATAACAAAAATGTACAACAATAAGATCAAATGCAAAAAAAATGTCGTGAAATAGCACCGAGAAGGGGTTTGAAGTAAAAAATCAACGAAATCCGTTCAAAATGCAACAAAATTCGTTAAAATACAATAAAATATTAACATTGGCATCAAAATGAGATATTATCATAGACCTCACGTTTGGTGACTGAATTTTTAGAAAAAACGTCATTAAACGCTAATTTCTATAAAAACGTAATCAAATTCTAGAAAAACGTCGTCAGTCTCCATAAAACAAGTCATAAAATCAATAAAAATACAAGTCGCTTAAAAAATATGACTAAATTCCTGATTTAGCACCGAATATGGTTGATTATGGCTGTTAAGTGTCTAAAGTGTTGTAGATTATTATGGCACGCTCCAAAAACCTCAACATGTCCATTACATAACGTTACGAACTACTATCATCAAAGAAAACGGGCATATTCCGACTCATATCCATCCTCAACAATGCTGTCGTCGTGCCTTGTGTCGACGTGCTTAACTGAGATCCGGTAGCGGTGGATGAAGATCGTGCACTTTCGTACGGTGAGCCTGATGACACGTTGGAAGTGGATGCTGATGACGGTTTGTGTTGAAGTTGAGATGGAGCTCGGATCCCCACCAAAGATGGGCATCGATGCCCGTGCTCGTTGCAGATTGGCGATGGGGGTGAATACTGAAAAAAATCAAAATTAAAAACATTCTCCAAAGGGATTCCCCTACCGCGCCAAAAAATTTTTTACCCTCTATTCCATCAATAATCCTGCAATAAAACTCCTGCCAATACCTACCTCATGCATACAGACCAGCCTCTGCTGGTGCTGGAAGTACGGACCATAACTTTGCACGTGCTGATTGTAATCCGGTGCCGGCGGGGGTGGATATGCAGGCATTTGGGCATGATGGTACTGTGTATGTTGTTGATACTGCCCACTTTGTTGTTGATACTGTGGACTTTGCTGTTGATAATTGTGTGTATAATAACTACAGTATTCCGCCGGAATCGTAGCGTATGTGTGATCGCAGTAGTGAGCATCGTGAATTCCGCCTTGAGTTGCCACATAATTCTGACAATGTAAAGCATGAAAATCAGGAATGGCCATAGTTTTTGGTCCATCTTCCAAGTATTGTACTATCGCGGTGGATTTGGTACTGTAGCTGGGATCACAGCAAAGAACGTTTGGTACTGAGCCACGAGCTTGGACAACTGGAGAGAAGATTGAGTCTTTGGGAAGATCGCTGGCTCCGTAGCCTTTAGATTTGCGACAGAGGCAAGTTGAATTCTAAAAAATATGAATGTTTTAAAAATTTAAATTATAATATATTCAAAAATATCTCAAAATTTTTAAAATTCCAAAACCATCCCGTACCTGTCCCTTAAAGAAGAACGACTTCAAACTCCAAGCCATCAAAAGCAAATTCGCTGCCACTGTTACCCATAGCCAATTGACAGTCCACCTTGTGGTCAACATAAACATAGCACCAATAACAAAATCCGCCAAGACCAAGAATGGTACTGTATGATACAGACACTTCCTTGCTGCCTTGTCTTTCCCAAAGTCATTTCGACATGGTTCATAGCCAACACGTCGATGTTTACATAGTAAAGATACGACGATTACAATTAAGACACTCTGTAACATAATAATGAACATTAATGGCGCTAATAGATTCCACATTGGTGCTGTCCACAGACGTTGGCGGCCTTGAAGAGCTTGGTCGAAGTTTCCACAAGATACGACTGATACAGCGGTTATTAGGAGTGGTACACCTGAAAAATGGTGCTATTAGTACTATTATACTAAATTTATTCAAAAATTGTAAACAATCCTCATTTCTAACGTAAAATTAGAAGGAACACCTTATCTGAAATACAAAATCAATCAAAAACCTACCACAACCAACCAGATAGTACATTCCTTTGTTTTTGTTCTCATAAACATCATTTTCGAACATTTTCATAACAGTATGAATTAGCACGAATAACTGTACCAAAAACCAACATAATGCACACAATCCACCAAATTCTACTCCGTAAAACACAATGACACTCAGGGTTGAACTTCTCGGCAGACCAAACCATATGGCCAACAAGATTTCCGCCAAAATCAAATTTTTTGAAAAGTTTTTTGGAATCATTGTTGGCTTCTTGGTTTCATTCAATGACAATCCAATCATGTATACCGTTAGTCCAATTATGGCAAAGATTATTGATGAATACAGGGCTATTGTTTCGATTGTCAAGCCAAACAAGACGGTCTGAAATGAAAAATATTAGTTTTTACTTAATTCTTTGTACCTATTAGTTAAACCACTATCACCAAACTTTGACAAAAGCACAGAAATACCATTTTTAATAAAATATGTGATAATAATTCCAAAAAAACTGTCAAAAATAAGGTATAACATAGATTTAAGCAAATGTTCATCTTGAACAATAAGCAAAAGCCAAATCAACTTTTCAATCAACATTGCATACCTACACCACCTTTTAAAGTCACAAAAACACCCATATTCACCCTTCAAATCTACCACATCACCCCAAAAAAGCATCACAACACTCACTTTTACCTCACATGAGCTGGCAATAACAGCAAAATGCCCAACTCCTTTGCATCGACAGATCGTTTTCGTGTCATTGTGTACCAAGATTTCACAATTGGGATCATACACAAAGTCCTCGGCATCTGAATCAAAGCGCGCACAGTAGGGAAATGGGCTTTTCGTTGATTTTTTAGTCGAAAAACTCAAGACCATAGGAATTTCTGTTAGAGTAACATCTTTTTGTTCGTTTTGAGCCCTTCTGGCGGCAAACGTGCTGATCACGTTAGATATTACAGTACGTTGACAATCTTCACGTTCTGGATTTCTCTCCATTACATGATGGTGCTTCTGGACTATGAATGGTGCTAGTGCTGACACTGAGCTGTACGCAAGTTCGAAATCGTCTAAAAATATAAAAAATTATTCTTTTGTCCTAACAACCACACCCTCAACATTAAAATTCAAAACAATCAACCACGCCCCGCATCCCTAACTATAAACAACATAGAAATTGCACGTACCTTCCATTTTCTTGACCTCATCAGCCAAACTGAACAAAGCCCTATCATCAACACCGTCTCTTTCCACGTACGGTAACTCCACCGCCGTATGTTGTCGTACCACAGCAACAGCACCAACAACATAAGGTCTAGCAACAAATGGTGCTCTGATTGCTTCGGAAAATGGTACACTTTTGGCAATGTTCCTGAGAGAGCGTTGTGTCGTTCTTAAGAGGCGAAAAGCCGTTGATCGTTGAAGATCGTGAGGTAGGTCAAGCCATGAATCACGTTGGCCAACTTGGAGAAGGTCATTGACTGTTTGGAGAGTTGTCTGAAAAGTCATTGGTAAAAAAATTCGAAATAAGAAAATTTTTCAAACATTTTCCAAATTTTACTTTGCTCTATATTATCCTACACTTACCTTTGCAAACTCGCTCAAATCTTCTCGATTAGCTCCGATTTCATTTCTGCCATTATGAATTTGAATTCGCTCCAAAACCAATGACACCTTGATCAAATCTCCGGCCATTAAAGCTCCAGAAACCAGCGTTTTCAGTTCGTGACCAATAAAAACTGGCAGTACACTTTGAGCACTGAAGAAATGTTCATGATCTTCGTGAAACTGTCTGATTGAATCAGAAATACATTCAGAAAGGTCGGCAGAAGAATGCCATTTGCCATCAGAACATCGTCTTTTAGCTGTTCCCTGAGAACCAACTGGACAAGCGGCCTTAGCCAGCTGCGCTGGCTTTGTTTGAGGCCATTGAACGAGGCGATAGTACTCGGCAGCGCAATTAGAGTTGCGTACTTCTGGTAGTGTTTCAATGGCTTCTCGTGGATTTGAACTGAAATTTAGGTCATAATTTCATTTTTAGCCACTTTTATATTTTTTGTACCTTTAAACTTAAAAAGTCATTATAAAATTTAAAAATTTTTTAAAAATTAATTTTTGAAAAATCTCACATTTTATAATCGACTTTGTCTTCATTTCGAATGCCTTGTTCAATATCGTGTTGCTGTACCATTTCTGTTGGCTCCAATGTTGTTGTAGGCGCAGCTGTAAGAGCGATTAATCAAACAAAAGCCACCTCTTTAATTAAAACCTCCGACTCAACTCGTGTGGAATCGAATTTACAACAATGGCGTTATGAGAGAGGAGAAACGGTCTTTGTGCCAAGTTCTTCAAAGATATAATTTGTTTTTGGCATTTTAATCGACCGAAAACGCTCACATAACCAAAAGATATTATTTTCGATTAATAAGAAGCACAAAGTCCTTCTAGTGAGCCAAAAGTACCACAATATAAAAATAAAACCAAAAACTTACCAGTTGTAGTAACAGGAACGCAAATATACTGCGCTTCCAAGTACTTTGGAGTACCGCGACATGCATCACCAAACAAGTCGCCGGATACTGTAAAATTACAACTCGTTTTGCCATCACAAAGCCCTTCCACAATTAGTTTTGTGCCATTATTGCCACAATTCGTATTTAAATCCGAAATTACATGTGGATTACATGGTAACAGCGAATATCGACCAAAATTCGCGATTTTTACTGTAATTACCGTGTTTTCGTTTTGACATTCCAAATGAGCTAGTTCTCCTTCACAAACTTGTAGAATTTCTACAAACGATATTTATATTATGATACGTATTACCTGTAAAACCTTACCAAAATTTTTGAATTATTGAAAAATATTCAAAGTAATTTTTAAACATGAAAAAGACTCGTATTTTACAATCCCGATCAAATTGCGGTCAATTTTCAGGATTAACACCCCTTGCGCAACTAAAAGTGCAATCTCGAACTAGATTATCTCTTCAGTCAATAGTCAATTTCCTTGTAAATATACTCTTAATTGACACAAACATCTGCATTTCACCCGTTTTTTGCCTTTCTGTAAAGTTTTAGGCAATGCAAATCAAAAATTAACGTTTTTCATACCTAAAATTATATATCATTCTACCCAGCAAAACTTCAAAATCAACAAAAAACAGACTTATATACTTAATAAACACTCTAGTCTACCTTATTATAAACAATTTTAAACATATTTTGCCAATATTCCTACAAAAAACACCTGAACCTCATCTTATCCACCCCGCTAATCCCGAAATCTCGATCAAATTTAATAATTATCCCGTTTACAGCCAAGATCTAGTAATTTACAGATCAAGCGACTAATCCATTCAAAATTTATGTCCACTCGAACGCGTCCGATTACTTATGGCCAGGTGAAACACGAGTTCGAAAGTTAATTAGCACATTTGCTTTACCTATGTTAACATCTTGCTTTCTCGCGCTTGAAAAAGCTAACAAACCAAAAGCAAACCAGATTTAATTAACCTTCATACTATCCAGTACCTATATTTACAACCGATTAAATGTAAAGAGTCTGAACTTACGTTCTTCATTCGCATTTACTTTCAATAGCATCAAGCCGAACAACAACCAAAACATGGTCGATTTTAGTCGACCACAACAGATGAACAACATGATGAAGCTGTCTAATTTACTCAACTTGATCCCAACATGGATATGAATTGACGTTCAGCTGATACGAATCACTGATTTGAGGTATTTTGAGGAATTGAGCAACTGAAAACATAATAGGATTGATGGATGGATAATATCGTAAGATCGAGTCAAAACACGCACGTTCCACGCAGAAAGCATAAAGTAAAGTACGAAACAAATAGTGTAGTCTTTTTAAAGTATATTTTTTACGAAGGCTACTGAGAATTACAGTATTTCGACAAAAATCTGTCCGCGAGCACGAAACGTAAAAAAGACGATAAAATTTGTGGCATTTCGTCTAAAAACGAAAAATAATTGTTAGAAAATAAAACATTTTCCCTGATCTTATTCTTACACGATAAAGAAGCAACATTGGATGTTGTGAAGCCCAAAAACGCTATAAACAGCGGTTTTTTGATGGAAAAACAATAAGAAAAGACGAAATCCATCAAATTCCCGAAATGAGCTCGAGAATAAAATAAATGATCGAGAAGGCGGCGCGAACTTCAAAAGGTAGTGACGGGAAAAGAAAAACTGTGTATTAAAAGCTTTTCAAAATTACCTAGCTTTGATTAGTGGCTGAGCAAAGGTTTTAAATGGAAGTTCAACAAGGTTAGTTTCGATTTTTTATTTTTTTGTTTTTAGATAACATTATAGATGATTAGAATTGTGGCAGACATATCTGGTTATAGTTTAGGTTTTTAAACCTATGGAAAGGAAGAAAAACTATTATTCTTCCTTTTCAAAAAGTTTTGTGAAGATAAAAAATGAAATTTAAAATTTAAAAGCAATATTATCTTACCCATCAGAATAAACTCTCAAAAGCAAAATTCGTTTTGTTCCGTTTAAAACTAGTTCAAACACGCGCATCACAAAATATTACCCTTGAATTTTCATCAGTCGTCTTTAAAGACGTTTTTCAAGCATTAAGGAATAGTTTTTCTTTATAAATTAGGCTTATAACAACACAACTATCAAAAAATAGATAAAGCTCACAAATGGTTTTAGAAAGTCAACCTTAAATTACTCAGTAAAATAGTTAAAAACGAATTTTAAGATAATTCAACTATAAAACTTTATATCAGTTAGAAAAAGACTATAAATTACAATGTAATTTAGACAGGTAACTTTTTCGCGTTTAATCCTGTCAACTTTGGAAAAGTGTGCTCCAGCTTCTAGCCACGAGCAACTATGCAAACAAAATAGATTGCAGAAGTCTTTGCTCACTTCATTTCCCTCGCAATTCCCTCAAAAAATGACCCTTACAATAAGTGGGCGGGGTTTCTTGATCGCGTAAGCCGAAATATTAGGCCGGATAGAGAGAGTGGTAGAGAAAAGAAGGAAAGTGTTCACAATTGAGGGTTTTAAATATTCTTTTTAATAATTGTCGTAATTAGAGGTTTTTTGGACATTTTTACATCGATCTAATGTTAAATGTCTGAGGATAATTTGGGTTAAGAGTATTACAATATTGAAGCTAAAGCTACTTGCTAAGTCACTCTCTCTTAAAGTTTTCGTGGGCCATCCAATAAAAATACTATCGCACTTGAACTTTCGGGACAATGCAAATTCTAGTGTTGCAACTTCTTTAATTACAAGTTACTTTCTTTGCACCACACCCATTAATGCTGATTTTGGCCTATTATGTTATATTAACCAAACTTCATTCCAATATTGAAAAATTTCAAAAACTTGCACTAAGCTAAAAATACAAAAACTACTGAACCTAATCTACTATAAATCTGATTTTCCCAACCAAAACTTTTGCCATGTTAGATACGAATCTAATCTTCGCTGTTTCTTTTTTAATTTGCATACGCCTGTCCTATTGTTACATCATGATCAGCTCGTCCTTTGCCTTTGTAGCTTTGCCGAACTTGTGTTTTAATAAGCGTAATGAACGTAAATAACCTTAAAAGGCAAAAGGTCTGCTGGTAACAATGGGGAAGTGGTGTTGGTCCAAAAGTTTTGGGAGTTTTGGATTTGGCATAAAAGTTCTCGGACTAGCGCATATGTTTGCCAATAAAAAAATTTTAAAAAAATTTAAAAGTTAAAAAACAACCTTGAAATAAAAAAAAACTAACTAACTCACCCCTCCTGGCTATAAAATGGATAAAAACTTTAAAATTTGAAAAATGACCCTTACAATTTAAAAAAGTGTTAAACATCTCCCATTCCTAATAATAAACCCAAGCCCCAGATCAAAACCTACGTCAAGTACAAGGTCAAACAGGTATGTACTGATGCTACCGGTCGACCCTCTTCAAGTTGCGATTGGTCGGCGTTATATGAAAAACCGCCAACGGCATCCCGCTGCGTCGGCAAAGACGAGAAACCTAATATTCAATACCATATGCCAGAAAAGAAAGCTGCTGAAAAGTGCGGTAAATGATGGGACAATAAAGGACTATGATGATGGGGAGGGGGATTAATTTATTAGCGGGAATGTTCGGGGAGTTCCGGATGCGCTGGGGGTGGATTTGATGGAAATAGAAGCCAAGTAAACGTATAACCTGCATTGAAATTGAAAAAAAGGGTAACGTAGCCATACCCTGGTGTTGTGTATTAAGAAGCCAATACACAACACCAAAGTATTGCTACGGTGGCGTAGGGGAAGGTATAGTAATCTGTACCTATTGGCTACGTATGTACCCCTTTTTTTTAAATTTGCACAGAAATTGATGAATCACAATGACAAATCCGGTTCAGCCCCCACGAAATTCACAAAAAAGATGCAAATTTAACGCTATCACCCTATTTTTATCTGATTTCCTATCGATTTCAAAACAGTTTTGTAATTGTCTGGCCACTGTCTTGCACTGGTAAATTGATTTTTGGTTAACAAAATTTTGGGCGTTGTAAAATTATTTTTTAAATTTTAGGAGGAGGAGGGTATGGCAAAAATTAAAAAAAATTTTTTTTTGTAAAATAATGAAAGACTTACAAAAAACAAAAGCTACTGACGAAAACGACTTATGATAAGTGATATTTTTGCTATTGTCGTATATCTTTTCGTGTTCGTCACAAGAGCTCATTAACAGCATGCGCCAAAGTAAATATTTATATAAGAAGATCTGATATCTCGACCGATTTGTTATCTCTCAAGGCCTGACTAATCAATATCTGTGGGAGTGAACAGGCTAATTTGTTTGGTTTTTATAAAAAAAGTTTTGAGGGACCCATACCAAAAAATTGACTATAAAAGCCATTTTGTTAAAAAATTTTACCTTGCCCTAATTTATTCAACCCTACCTTACACTACCAAACCTTATGCTACTCATCCCTACCTTAAACTATCCAGCCCTGCCTTCTACTGCCCAACCCTAACTTACACAACCCATCCCTACCTTACTTTACCCAATCCTACCTTACCCTACCGTAACTTACCCTACCTTTTCTTCTTCAATATACTCTATTACAAGCATGTTAACATAACCTATCAATAGTCGTGTCGATCCCTTGCATAACACAAAATAAACATAACCAATCTATAATAATGCCTCCTCTCCATGCCAAAACGACGATTACCTGAACGAAGAAGATAAAAAATTTGCATATCTCCCAATGCGATCTGACATTTTTCTCTCTAATTAGCGTATCATCAAACTTTTACAGTCCACTCCGCTAGAGGTCATATTTATGCTAATTTTTTATTGGTGGGGGGAACGTTAAATATTATATATATAATAATACAGGTATTGTATAAGTATTCCAATAACTTTTGGCCAAAAATTTCGAAAAGTAAAAAATCTTTCAGGTCCTCAAAGTACTAAAGCAGGTTATTTACTGTACTACAAGATCTATACAGAGCGTACATCTAAAGCTAAGCAAAAAATTTACATACGAGCTGTAAAAACGACTTGTGTATCATAAACACTGGCATTTACAACCACCTGATGACCATAAACAAGAATAAAAAATTAATGAACATACGTGGAGGTCAATCGCTATATCAACGTATATCAATGTAAATTTTTAGATTTTAAAGGGGAATTAGCCTTAAAACCTCTGTAAGTAACAAAAGCCTAATATATTTTAATATATTATATTAGACTTTAAAAAGTGAAGCCAAATATAAACCTAAAAATAAAACGTAGAGATAAATGTTCAAAATAAGCCTAAATCATCGTAAAACATTATTTTAGTTCATAATAATCGAAACATATACGTTGCATGTTCGCGTGTTCGAAAAGTCATCGTAAAACGGTTGTCGTATCATAAAACTGTTGAGCGATACGACAGACACAGCTCATTAATATTGAATTTGCATACACATGTTGACTATAAAGTGTCCCCCCCCCCTCCAAATTTCAAAAGTTGAAAGTGGTTCATTCCGTTGGTAAAGGAAAAAAAACTTAAAATACCTGTGTTTCAAACACCTTTTTTATCCCCCACCCCCTCGTCTATCCTCGCCATCTCCAAAAAAAACAACCCACCAAGTAACCACAACATAAACCAACCTCAATGTTAAGTTATAAAAGCCAATTTCAATGCCACAAAACCCCCAATTTACATGATTGCAGAAAGTAATCCATCTGGTATTACTCTTTGAGTGTCATCTGCAAATAACAAGTTAGTTAATTTGATGAAAATAACTTTGTCATAACAAACGCGCAATAAAAAAAACAAGTAGCGGTTCTTGTAATGCATCTGTGGAACAGTAACTGAGCTATAAATAAACAAAAAAATCTATGGGGAAATTGGTAATGAGCTAGATAAAGCAAATCAGTACTTATTTTTCTTTTTAAATTCAAAAATTTAAAAATTTGAATATTCAAAAATTTTTTAAATTGAGCTTAAGGCCCCATGTTTTCATTTTTTCAAAAAAAATGTTCTTAATCTTACTGTAACATTTTTAATATAAAAAAGCCCTTAAGCATACTCTTTTAAAACATTTTACTGGGCCACCCCCCCCCCCCTCCCACAGACTAAAAAAAAATTTTCGAAAAAAGTTTAACGTGGTCCCCCCTGTAGATTTTTTTGAACCCTCGTCCCCCGAACCAAAAGTCCCCGCCCGGCCTTGCATACCAAATCCCCAATCCACCCCAAACCCACAAAAAGTCCCAAACCTTACCCAAAAATCGTAAAAACCTATGGAAAGCAAAGTAAAACCCTCCGTTATATTATTTTAGATATTCATAGAGGGTCTTATATTCTCAAAAAAATCTTTGAGATTTTCGTCCAGCTTCCGAAAAATTTGTTTCAAAAAATTTAAAAGGTGGTGGAAGGGAAGATTCACACGATTTCCATTCAATTAAACGCCTTTTCATCGACCTGAGAACCGATTATATTATTTATCAGAAAGTAAAAGTGAGCCAGAATTTGGGAATAGTAAAGTATTTTTGGGTATTGACTACTGTATAATTTATAAAAAAACAAAACAAAATTTTTTTGAGAAATTCAAGGAGGTTTTGCGTTAGTTAGGCTAAAATTATGTGGTAAATACACTATTAGGTACCGACATAAAGAACCCGCCATACTTTACCTGTAATTTTCTGTAAAAAATGGGGGGTTCTTTATGCCGGCACCTAATAGTAATCATAAATGTCCTTATAAACATTTTTGTAAATTATCCAAAAAAACCATTTAAAAATATAAAAAATACTTAAAACCTCAAAAAACCATGTCAAAAACTATTACATATACGACAACATATAAAACCCCAGCCTATAATACTATTAAGTACTTGCAAGCATCGTACTAACCCATTCATCACCAAAAACATAGTCCTCCAACTACTGTTTTACATTCGAAAAACATTGAGAGAAGTGTCAATTTAACGTCACCTTGAAGGCCCTACTTCTGTTTTTTCTTTCCGTAGGTTTTGAGGCAAAAACAAAAAACTTATTATAATAATATAGTACGTTAAGCCGCTTTGGCTGTACGTAAGACGGTTACAGAGAAATGGGAAGTCAATTTTACTTTAATTTTACGGCGGTATATCAGAAATGTCAAAGATTGAAAAGTTGAGAAACTTAAGGCCAAGTAAAGTATTATATTAGTTGCCGACATAAAGAACCCGCCATACTTTACCTGTAAATCTGTAAATTCGGTTCTTTAGGTCGGCATCCAAGACAAAATGCGCCAAAAGTTCTGTTACACGGTTTTTAAATCAGATATAAAGTATTGTAACAGAACTTTTGGCGCACCCTGTATAATAATAAAAAATCTATACCTAAAAACTAAAAAGCCCTTAATTTCCCCTTTAATCGTTTTATATTGTGTATATATGGCCGAAAAAACATGTGTCCATCAGAAGAATTCATCTTTTCAAAACATGTCTATCGGGCCATTCTTCGCGCTTACAGCCTTAAAATGGGTTTTTAGGGATGGGAGTTAATTGACCAGCCCAAATTGACAATCTTTTAAAAATAGATAGTAATGTGTTCAACTTTGAGTACATAAAAAACGTAATTTTGCAAAGTTTTGGCATTGGCTTAATTAAAAAATTTAAAAAAATTTAAAATTTAAAAAAAAATATTCGAATATTCAAAAAGCGCGCCAATTTTTAACAATCAATAATAATTTTAAGTATTTTTGACTCATAAAGATCGCGGCATAATAAAAACCACACGGTTTATTACTGTCTATAATAGGCAAAAAAGTGCTAAAAAATTAAGTAAAAAGGGGGGAGGGTAATACCAAAACTCATAGAAACTAAAATATGTGTCCTCCCTGAGCCTGGTATGTTGAATTTTCCAATTTTTTTTAATTCACCCTACCAACTCGTTCAAACTACCCCTCCCAATTCGTTCATACTACCCCTCCCCATCCCCTCAACCCTCACCAATCCAAAATCCGCTCTACATCAGCTGAAAGCTCGACTATAAAATGCCTAATTTTGGGTGTTGCATAATTTCGCATTTGCAATGTCGTCGTATGTCCGGTCGAGCGCCCAGGTAATGATAGGTTAGGGGATTAGGATCTTAATGTTATTTTTGAGTTGTGTCGTTTTACAACACAAATTTGACATCTTTATGGGCGACGGACTGCTTATTTTCGGTTGTTGGGAATTCGAATAAGATGGAAAAAACATAAAATGACTTTGATTGTGGGAAAAAGGTGGTATTTTATCAGTAGTAAGTGATTTTTATGTTTGGATAGGCTTAAAAATATAAACTAACAACTTTTTATTAAGTGCCGACATAAAAAACCCGCCATTTGTTACAAGAAATTATAGGCAATGTATGGAGGGTTCTTTATGTCAGTACCTAAAAAGACATAAAATATAAATATAAAACAATATTACTACAGCAAAACCTACGACAAGTATCATTTCGTAAAGGTTTGTAAAAAGAAAAACAACTTTTTACATGGAGAACATGAACATGTCCAGTTCAAACCTTTTAAAAACGAAAAAAAAACGAGAGACGACGGAAGTACGGAAGGAAAAATATCCATAAAATAAGAAACACACAAAGTGGCAGAGTCAGAGAACGGTAGTGTTTATACGACAACGTTTGTAACATTGCTTAAACGTAGGCTTATCGTTACGCGTTCTATTATGCTTGCTTTTGAGAGTTGTTACCTTAATAATGATGCTTTATTACAGCAGAGTCCTTTTATATACATATAAAATACAGCAGGTAAAAAGCGCTCTATTACGTAAACACTCGCAGTAATTAGTAAGCATATGCTTAGGCTTAGGTTTATGCTAAGACTTAGGCTTAGGCTCAGGCTTAGGCTTAGGCTTAGGCTTAGGCTCAGGCTTAGGCTTAGGCTTAGGCTTAGGCTTAGGCTTAGGCTTAGGCTCAGGCTCAGGCTTAGGCTTAGGCTTAGGCTTAGGCTTAGGCTTAGGCTTAGGCTTAGGCTTAGGCTTAGGCTTAGGCTTAGGCTTAGGCTTAGGCTTAGGCTTAGGCTTAGGCTTAGGCTTAGGCTTAGGCTTAGGCTTAGGCTTAGGCTTAGGCTTAGGCTTAGGCTTAGGCTTAGGCTTAGGCTTAGGCTTAGGCTTAGGCTTAGGCTTAGGCTTAGGCTTAGGCTTAGGCTTAGGCTTAGGCTTAAACTTAGGCTTAATAATTCTAATAATGAAGCTAAATCTAGTAAGATAAAGGTTTATATACTAAATAATACCGCAGAAAAAAAGTAGACGCGCACGGAAAAATGAAACAAAAATTAGCACTATCTGACATCATATCTTTAACGTAAGCGTAAACCGGATCTTAGCCTTATGTTTTGCCGTCCGTTTAACTCTGTTTTTGTAGACAAAAACTTGGGTCTACAAGAATATTTTACTAGGCCAAGGGTTCCGTAATCGTAAATTCTATTTTGAGCGCCCATTCCCTCCAAAAACAATGGAAACAGAGGCGATTTCGGGAGCAAAAATAATAATAAAATCATTTTCTATCGAAAAAACGAATACCTGACTATGTTTGTTGTAAAGTTGGAAGGCGAAAAAACTATGGGAAATCGCTGTTTTTTATGAAATTGATATTTAAACATCATGCATAAGGTGGCAAGTTTTGTTTGGGCGAAAATATCAGTTTTTCCGGATAGGATATAGTTATAATAAGGCTAGGGTAAGAAAAGAAAAAGGTCAGGGTAGAGCTGTTTTAACGAATAGTAATAAGGATCCTTTCGTCCCCCTCCCTATTCTAAAAAGGTAAATACTGTGATCAATATGAAAACCCTTTTGCCCTAAAAACCTTCAAATTTTCAAATTCCACCCCAAAAATTAGCATAAAATGTCATTAGTGACCATCCTCAATGTCGCGTATTGTAGCGAATGCATTACTTTACTCTTGAAGTCGCTGTTGGAGATTTAAAAGCCGCGCCACTTCAAATCTACCTTATTTTGCTTCGTCTTTCTTGAATTTTGTTATAAACCAATTGTGTTAAACTGGTTACTTGCAAAAACAAAGCTACAGCGACTAGAAAACCGATGATAAGATTTTGTTTTTACTGCTGTTAAAAGCGTTTGCTAAAGCGATGACTAAGCTTTTTGGGTTAAAAGTAGTCTAAGTTGATTTTGAAGGGATGGTTGTAACTTTCTTTACAACTCTTTTTTAAAATTTTTGGGTTTAAAGAAAAGTTACTACAAAAGTTATCATTATCACCATGTTGATCACATAAATTCGCAAAAAAAAATTAAAAATCCTCATTTCCAATGAAAAACCTCAAAAAGTAAACATAAAAAAAATAAGATCAAAATGCATTAAAGAGTAAAATTTACGATAACTTTGTTGTCTTGTGGCAAACAATGGTTATAATACAATGAGTAATAAGTCAAATCGGGGTGAAATTAAAGCCAATTATCTTGTTGTCCTCAAAACGAAAACTGTTATTGGAAGCACAACACATAAAAAATTTTTTTTGGGAATAGGAATTTTTGTCCTCTTTTCAACATACCCTGCCCATTATCGAACCAACCCGCTATACCCCCCTTTTTTTACCCACAATCAAAAACATGCCACACGGTACCCAGATCCACAAGATCCACAAAGTATCACTTCCAATTCATTTCCAACACCATAACCGAGCCGTTGTTCCAAAACTAAAAAAATATTAATTTTACACTAAGTATAAGCATGATTATATGTTAGGACCATATCGTCCCAACAAACAAATAATTGCGCGAAAAAAAACAAAACAATAGGTGTGAAAGCTGCTTAACGAATTGTTGAATACAATAGAATAAATAAAATAATATGGTTGGGGTGAATTTTTACATAAATTATGGGTTAGGGGATGGTTTGGGTTAATATGGCATTTCACTAAAATTTTTGTTTTATTTTCATACTCCCCCCTCCTTAGACACGAGAAATGAGCCGGGCCCAATTTTCAGGGCTGGCCCGATCGAAATTTTGCTCAAGGCCGGCCTGTCCCGTTTCTCATGTCTACCCCCACCCCTCAAACATTATAGTCGCAGCTAGCCCTTGTTTTATCATATACTTAAAAAAACCTTTTAACACCAAAAAAACAGTCCAAAACAGTTATGTTTTCCCACTTTTTATTAAAAAGCATATGGCTAGCTTATCTGATGGAAAATGTCACTTGATGAAACATAAAATTGGCCCGAAAATCAATTAAACAATGCTACTTCTGTGTTGATCCCACAATCTGATTAGAATTTATTAAAGTCCATTTGGGTTACGTAATATGACATAAAAGTCCGAGTTTCTCCTTCCATATATATAAAACTAGCCATACCTTGGCCCTACCTGGCCTTATACTAAGAGTAGTCCTGTTAGTATAGGGTTAGGGTCATAGCCGTCTTACAGAGATCCTGCACTACCGGGGTGCGGGGACCCCAACTTTTTTCCACCTCTAGCTCTTCACTAGTCATTATAACACTAAACTAAAAAAAAGTACCGATAGGTCAACTCATCCTTATCGTATAAAGGAATTACCTTCAAAAAATGTATAGTTACCTTACTCTCAAAAGTTACCCCTAAAAATCGACCTTCAGGCCAGAAAAACAAATGTTTGCAGAAGCCTTCATGCAAATTTCCCCACAGACTTTGCGTAAAATGATTTTAGACGAAAACCGTAAAAAGAAGATTAAACGTTTTTTGTTTTATTCAAATTAGAAACCGCTTCCAACACCATTCGAACAAATTTCAAACCAATATTTTAGTTTAAAAACCATTTGTCAATTTTTTAAGTTTTAAAAATTTTTTTACTTTACCTGTCCCAACAGCCTACCCGAAGCAACTCTAATTTGCGACATTCAGGAAGCAACTCTAATTTGCGACATTCAGGGCCGGGCGGGCACTCTTGAGGGGGGGGAGAGAGCCAAAATTTTTTTTTCTAAAAATCCACAAGAAGGACCACATTCAACTTTTAAAAAAATTTTTTTTGGGGGGGGGGTATCCCCTTCCCCCTCACCCCTCCCTTTGCCTCACGCCCGACCCTAGCTACATTATCCTACCATACCCTACCATTAATAACCAATATTTGCTGAAAAAACGATTAAAAGTCCTTGAATACCCAAATTAACTGGCACAGTTAAAAGTTTTTCTTCTCATTCGGAAGCATAAAGGAAAAGCACTTTTCTGAAATTGACTCCAACCTCATTTTATTCAACTCCTTGAAAATGCATTTCCTACGCGCAACTCAAGGCTGAGGAAATGAAAAAGTAATGCAATTAGTGCAAATTTAAGTACGATGGAATGAAATTCGCTAACTTTTGAAAATTTTTTTAAATTTAAAAAAAAAATTTAAATATAAAAAAAATAAAGGGGGGGGGGATCAAGAGAGAGAAGGGGGAGGGTTGGGGTGTAGTAAGGAATGGGAAAGTAACAGTAAAACAATGAAGTTTGCTTAAGCGTTTTCTTTATTTAAAAATTAGAATTAAGCTTAAAAATTTTTTTTTAAAGTTTAGTTTAAAAATTGTTTCAATTGGGCTTAAAAAACGAAATAAATTGCCATTTTGGCAACATTTGGCACGCAAGCCTAATTTAAAATTCTTGCAAATTTAAAGTCAAAAACAATTTAATTTAAACCTAACCATTCTGTACCCCCCCTTCCCTCCCCCCCCATTTCTCCACCCCCCCCCCCATTTTTCACCCCCCCCATATTCCCATTTAAAAAACCATAGCAAGACACAATCCAATCAATTTACTAAAACGCCTAAAAAAATATAACCACCGCCAATATGCAAATTTGTTTTCATGCAATCGCGAAAGATTGTTTCAAACAGTTCCAAAGTGCTTCTACTCCTAGTGCGCAGTGCAGATGTGTGGCGCCAAAAACGAAAAGCGGTGATTTGCACTCCGAATTTGAATAAAAATCAAATTTTTCCGACTGCCGGATGTTTTAAAGGACTGTACAAAGACTGTCTTTGGTTTTTGGCGGTTAAAAATCAAAAGGTCAACAGTTTTTGAAATTTACAAAAATTTAAATGTAGTCCCATTGTAGTCCCAGAGCTAGTCCTAGTGACTTCGTTTTATTAGGTTGAACCAAAAGTAGCGGGACACTTTTTAATTGAAAATTGAATGAAAAGTGTCTCGCTACTTTTGGTTCAACCTAATATCTATTATAAATCTTTCATTAATTTACAAAAAATTTAAATTTAATGCTACCCCCCCTCCCCCCTCTGAAAAAAAATTTTGAAAAAAAAGTTGAACGTGGTCCCCCCTGTGGATTTTTTCTATTCCTCGTCCCAGACCAAAAGTACCCTCTCGGCCCTGAATGCCACTATAGTTCTAGCCCTAACCCTAGTTGCAACAATGTTTTATCTAAGCCCCATTTCTAGCCCTAACCTTAACCACTAATAAACCTCAAAACAATTTTCAAAATTTTAAAGCCATCACACCTGGCTCAGTACAAATACAGGAAAATGAAATTCTGGCCGGGTCAAAACATGTTTACATAACGCAAATGGCCGGAACACACCCTTAGGCCGCAAATGAGCTCCTTTCATTTGATATTGTAAGGCTACCGCTTAACGAACTGCACCTACGCTAAATGAACCCTTAGGGACTTAAACTCTTAAATCTGCTAAATCGGTGGGTGCGTTGTGCGTTAGAAACTGTAATTTCAAAAATGTTAAAAATTTGTAAAAATTTTTAAAAAAATTTTTGAATTGTAAAACTTTAATCACATATTTAAAATGCCAAAATAAGAAAAATCAAATTAATATTGAAAACCGGCTGAAAGAGCCTTAATCTGAATAAACTTTAGATTACTCGAAAAGGGTGCGGATTGCAAAGCCGGTGTGCAAACAATTCGCAAAAGTGGCATCGAGAGCTCATTTCCGATGCAAACAAAGCATGATTAATAAGTTTTAAAAAAATCACCCCTCCCAGCTAAAAATGAAAAAAAAGTCACACGTACTCCTCTGTCGCTTAATAAAAAGTTGGCTTTCCTTACCACTTCTTTTCCCCACTCCCGTCTCGTAACCACTCCCCCCCTCTCCTCTACCCCTTCCTTCAAAGAAAGCCAGACCCAACTTGCACATTTTGTAATACGGCCCAACTACGACTCCCCCCCACCCCATTAAAAATTACCCTCTAATCTTTGCGGCCAAGCCGAACACAATGCCCTGGGGGGATTGCACAATCTCCTTTTTCGTTCGGATTATTTGCATTTCCCGTTCGCACCATACGGTTGGACGACGGAAATGCGAAAATCGGAGCCAAATTACAATTGAGAGAGTGCGTTCATGTGTCCGCACTAATTGACAGCGGCACTGCTTGAGGCGCATTTTGCAAAAAGACGTGCGCGAACTGAACACATTTCGAATTCCGCATACTTGAATAGGGTTCGACACTGAAGCCGCTTTGGGTGGGGCTGACATAAAAACATTGTATTAGATGCCGACATAAAGAACCCGCCATACTTTTCCTTCACTTCCTGTAAAAAATGGCGAGTTCTTTATGTCGGCACCTAATATGTTACACGTAGCCTATAAGCCTACAGTTTAAACTTATTAAAAACAAAAAGCCTAAGCCTAATACGGCTAATCCGGTTAAATTTAAGCCTTATAGACCTAAGACAACTACCTATCAAGCTACAAAGCCTAAGCCTCCTCTTGAACTTTTTAAGCCAACGCACAATTACTCTTTGACTCTAAACTGTCCCAACACTTATACCGTTCCAAGAACACCAAAAAACCGTTCCAAAATCCATCGTATTTCACGTGAAAGTCCTGTAAAAACAATAAAATTACAAAATCTGAATTTGCGACGGAAAAATGAAATGTGTTCAACAGAAAACGTTTCAATTCACATTGGCCAAAAATTCAGAGACACGGAAACAAAGCGCGATTAGTTTTGGCGACACAAAACAAAACATTTCCGTACAAAAACGGCCACAGAACGGTCCAATTCGTACAACATAAGAGAACGTTACTAATTCAATTTTGGTTGTAATTTTGTGAATGAGTCATGGTGATAACAATCTTATTTTCGCTATTTTTAACAAAATATTAGGTGTAATATAGTAGTATAACATAATATTAGGTTGAACCAAAAGTAGCGGGACATTTTTAGTTAAACAATAAATGAAAAGTGTCCCGCTACTTTTGGTTCAACCAAATTTAATTGTTATAAGTAGAGTTAAGAGTAGGTATTAGGTGCCGACATAAAAAACCCGCCACCTTTTCCGAGAAATTACAGGCAAAGTATAGCGGATTGTTTATGTCGGCACCTAAGTTTAAAAAAAACGGCCTAAAAACAAAAAAAATTGTTTTGGCACAAAACTTCTCAGACTTTAAAAAATTTTTTAATTTTTAGAATTTATTGAAATATAAAAAATAAGGACCACTGCTTCGAAATAGGCCTGTTTTGGTCAGTTTCTGACCATGAGAAAAGTGTCACACGCAAGAAAACAAATCATGTCAGCTACACGCACTTATAGTTGCTAATCGCCAACTAATTAATTACAGAAGGCATGGGTTTTTTAATTATAAGTAA